AAACGACCCGAGTGAGGAAACTCCTCGGAGTTTCTCCTCTAGCCGCCGCTCTTTGTCTCCTCGATATGGCATGAGTCGCCAAAAATCGAGCGGGAGACCTTCGATCTAGGTAAGATCGTTACATGCATGGTTTTGTTTTCTATTTTTTTTATTTTTATTTCGGACTCTTCTAATTTTTGGGCTTCTGGGTTTTTGTTCTGTCGAGGAAAGATGATAGGGGACAGGAGTCGTCGGTGGCGGAGCGATTTCGTCAATGACGAGTAGATCTGGGTGAGGTTTTGATTTGCATGTTGTACAATCATAGGTTTTCTGCTTTTATTTTTTGTTTTTTTATAAGAATTCTGATCTTCTTCTTTCGGGTTTTGGGTTTTAACGGGGAGGACAAGGGAGCGGACCGCCGGTGACGGCCAGACCCAGAGACAGACGACGGCGACTGAGAGAGAATTCAAAGGTTCATTCTCTTTTTATTGCCTGTCGATTTTCTTTTGATTTTTTATCTTATTTAAAAAAACGAATTCTGATTATGTGGTTGTTTCTTTTTGGTTTCGGATTTGGATTCGGACGAGGAGGAGAAGGGAACGGAGGGAAAGGTGAGACTTTTGGTTTCTAAATTTGTTATTTTATTTATCTTTTTTTTTTAACAAAAGCTTAATCTAATTCAGACTTTATTCTTCATCTTTTGCAGGTTTGGAAGAGAGGCCAGATCTGGGTGAGACTCTTCTAACCTCGGTTTTGGTATAATTAGGGAAAATTAGACTAAATAAACTGACTATTATTTACAGATCTGTGGTTTGGAAACATTATGTGTGTGGGTTTGATGGTCTCGAAATTTTATGCTTCGTGGTTTGGTCGATGTCTTTAGATACGGCTATTGATAGGCTTAAGAGTTTGTGAAAAGAAAATAATTTCCTTTGATAGAAAACTAATTGACATGAACTAGAAATGCTAATTTTGACTAAAAATAGATCACTTTTGCGTATGGTTTTTCTAGAGATTTGGACTAAATCACTGCTCGTGATTTTGATTGGATTATTATTTTGGTTGATTTAAAAACTGGTTAGAATTGGTGAATCTGAAATTTTATTGCGTTTATAGTGTTTTCGTTAGTTCAAGATCTAGGTTGATCATGGACTCCTAAAAAGCAGTTTTTTTTTATTGTAAAAAAAAATGTATTATTTAGTTGTACTTTAATTCGCATACATATGGCTACGGCCTACGGGTGTGGGAAATCAACATGCCGGAAAGTTAAAGTGAAGCATCTGATTTCATTCATGATTAAGTTAATTGGCATAGTAGTTATAGCATAGACAAAGCTAATAATACGATTGAAAAAAAAAACAACTTGGATGAAGGAGCTTGAAGGAGCTGATATGAGTTGATCTTTGGTAAATAGAGTGGAGCTTGTAAAATAAAACTCTTGCATATAAATGGGCAAGTAGATTGATGATTATAGCGTCAGTGGTATTGTAAACTAGACGAAATGACAGGATCAGATTAAGAAGATGAAACTAGAGTACTAATACCAACCTGGTTGGAGTTTCTATGGAAATTCGCTCCTCGATCTCGCAATCCTTCCCCCGAATTTTTGCCTATGAGCAAGAGTTGCAGAAGAGAGTTTTGATGTCAAATTTTATTTCTCTAGAGTGTTTTTTTGCTGCCTCCTCCTTTGTGCTTCTTAATGCTTCTTGTCTGCCCCTTTAGTGTTTAATGCCTTTCTGTCTTTTTTGTGTTTTCTGTTGTTGGTTCCCCCTCCCTCTCTTGTTTGGGGTAAGACAGCTTCTTATATATTGCTGCCTTTTACTGTTCATACCTGTGTGTTGGCTGTTCCTCCTTTGTTCTTGAAGTGGTGGCCTGACCCACTTATGTTGCTGGCAATTTGGGATTGGTTCTTGGAGGAGGTGGCCGAAATCCTCTTTTTGGATTTGGCAGAAACTCTGCTGCTCTGCTGTTCTGCTACTCTGCTGTTCTGCTGCTCCTTTAGATAAGGATGATGGGTTTGGTTGATTGGGTTGACCTGAGTTGACCGATTTGACCAGAGTGGACCTGGGCCGACCATACTGGATTGGGCCGAAATATGGGCCTGGGTTGAGTTTTATAGTTTGAGAATTGGGCTGCTGGTGTGGGTTTGTTTCTGATAGTTTTTTTTTAATGTATAATTACTAAGTGTATCTTAAAGGTTATAAATTGTACTTTGTAATTACACATTTATTTATTTATGTTATTGCCTTCAGAATTAGATGATCATTGTATCTGTATGTAGTGCTCAAACATTCAATTGGTTCTTCCAACCCAATTTGCTCACTTATCCAATTTCAAACCAAATCCAAACATCTAATCAATGCTTCCCAAACCATGGATTTGGGTCGTTAAAGCAAAATTACCAATCTTTCTATACCTTTTGACCAACTTTAGACCAATGAGACCAACTGAATACAATGACATTAGCATAGGTCGTGACAACATACTATTGTTATTCTAAATAAAGCGAATTCGGTAGCCATTAGCTACTGCTAATCCTACCTAGTACAAATATTCGAACCAAATACTATTGTTATTCTAAATAAAGCAAATTCGGTAGCCATTAGCTACTACTAATCCTACCTAGTACAAACATTCGAACCAAATAAAACGGACTTAAAAAATCGTTGGTACTTATTGATTTGCCATTGCTAATCTCAACCAACCTCGTCCAAATTTTTACTTGAGTTTTCTTCTTAAGTGGATATTCTTTTGAGTTTTGAGCAGGATGGTTGCTCCGGACAAAATGTGGTGTCTACACCCCGCAAAGCAAACCACAATTTTTTTTAAAGCACACCAGAAACTTCTTAATGCAAACCAGTAACAAGATAAAGGAAACCACAAATAGCATAAAAGAACACGAGAAACCAAACCATCAATCTCACAATGCAAACCATTATATCCGGTGGTCGTTGACCGTTGACCAGTCAACGAAAATCGTTGACCAAACTCCGATGACCGTCAGTGAGTAGATTCCGGCGCCGATAGGCATATTCCGGTCCCGATGACTAGATTCCGACGCCGGTAAGCATATTCCGACCACGGTGAGCATATTCCGGCGACAATGAGCATATTCCGATGACATAATAGCATATTCCGACGACAAAAAGCATATTCCGATGACCGGCGAAGAATTCCGGCGACCAAAATTTTGGGCAAAAAATAAAAAAAGTATTTTTAAATTTTAATTTTTTTATTATTATTTAAAAATATTTTCCATAATGACAATTATACCCCTATTTTGATTTTACACTAGGTCAACTAACCTAATAAAAAGTCATCACAACCCTAGCTTCCTATTGGTTGGAGACTAGTGTTGTTAAAATAACAACACAAGAAGTGTTGTCACACTATCTAGTCCCTGTTCAAACGGTGTGGTTATCGTGGTTACTGTTTTAGCTGGTAGAATTTGGTTAATTTGGATAATTCGTTTGGTTAAAATTTGTAGTTTGTTAGGTTTAGGTGATTTGGTTTGATTTCAAACATTGTTAAGTACTAACCACTCAAACTAAATTAACCAGTTAAGTAATTATCATATACCTAATATATATTATATACACACGTTTAATATTTGGTATAACTACTCAAGAGCTAAACATTCCTTCTTTTTAGGCTCAGGAACAATAAAGCTCAATATTGTTCCATTATAGTATATTTGTATTTGTAGAGTGTACACCATGATATATGAACACCCAATTTAGATAAAAACTCAAACAATATATTAGATGTAAACTTGAAAGGAAGTTCTTTTCAACCTATGATAATTGTTAAGAGACGAATTCAATTCACACAATCACAACAATTAATTAACTCCTTACTATTGACATATATTATTGTTTGGTGAATACTTCTATTGACTGTCAGATAATTATATTAGTTGCATGTATTTCTATAAGAGTTAACTATAACTATGTGTTCATTGTAGTGCTTTATTCATCATATAAATTGTGAATTGATGCATTAACCGAAAATTTTCTCACTTAATGATAATGTGATGTTATATTGGTTAATCTGATTAATCAATTAACCAAATCGATTAAACTTTAGTTTGGTTAATTTGGTTGTTGTATTCGTTTGGACGGTTTGATAATGATATTGTATTTCATGGTTAATAGAGTTTTGACTTGTTTGGTTTGGTAATTACCATGATAACCATTTGAACACCCATAGACGTGGCAAGGAAAAACAAATTTTGAAGAAAACGAAGGTGCCTGGAACCTGAAAATAAAGACTTGTTTAAATGAAAATTATTTGTTTGCCTTTTGAATATGAACAAACAAAAGTTGAATAATAAATGATTAAGTAAAAGCATTAAAATTTAAAAATGAAAAGAGATAAAAGATACAAAATCTCTATCTACAACATCAGAATATATTACAAGTTTGGTCACTAGATTTACTAAAAACTAAAAAGGTTCATTTTTGGTCAATATAAATATTTAACTACAATCGTGGTCAATGAAATTAGTTCAACAGTTCAAATTTGGTCACTCTTTGTCCAACTCTGTTAACTTTGTCTGATGTGACAGTCAACTCTCATAATTGACCGTTAAATAAGTGACGTGACAGTTAAAAAATAATAAAATTTAATTTTTTACCATTTCCACCTCATTTTTACACGTATATTTACCCATACGTATTTTATCCGACACCGTTCCTTCTTTTCTTCTTCTCCACTCTGAATCCTTTTGAGATAAAGATTGCAGATCCTTCTTCTGCTCCCCTTCTTGCTACCAAGTTAATCCCCACCCAGGACTTTGAATCCTTCTGAGATAAAGATTGCAAATCCTTCACCTGGAGCCCTTAATTTCATCATAATTAGTAAATACTCCGTTTAATACACGCGTACATGTACCCTTACGTATTTTATCCGTTTAAAACTTTCGTATCCGTATTATTGTCAAGCCATTTAATTTTCTCCCTTTCATTTGATGGCTCACATACTAAACACGTATAAAACTCGTATAACACGTTTAATATCCGTATTTAATGAATTAAATAGTTAACTTTACTATTATTTATATATTTATTTATTTTAAAAAATAATTATTTTTATATATTTATCACTATTAACATACTATTAAATGTAATATTAACTTAGAGACAACGTAAAATACTCGTACATATTTTATACGTAACTTTCCTATACCGTATTTTATTAACTATATTTCCACAAGCACCTTTGCATACCCTAGATGCCCACCCAACATTGTAGTTTGATCCACACCTAGAGGTACGCTAACCAGCTAGCCATATGACTGAGACCTCAAATGATTTAAGTAGTTTGACTAATTGGTTGGATTTTACCAAAATTCATCGTCAGATTGGTTTAAGTAGTTTGAATTTGTCATACTCTGTACTAACTATACCAACCAACATAACAAATTTCACTTATGATAAATAGGAACCAAATCAAGGGAGCGGTTAGCGTGACTACCCTCCTAAGGGGGTCTGATTTTTGACACCCCTTTTAGATATCGTCCATCTAATCCAATGGTAAGGATTAATCATGTATTAATTACAAAATCCTCTCACTAGGTATTAATTACACAATTGAAACTGATTATTGTGTATTAGGTATTAATTACACAATAAGTTTCTCTCACTATATTGGAAAATGGAAAGAATCTAGGAAAAAACAGTTCACACCCCTAATTCAAAAATCAATCCCATTTTTTTCACCTTTCTCCTTCTCTCTCCCTCGATTTCGCTCTGCCCCTGCTCGCCGCCGTCACCTCTTCCCCGCCACAGTCCATGGTTTCTGATCGTCGACGCACCAACAAAATCCTCTCCCTCCGACTCTCCCCCATCCTCCGTCGTGGGCTAAGTCTCGGATGATGGTTGTCGTTGTTCTCCGAGCAACACCAGGCTTGCCGCCACGACTCTCCATCTCCTTCCACAAAGCTCGGCACTGCAAAGGGATTGACGGAGAAGACGACGACCCTCCTCACCTTCCCTACGAGATGACTTCACTCATGTCGTTCCTGCGGTGACCCTCCTCCCCTTCCCGGCGAAGATGACGACGAAGAAACTGAGGTAGCTCTCTCTCCCCTACTGTCTCTTTCTCCCAAACTCAAATCTGGGTTTTCGTGTGGATTTTTTCATGTGGTATTAGTACCAGTGTACTGGTATGTCTATCACTGGAGTAGTATGTCTATCACTGGAGTGGTATTAGTACCAGTGTACTGGTATGTACTACTGATTTATATCACTGCAGTGATAGTTGCAAAGATGTATTGGTAATTCTACCACTGAATTCTACCACTATAGTGATAGTTTTCTTACTTATCAAACTCATATTTCTATCACTGAATTGATAGTGTTGATTATTGTCTGTAGGAATGGTCAAGACGAAGAGACCGTAACTTGGAGTGCCTAAAGGAAAGAGTCATGGAAGCTATTTCCTCGTTATGTAGAAGTTGGGGTAGGTCAAGATCATTCATCGGGTGCGAGTACCAACAAGAAGCAACGCTGTGAGAGCCACCGTCAGAGGAAACGCACCAATGGACTGGTACATGTACCAGTGGAGTGGTACGCGTACCAGTGGAGTGATACTAGTGGAGTGGTACGTGTACCAGTGGAGTGGTACTAGTAACCATATGTCCTGTTTAGGCTTAAAAAAATTGTGAAGACTTTATGTTTATTCACATTCGAAGGATAATTTATTGCTTTTGGCATTGTTGTTGGCATTTCCCTGATTTTGCAACCCATTTTGGAACACAACTTTTGGCTACTAATATAAAGTTCCTATTTTGTTGACTGATTTAAATGTTTATTGTGTTGCTTGTGCCAGAATTATATTTCATGATCAAGTAAGTATTGAGTATTGGTATATTGAGGACAGTCTTAATTAGTATCAGTTCAGTGGTATAAGTACCAGTTAATTGATATGTATACCAGTCTAGTGGTATAGTACAAGTTCAGTGGTATATATGTACCACTGAAGTAGTATGATTACCGCCGAAGTTGTGCGAAGACCATTTCTATTCATTACTCGTCGGCAAAGATATTTCAATGACATTGAAAGAAGTTGACCAATAATTAAGACAAAAGAAAAATAATAAAATCAATTCCAAACTTCAAAAGTGGTGGAGACCACAATATTTTCATGACGATGTATTCCAAACTCCACTAGTACACGTACCACTCCACTGGTACATGTACCAGTCCATTGGTGTGTTTCCTCTGCCGCCTAGTGGTACCACCCTCACCTTCAGATTCTGTCGCCGCCACTTAGGGTTGATCGAATCTCTACCGTGGAAGGACGGTGGTCAAGAGGAAAAGATCAAGCGCAGGCCGTGGATAAGAGGAAGTTGTTGGAAGGTGATGTTTGAGATGGAAGACGGAGGACGGCAGACGGCCGACGACATGGATGGTCGGACTTGTTGTAAGGGCGGCGGGGATATCCGCCAGCCGTGTAATGATGAACCAGAGCTATGGTTCTCCACAACAATGGAAAGAAACAAGGGGAAATAGCAGAGGAGGGAGGGGGGAAATAGAAACAAAGGGAAAGGGAGTAGAAACGCCACAGAGGGAAAGGGGATCCAGCTAAATTGCCCCATTCCCGTGCATAATTAATATGACAATTAATTCTTTCTCCATTCATATTTATTTGGGACAGCCATTAATACTTATCTAATAATTAAATATAAAACTGACCAATCAATAGGAAGGTGTCGAAAATCACTACCCCTTTAGGGGTTAGCATAGTATCCGGCCCCCCAAATCAATTATCCAAACTAGCTCCTGACATGTGCACAGGGTAGATAAAAAAACCCTAACTTTGAACAATATGCAATGAATTTTCGCTGCACTGAATTGACTAAAGTCACATGTGATTTTTCTTTCATAGTAATATATGTCATTACGATATGCAATGAATGTTTACGAGTAGGGCTGAAAATTTGTTTGTCCCATCTCTGTCTCGTCTCTGACCCTGTCTGATCGGTCCCTGAAGGGCCAAGATGTATAACTGACCCGTCCCTGTCTCCTTCTTGACCCTGTCTGACCCTCAAGGGACAGGACGGGCCGGGACAGGCCGGGTCAGTGGGTCGACCCTAATCAACACACTACTTTTTTACAAATTACGTTTGGTACCCAAAATTATTTTTTCTTACAATTTAGCACCTAAAATTTATTTTCTTACAAATAAGTTAATAATTTGAATGGTAAAATTACGTTTTGGTACCCAAAATTTTTAATTTTTACAAATTAGTACCTAAACTTTTAGAACTTTACAAAAAGGTCCAATGTGGTGTGAGATATTTGTTGTTGCTAAGGGTCACATGATCAAAACCTGACCCGTCCCTAAGTTGTCCCTACTCGTCCCGACCCTTACAGGGTCAACAAATGACACGTCCCTAATTTGTCCCTGTAGACAAACTGACCTGTCCCGACCCTTAGCGACGGGACGGGTCGAGACGGGTCAGTGGGTCTTCCGGATCAAGCTTTCACCCCTATTTACGGGGACAAAAAATAATCAAGTTGCATACATAATTAGCTCATACAAGTTGTACATGCTGTAGAGTTATGGATAGGTAACAAATATTTTCTAATGCTATACTTCTAGGTTGATTAGACGAACAATTTAAATATTTAGTAACCAAGGTCCAAGCGATTAGTATAAAAAAATGTTAACGTTGTTGATGTTATGTTCTGAGGTTGGTCTAATATCAATCATTCGCCAAAATATTGAGAGTTTCTAATGAATTAAAATAGTAAGTTGGGCTTGAGAAATCAGTATCAAATATAATATATTTTTATAAAAAAATTTGTGATATTATTTACTTTTTCGTTTATTATTAGTGTATCTTTCCTTTAACTAAAATATTAATCTTCCACTTCTTATAAAAATTTTAATCTTCCACTAATATCCCATATTAATAACAAAATACCAATTAATTACTGAAAATATATGAGCCCAGAAAGTCCTAACTTGTCGCAATAACTCGTCTTGTAACACTCTAACAAGTGAAGCATAGACGAATATAGTGTAACAGTCGATTAGGAAACAGTTCAAAGTCTTTGACTAATTCCATTTCCACAATCCTTTGATTGACTAACTATCCAATATAAGGCTAGCTGAGTGTACAAAAGTCCATATCACAATCTAACTCTGTGAGTAGGATATCAAAATTACAGATAAATAGAAAGATTAAAACCCTCCTTGTAAACAAATATTTACAGACAGATCATTTGTGAGGTAAAAATGCCACAATCCATGTAAAAGAAAATGGGGATCGTGGTCCTTTCTCCCCCCACCTTGTTTGGCATTCATCACAGTACAACATACTGCATATCTTCATGTTCATTCTTTCACTTGGTTGGCTAGTTTATGTACGTGGCATATCTGGAGTTACTGCTACAATGGTATACGTTACAAAAATTTCTTCCTCAAGCCATCTTCAGTGCTTCTGCCGGCGCGCGCAGATTGTCAACTGATGAAGGATTCCCAGAAATTGTTGTTGGTGTGGTAAGTGTGTAATCAACAATATAGATCACAAGCACCTTGGCAGCCTTGTAGCCACGGCGGTGGCTCTCCTGTGCTTGCGTTCGAGTCGTTAAGGAACGATAAAACTTAGAACCTACCACTCTCAAATGTTGACAGACGGCTATCTGATAGAGAAGCAAATAACTGTGTGTCTACAAGAAGCTGCAAAACCATTCATGCCAACTGATGAGCCTTTTTTTAGTTACAGGGAAGTCGACAATACAACGGGAAAGAACACTAATCGTCCTAGAAACTAACTATGTACTCTAGGCTGTACACTTTTTTTGCAGAGCGTGCTTGGATAGGTTAGACATGGATGTTTAGAAAAAAGTGAAGAAAAGAGGGAGTAGAGTGACCTTAACGAATGGTCGTTCCTTGGTAGGGAAGGAATCGATAAAGCTATCTTTAAGAAGTACACAAACCTGCAAAAAAACAACCAATTTTCATGTCTTGGTGGGAGAAAAAAAGGCAGAGAGATTCTGAAGAAGACTAAAAAAAAAGTCCCTACCCTGTCATAATTAGACTGCACGCTAGTTATGGAATGTGATCTCAAGTCTGCACAAAGCGACTCCAAGTAGCGCCTCATGACTCTCAAGAAGTTGTTTGCTGCGTTGCCCTGAGCATTTTGTCAAGCAAATTAGACACAAAATTAGACAGTAATGAGATTAACTTAGCACATGTTTGTACCTGCACTTCATTGCACTTGTACACGGGATTTTTGTTTCCTGTGCCACTTTTATGCGACAATTTAGCATGAATTGGTCGAAGTTCAGAGAAGAGCTCTCTGTGTCTAGGAAGTGAAGGCAGTTGACATGATTTCACCTGCATTTTCCCAAAAAGGAATTGATCCAAGCAATTCACGAAGAACCATTTAATTACTTTTTCTCGAACTCATCAACAGAATTATTCCAAAATTACAAATTTCCCGGCAGCAGGAACGTCATGGCAAAAAACCAAGTAACCATGAATACTATATATCTTGTTAGAATAAAGATACGGGGAACTGCGAAGGCAATGGATACCTGGTCATTGACCACATTGACGATGATGAGGTTAGAGGATTTGATCCTCACTTCAGTAGGTTGAACTTGTATACCAGCCTGAAATGGAAAAAGTAACAACTCTACTTACTATTACTCTGACATTATACCAACTAAAATGATTAATATAGTAAGCAGTTAAACTTACAATAAAAGGAACTGGAGCATCAAGAAAATCAAACATCTTATCTGGCAGAACCTGCAGAAGACGATATACAAAGTTAGCAGAGACACCAAGCAATATCAGACTTCTAAGTTCATGTTCTTGTGTCCCATACAATTTAAAACTAAAAAAAAATGACACCTTTTAAGATGTTAATATGATCTTAAACTTGATGAACTTGATTTAATGTAAGGATGAAAGGTGAAGGTCATGAAAATATGGCTAAAGCCAGTGCTTAGAGGCAGTACAACGTACCGGAAGGAATAAACTTTGCCATTGAAATGGACGAATCAATGGTACCAGAGATAACACAACAGCAGATAGAACACCCTGCATCCAGAGAACGTTGAGTCGGATGAAAAATTCAATGTCATAAAGCAAACCATCATATGAACAAGATTCTTAGTCACTCAGAGTTTACAGAGGCAGAAAAACTAAGGATTTGTTGGACCTGTGATTTCAAATGTCCCAATGCATGATTTCGGTTGATATATGCTTTTTCTATACTGAACTATTCTGAAATTTCAAACCGAATTGCAGAAAAAAATATCACTAGCCTCAGGAGTAAAAAATGTTAGTTCACCTTGACAATTTCCAAATGGTGCATAATTCAGTCAATTGATACTATCATATTATTGTACATGTATGTATTCTCAAAATATATGAACTTTTCTACCCAAAAAAAAATATATGAACTCTAACAATCACATATTCCAAACACATACGATACATATAAAGTGTTCACATGCTCGGGAATTCTCACGTACTATAAGATCACATGATCAACTCACCAGGTTTGGGGACATTACCACTATCTGTTTTTCAAGCAAAACTCCTGCAAACAGAGCCAAGATCTGAAAAGAAAGTTATCACTACATCAGGCTAGTGAGACCAAGGCAACAGAGAGAGGAGCAATAATGCTTGCAAGATAAAGGAGGAATTTCAATATATGATAACACATACAAAATTCATGCACTCTCAGGAAGAACATTTAAAATAGGGGTGTAATTGTCAATGAAGCATGACTGGTCACTGTATTTATTACAAAGGGGTTAGAAAGTAAGTAATTGTATCATATCTGTATTTTAAAGTGGTAAAGTGTATAGTGACATTTATCACATAGCAGTGCACCCGACAGTAAAATAAATGAAATTGTCGATAGCGTCAGAGACAGACGATATGCAAGTCTTAGAAATGATGCAGAAAAAAGCCTATATGAATTATCCTTCAAAACATGTTTCAAGCCAATTAGATTTGGAGAAGGACATTACACTCTCTAGCGACAAAACACGGCAAAGAGTTGCAGTTGTCCATACTGATAGTGCAAAAGCTTCCTCCGTGACAGCTAATTTTGCATTGACATTTCCCTAGGTTTAACATTCAAGTAAGTAAATATGTAGTAGTGAAACATTATTAACAAACAAAAAAGAAAGAAAGGCACATAAATACCCCAACAACATTAGCTGCATCTTCAAAATTTCTAGAAAAGGCAAGCTCCGATACATGAGGTCGGTTATATTCAACAGCAGGTAAATGGTCAGTAGGCTGAAAAACAATTTTGCCTCCACGTTTGGGAACATCCATAGCATGGTACCTACAAATGATCAGCAACAAATCATTTTTGTTCTCCTACCCCAGCGGATAGAATCAACCAGAGAAGGAGTAGTTAGTAATCAAACTAATAGGATGTACTTCATAAACAAGGGAGATGCTGTATATAAAACTAACCTTGGCCCAGTCCACAATTAGATCATTCTCAAATTCTTTGCGCTGATTGGCAAAATGTTCATCTTCATCATCCTCAGACGTCATGCTTCTTACTGGACTGCCAAGACAACATTTTTTATGACTGATATGTACTGTTGCAACTTGAAAAATTATGCAATCATGAAAAAATGAAGAATTGTCATCTAGTAGAATATAAAAACAACCAGATATAATAAACATAAGCCTCAAGGGAACCACATGTACATTTAGAATCCATCAACCTGTTTTTTTTAATTGAATATAATGGGGGGATATTTATGATACTGCAAATATAGTACCTGAAAAGGGCATCAAAACTTAAATTACGCTCCATCTCGGGGCTTCTTGAGCAGGAAAACGGCATCAAAACATCTGGAGAAGCATGATCATTATCATAGCTTCCATATATTACTCGCTCATAAGCATCTGAGCGGGCTTCTGAGGACTCCGAACAACCATCATCAAATGAATTGTTGAGATTTTTGTTGCCATCATCCTTTTCACTCTCCCTTGTTTGACTGAAATCAGAAGCCTCACTAGCAGCTACACTCTCGGGGGAATGAGGTTCTTCTGATGTCCTTTGTGACGAATTATCATCATCTAATGCAAGTCCTGCAGCTGCAGCAGTAAGGGCCAGAGCACTTTCAACTGGTATGGCGAATGACATCCAGTCCATGTCATCCACCTGCTCCTGGTAAGTAATGCCCCCATTAATTTGAGAAGATTGTCTAGTGAATGATGGGACACAACTATTGAAGGATATTTCATTGAGAAATTGTGTTATCCTATTCAGACGCTCCTGTGCTATGATGCTGCAATCATATTACGTCATGTTAGCTAAACATAAAAAGAATCCACTATCTTCACTACAGTTGAGCCAACAAGTGAAACACAGGCAAACCTGTTAAGCATCTCATAGTGTAGCTCAAAGAAAGGCACTTTGGTTAACAGACAGTAACAACGAGGTGCAGACACCAAAAAACGGCCGCAGTGTCTAGATGAAGAAAGAGGCGATGAGAAGCCTAAGATACCAAGTGGCCTCTGAACAAACTCTGTTGTGTGCAAGCACACACCATATAGCGTGTCACTGTCAGCTACCTGACCAATGGTACATAGATACTCTTAGAATTTTTTTACTGAAAGAAAATCATTTTGTCCTTTTCAAAACCAAGCAAACTGGTACAGAAAATGGCAAGCTTGAACCAAGTAGGTATTGAGTCATATTTGGTGGATACCATGAGCAGCCTGTATAGTCATTCTCAAAAGCATGTATGCTAGAATTAAATAACCAGGTTACGGTAGTCATCAAAAAGGACTTAATGAAGTATGTTAGGCAAATGAGAATATCCGATAGACATCATAATTCACATGCACAAACAGTGAAAAGGAAGACACAAGGACAAATCGTGTGGCAGATATAAATCCACAGCAAACAGCTTGAGCCAAAAATAAGATGTGAAGCACCAAGGGTCAGGAAACATACCTTTAGAGAAAATACAAATGATGAATCATCTCTTCCCAAATGACCCTGCACAAAATGTGTTTACAAAAAAATGTAAAGGTTACTTCACCACCAAAATGAGTAAGTAACAACATACAAGAGGAATATAGCTTGGCAAATTTCCCAGAGTGAGAAGACAAGCATTCCATTTATGTTACCCACTCATGGATCTTTCTCATAAACATTAACCACATATGTGAGTGATAAAAATATGACTAGGAACACAATACCTGTCCATAGACAAGTTCATTTAGCTCACTAAGCGAGGGTGTCCTCTCCAATAGCCTTGGCTGCATATCAATCCATAGAAGAATCAGTGAATCATTAATTATTTCTGAATAAAAACAAAAGAATTATTGAAGTCCATATACTACATGTGACTTGGTCACAAGAAACAATGAACCTAAACCTCAGCACTAATGCAGTTGAGGACGTTGGCCTGTTTCATTACTTAATGACATGTTTCCCAGGACTCGATAGAGCTAATATACAATTCCCTCTCTGTGTATGTATATATCCATATAACATACACTCATAGATCTGTACACACACGTACATCCAACATTGCATTTTACATCCACGGTAGAGAAAGAGTTGGAAGATAATGAAGTGAACATTTAGGAATATGTATCAACTTGATAAAAACAACAGCTTTAAGTTGAAAATACTGCATGTTATAGCAATAACTATCACATATTTGGATATATCGTAAGTTTATATGAGATAAATAGCAACAAACCTTAACACCAGTTGGGAAACAAAAAGCACCCAAATCTTTCACGTGCATAGGTAATCTTTTTCCAGGAGGATATTTAAAGAGTAGCTGCAAGAGAAGATTCGTGTATCAGAACAAGGTAGATATCATGAGTCTATACCAAACAAGTTGCTAAGTTTGTTTCAGTGGAAAGAAAGTAACACATTGTGGCTCAATTAACCGCAAGTGCAAGTAGGGGAAACACATATGATTTAATGGATATTACAGGCATGTGCTACTTTGTAATCTGCGATGAAAAATGTGGCCTGAGCACAAGCGTAAGATGTCTATTGCCTTGAATTTTTTATTTTTTTTCATTAAATGACAGCAACAGTGGAAGGACAATATTTTTCAATTCATAGACATTATAGAAGTTTTTGCTAAATAAACTAATAAGATACCTGAGGTTCCATTTTTGGAAACTGAGGTGCTCGATTCTGTACTGCCTTAATATCCCTTGATCCTGATCTTCTTTGTAGAGATTCCCACTTCTTCCTCTTGGCAAATGCTTCCTCCACAGCTTGGAGATTAGTATCAGGTTTGAGGCCCGTGACAATGAAGTGCTCAAATAGTGAGCTAGGCTCCTTGTAACTTGCAAGATCCTACAATTCAAATCTTGTGATTTATCAGTTCCTCCATTCCTAGAGATATTGATGTTGATGTTTCACTAATACCAGTACTGTTCATCATTTCTCCTAAAACAACGCATGCTTCTTAGAATCCATAAGAAACTGAGTCCCAAGTTCCTTAAGGTTAGACTCTAACCTTCACTTCCAAAAATTGCACCATTAGAAAACCTCGTCGTGAGCTATAATACCTCCAAAAAGTTCCTTACTATACTAGTATACATACATATAAAAAGTAAGAAAAAAAATAAAGAGGGAAGAAAAGGGTAAGGCCTACCGTAGATTTGGAATGAAGTTGATACCACTGTCGTTTCTGGTCAGCCAAAACCTCTGGATTGAAGGTAGGGACTAATAAGTCTTGCTCACTTGAATTACCACCCCATAGCAACGCTTTTTGCATATGAACTTTCAATTTCTGAAAACTGTTGTTCCCTTTAGCATCCCTAGTCAAAACTTCACTCTGACTCCGCTGGTGGTGGTGTGAATGCGGCAGGGAAGTCGGAGTTGGAGCCTCGGCATGAGCCTTGCCGCCACCGGGGTACACACTTTGATGTTTGTTGCCAGCAACTCTAATTGCCTCCTCCGAGACGTTCTGCAAAACCACATAAGGGGAAGGCGACCAATCCTCTTTCCGCCCGTGCTCTTGTGATTTTTCTGCTTGCAAACTAGCCATTTTCCTCCCCTTCTTATTCAAATTACAACAACACTTGACTCATCACCATCAATCACCATTTCAGACCCCGAAACCTTCCATTAATCTCCCACAAAAGCGAAAACCTTTCAAGTCTCTTTCCACCTTTCGACATCCAACGAAAACAAAAGTAACACCAAGACGACGAAATGTGGGCCGTCCCTTCAATGCACATAAACAATACACCTTAACGACCTGTTCTTCTTCTTCTTCCTTTCTTTTTTACCCTTTTCAATTGGAAATGGTCAAAATGAGCATAGACCCAATAAGCAAAACGACAGAAAGGTCCAGACTTTAAAGTGTTCGAATCAGGAAACTCGAACGGCTGAACCAGCAAGATCAAATAAATGAGTGGCTGAAAATAAAATAAAAAATTTGAATCATGATCACATTTCGAAGAAGAAATGGAAGAAACTCAATTAGAAGGTTAAAAATGGTTGGGATAACATTAAATGACACCCTTTTCCACAAATTCAATGAGCCCGAAGAAAGTTTTGCATTCTACCTAAAGAAAAGGAAGATGAAAGTTGTGCCCTTTTTGGATTGTTCATGAACTCGTTACCTTATGAGACAGAAATCCGTTATGCTTTTTTTTCTTCTTCTTCTTCTTCTTCTTCTGTTCCTTGTCGTTTCCTGGGGTTTGCAGGGGGATTTTGGTTCTGGTGCAGGCGAAAACAATGGAACGCTATAATTAGAAGAGAATTATGTCAATGGAAGAATTTGCAACTAGGGAGGACATGGGAGGGAGGAGGGAGCAAGTTGTTGTTCCCCCTCTATTAATTTTCCTTTGTTGGGGTTTGTGGGTTGTGTTGGAGGAGGAAAAGAGTAGCAAAAGTAGCAGTAGCCTTTTTTTGTTTCTGGTTTTCTTTCTTCCAGAGAAGCATGGATTACGGAAAAGCCAACTCCTCAGGTTGTTGAGAGAAAAAAGGGAGAAGGAAATAGAGCAATCGCCAAATTTTGTGACCAAGTATTTTTTTTTTATATTTGTAATTTGTTTGTTAGCTTTAGCCGTCTCTCACATTTGACTTTGAGATTTTCCAGACTTTGGACACTATTAAAGGTTTCCTCCTGGGTGCAGATTCATGGGAGTCATGCCCTTAAAAAATGAATCAATCTAACGTTTTTTTTTGCGCTTCTGAGATCTTGGACCAATGTGATTGTGGAGTCGACATGTTTCATCCTACGATTGTAATTTAAAAATAGAGATAATACCTCTGGAGTCTGGACACGACTGGATAGTTATAATTTTGCACTTTATTACAATAATAATATCCAATTGTGAAAAAAAATACACAAGTATAGTCATTTCGTTAATAATTTTAATGGGACCTTCTACAACAACTTGAGTATTGTTCAAGTTAGATAATTTGAATAGATTTGAACCATTAAAATAAATAAAAAATTATTTTAAGTAATTTATTAAAAAGTGGAAAAAGAAAGAACCATTGCAGCCGGTTATCACTACCGTCTTTAATTGTTTTCATTTTTATTTTCCTTTTCACATTTTAACCGTTTCTTTGTCATTTAACCTTTTCATGTTAATAATTTTTATTTATTTTACCTTTGCATGTTTAAAACAAAATTTAAATATTACCAAAAAAATTAACAAATCTTATTAAGTAGAATTTTCTTAATGACTTAATATTTTACGTAACATAATGTTAATATTCATTACGTAATATTTTCATAATCACTTTAAAACTATAACATAAAATAAACGTTTGTTATGTACACTCGAAGTGGAAAGAAGGTTACACCTCGAGGAAGGCAGAATGGCGATACCAAAATCCATGGGTAGGGCACCAAAATCCACAGCCGTGGAATCAAGGTTGTACTCATGGATTTGAGACAGGAAGAATTCACGGTCAAGAACCCAAATCCACGATCGTGGAATTCAAGGAGGAGACTGTTGAATTTGACGTGACTAGTTAAAATTACTTTTTCGATTTAAGCTTTTGTTTCCTTTAGGGGTTTTGGTGATTTATTTGCCTTGGACTATATAAAGGGCCTGGGACACAAAATTATGGTAGACTTTGATGAATATTGATATTTAGATCTCTGCTCGCCATTGTTCAGTGGTGGGGAAGGGGTTCCGTGGGTTTAGAGGCCGATTGGAGTTGGAGGGGAAGGGATTTTGCTGCAGTTAGATTAGCTTTTAGTTTTTATTTTCTTGTTTTAAATGTTGATAAATAATAATATTGAAATTAATAAATTACAAGTCAAACAATGGACTTATTGCCACGTCATTAGGAATTGTCCAACTGAGCAACTAAATTGCCACATCAGAACTAACTGACAGTCAATCAAATGGAAACTTAACTGTTTGGCTATTATTTTGTTTTACGAATGGTTTGGCTATTATTTTGTTTAAAATGAAAGGTTTGACTATCATATTGTATTTACCCAAGGTTCAAAAAGGCGCTAGGCGTAAGGCGGGCGTTGAGCCTCTGCCTTATGTCTAGCTCGCTTAAGCGTGCCTAGGCGTTGGAAGAAAATAGCTATACGCACTGCATGATGAATGAAATAATTATCTACAACACTTCCTCACTTCTGTTAAAATGATTAATAACTTACTCAACACTTAATGACAAGAACATGTAGTTCACGTATTGATATAATCATAGTTCAATAGCTCACAAAGTTCTTGAGCTATTGAAAATATTGCAATAGAAAATTGATTTCGTAGTTGATGTTAATTTTTGCCTTTAATATTGACTTACTAGCTCCATCTAGTAATGTTTAGGAGAGACTTATATGTCGCCTTACTCAATGACGTGTTCCAGTATCTAATTAGGCGCGAAACTCCTAGGCGAGGCGTTTTGTCATTGCCTTGCGCCTAGGTGTGCCTAAGCGTAAGATTAAGCGTGCCTTTTTAGATCATGAATTAACTGTAACTAGCGTGGGCCCCGGCCATTTGGCCGGAGGAAGGTGAGGTATGAAATTTGATAATGTAATTGGTGTATAGCTTATTGTTCACGTGATAAAAATAGTGAATTTTAGTAGGAAAGAGACATGAATGATGCAACGAATCAAAAATCAGCCTTATGAACTAAAATCAAGTACATGTTACCTTGTGAAACAGTATTGTTTTGGGTAATATGATAAGGTGGAGTAAGTTTTATAGAAACCGAATTCCAGAAAATCGAATAAAAAATCGCATACCCCGCCGGTTTTTCGGGAAATGAGCATCTCACAATCGTTGCTAGATTTTACTCGGCTCGTTGGCCGATTAATTTGCTTTATAAAACTTTCATCTTGTCATCATTGTGCTTTCTGGTTTTTTGCCAAGCCATGATAAATCTAAAGAAATCAAGAATGAACAACACGATTTGGGATAGGAACCACCGGTCCTGTATCCCTAGAAAATGGTGGTAAACACGGACTCACCTGCCAAACTGGTTTGGATTGAGATTTTTATCGGGTATCAGGGAACCATGTGATTATAAATTAGACTTGATCAAAACGGGTCAAAACTTGAAATTCAACCTATTTGACCAACCCATGCCAAACTCTAATTATTCATTACTTTTAAACTTTCTATTTGAAAATAAAAAATAATGAAAGAAAAGAGATGACTGCAATTCGCCATTTGCACATCACTTATTCGGGAATAAAACTATAGAATTTTAAAAAGAAACTGAAAATGTTTAGGATCGTTTTAATGTTAAAAATAACCAAATAGATCTTTCTGTTTAGTTTTTTACTAACAAATACCAAACGATTCCCTATAATATACATTATAATTTAATCATTATAATATCAAATAATTACATAATATATATTTGAAATGATAAAAATTGGACTAATTGGGTTGGTCGAGGTTGAACCATTGAATAACTTTAAAATGCATTATATTTTAGCCACTAAGATATAAAATAATAGCATAATATATATTATGCTAGAGAAAATAGCTTGTTTTAGAATGACAAACCCATGATGTTCATTTGTTTTACTTGATGGGAAAATCCTGTGTAAGTCAGACTCATTCAACTCTTTTATTTTATGATTAGCGGTTAGCCCATTAGAATCCATGCATTAGTTTATTGTTAATTTTTTTCTTTTTAGCAATAAAAAAGAGTATTGTTTTTGCCTTTTCATATATATTTTACCACCACGGAGAAATAAAAGGACTTAAAGAAAAAAATTGACACTCCTGGACCCGTTAAAATCCGCATGTGTATGGTAAGTTGGCCCGTTCCACAGAGGAAAAAGAAAAAACTTGACACTCCCTATTCTACCCTTCCTACAAACGCTTTGGAGCATGGAGTTTGAAATGGGGAAAGAGTTTTTTTCCTCTCTGCGATTATATGTTTTTAATTTAAAAAATACAACAAATGTACTTAGTGCGATTGGTTATGAACTTTGCTTTTCTTTAAAGTGGTCATGGTTGGAATCAGGGGCGGATACATGAGGGTTTAGAGGTGTCTGGGGACACCCCTAAAATTTGGGAATACAATTATTCAACCCCCAGTAATAGTTTTGTATGGATAAAAAATTATAATTAGTGATTTGGGACACCCCTACAACGATAATACTATCCTTAGTAGTAGTTTGCGTATACTTAGAAAAAATAAGTGATAGTCTGTGTTATTCAATCTTAGGATATACTATATTTTTTAAACATTGTCCTCCATTAAGTTGTAACTCATTTGTTGTTCTATTTTAAACACTACATAATAGTAAAAAGTTATTCCTTATCCCCGACTATTTCCAAAACCTAACAATTAAACTAATTACGGGCTACCCTTAATTTGAATTGATTTTATGGTTACACAACAAGTGTTGAAAGAGTCTTTTCAACTTTGAGTTACATCAATAACAAGGTTAGAAATCCATATGCGATCAGTTTGTGAACTATTTTCTAGTAGGATATACAGATTTGTTGAGTAATTTACCAAGCCTATTTTTTATTCCTTTTCAGAATATAAAACACATCGTGACCTTATGTTAAAATTTGTACTAGTTCGATATTTTTTATTTATGAATTATTTATTTTATTTTAATTTTTTTTGAACAAGACACTCCTGTTAAAATTTTCTAGATCCGCCACTGGTTGGAATCCTAGTAAGTGTCTTTTTAATGAATAAAAAAAAATAATTGTGAAGACCAAAATGTCATTCCTACTTTCACTCTGGATGTAGGAAATTTGAAATGGGGCTTCAAATTTTCTCATTTGGCTTTTATTTATTGTATAAATTCAGAGTATAATACTATATCCTAACCTCTAATGAATGAACTCTAATCTTCTATTCTCTAACACAAATTATAAGAACTATTTAATTTTAAAAATGAAAATCAACAAGTTATGCGTATAGCTTACTGAAAATCAAAGGCTTTGACAATTTTAAGTTTTTAACGTACATCCGATATTAAACGGAGTATTAGTCTGTTATACAATTATTACGCAATTACTGAAATATCCTCTTCCCCATTCCTGTTCGAGAGGAGTGTGTGTTTGAGTTTGAGAGCCCTTCTTCTCCCACCTAGGCTAAAACTTTCGCGCTCGAAAAGTTCTCCCCAGCTCCACTTTGTATATGCGAACCCTAAATCCACCCCGAATCCCAATCAATCCTGTGTCGATACGAACCCTAACCAGATTACACACAGCTCGACTTGTTCTTCTCATGTGCTACAAATTCCCCAATTTCTGTGATTGATGTCTCTTCAGATTGTGGAGCTCCATCGTAACCCTTAATCTGCAAACATGGACGCCAAGGACATCCTTGGATTGCCCAAAACGCCACTCTCAGTACCTCCGGAAAAGAAGTCCCAGCCGAAGAAAGATTCCCAGAGAAAACCCGATGGCATTTCGCGCGAGGTTTCTGAATATAGGCTTGGGTAGTATTTTTTTGTTTCTTATTTACGAACCCATTTACTTTTACTTGATAATCGTCTGCCAAATGTGCAGGTGTATGCTCTTACGGGAGGGCTGGCTCCGTTAATGCCATCGATTGATTCGTCTTACTTGAAGAAACGGCCCCCTTCTGACGAGAAGGTAACTCATTCTGTATTTGCTAACTTGTTCTTGCGTAAAGATCAGTTGGGGGGGAGTACTCCCTGTTGTGACTGTGTTTTCTTTATATATTTTTGGGAATTTGAATGTAGATCACTTGGCAATGGCTTCCCTTCACAAATTCTGCTCGGAAGGACACTCTGCAGCTTTATCATTGGGTATAGCTTTGAACCTGCTAGATTGTTTCTCTTTTTGTGTAGTATAAGAGAAATTTTAAAAAAGGAGTTGGTCACTCAGAAGTCCTAGTGTCTTTTCGGATTTGCAGGTTAGGGTGGTGAACGGTGTTCCTCCAACAGGGGATTATTCGTTTGCCAAGTATAATAAGGTATTGTATATTTTTCATCTTTCTGATATTTTGGGACTTGAAAATTTCCAAACTTGGTGGCTAGGTTGTCTTGAACTTCTCTAAATTTGTTCTATGTCCCTGTAATTTTTGTCTTTGAATGACCTGTATGTTCTTTTGTTGAATGAGCACAGTCTATTGAGGTTACCAAGTACACCGATGAGGAATATGCACAGCATTTGACTGATCCTGTAGGTACTCATATCACTTTGTGGTTGCCATTTTCATAACTCTTCTTATTGCTTCATTCAAAAAGAAAAGCTCCTGTTACTCTTCGCTTGTAACCTTGACTCAAGGGATGCTGGAAACATGGAGAGGATTGTCTTCTGAACTGATAATGCTGTCAGCTTAGTTCTAAGTTGGCATCCACTTATTTCTTGCTCTTTTTCTCCATCAGTCATGGACCAAGCAAGAGACAGATCAGCTGTTCGATTTGTGCGAACAATTTGATCTCCGCTTTGTGATCATAGCAGATAGGTTTCCATCTTCTCGGACTATGGAGGAATTGAAGGATCGCTATTATAGTGGTAATTAATAATTGTTAAGTTACATTTCTGGAGGACTTATAAATGTCTTTGGTCCTACTCAGCTTGATTTGCTTGAGAAGGATGTTCTTGATCTGTCACGATCTCTTCATTTTTTTTGTGGGTGTTTATCATATCTTTTCTTTTCCCAGTGTGTCGTTCCATATTGCTTGCTAGGGCTTCATCTCCAGCTGATGTATCGGGCCATCCTTTGGTTAAGGTAACGTGGCTTAGAGTTACTAATTAAAAATGTGGTCGGGCATAGTACTTCAACTTGTATGCCAATTTAGCTTCTTTTTTTCATTTTGGTTTTGAAGGAAAACTATAATGCTTCACAAGAGAAAGAACGCAAGCGTGCTTTGTCCATGGTCCTTTCCCAAACCAAGCAGCAAGAGAAAAAGGATGCAGAGGTGTTATTTGGTTTCAGAAATTATACTGGTTTCTGTTGATTGACCATATATCTTTGGTATTTGTTACATGACAACCAGCTGTTCTTCAATTTTTCAGGTCCTCGCTGAAGCCAAAAAAATAGCTGAGTCGCGGATGGCTGCTAAAGTAAGTAGTTGATTCTGCATTTGTTGCATAGTTGTGGATAGTCACGACTACAATGGTATTGTCAAGGAGCATAATGGGTTTAAACTCTTGCATTGATTGCCTAAGGCTTATTTTCTATCCTTTTTGCTCTTTTTTGTTTTGGACCATTATAATTGTGTTTTCTAATTATATATGTTCTTTTTAAAACAAGAGCTTTATTTTTATTAATAAATCAACAAATATTGTTGCATAACATTGTGAATTCCCTGAGCAGGGTTTTGCTGTATGAGTTTAGGAGAAGATTACACATGTATTTTGTATGGTGTTTAATATTATCTGATTAATGTCCCTAAAACTATGATTTATTAGATTGTGTGGCGTCTATGCTGCCTGTCTCTCCAAACTGAAACTTCAGTTTGATTCATGCGAAGCGAAATGTCGGTACCCATGTCTACTTGTTGGTTATGTTTTAATTGCTGTAATTTGTTCAGGGTGTCGAGGAATCTGTAATGCCTGCGACTGAGAATGAATTTCCTGAAACAACTATTGATCACAATGATACTCTTGTATCTCTATCCAATGTTCGACTTGCCCCAGTGGCAGTTCCACCTTCAACTTTGGTCATTGCAGATACTTCTTCTACTCTGGCTTCACTGCGTATGGTAAGTGGAGATTTTTATTTGAGACTTCATCATTTCTATCTCCTCTTTCCACAACTCTCTTCTCCCGCCCGGGTGTAAACTCTCTTGTATGTAATGTTTGTTGTGGATAACTTAATTTAAGTGAAATATATAGCCTATTTTGGTATTATTTCTTGAACGTGTAGACTGACGTCTTTTGACTCCCAATTTCAGCTTCCAGTATACTTGAGAACATATGCACTTGAGCAAATGGTGCAACAGGCGAGTTCGTCAGCAGGACTTCGTACCATTAAGCGAGTTGAGCAAACTTTGCAAGATCTTGGGGTTTGTTTTCCTCCCTGAACTCTAGTTAAATGTTTACTATGTGTAACTCATCAACATATGCCTATGTTTGTTATATCATTCTCCATACTTTTCCTTCCGAGACATTCATTTTTGTGCGTGAATTGCTTGTATAATTTAGTTTAACTCTGAGAAATAGAATACAAATTCACGAACTGTTTTACTCCAACAGATTAATTTAAAACCTAGGGTGCCAACAAAAGCTGTCTGTGCTGAACACCTGGAGTTGAGAAAGGAAATATTGACCCTACTAAACCTCCAAAAACAGGCAAGTGTATCCGAAATTTCCCTCTGCTGCTTATTATGATTTTATTGAGTGATTGCTCCACTACCCTGGTTTTCTTTTTTGGGCTTTGTTTCTATTGGGTTCAGACTAACGGGTAATTATACTCTGCTTGCGTAATGTCTTCCTTACTAGTATTCTGTATTTCATTTGACAATCAGTTGCAATACAAGGAGGCAGAAGGTTCATCATTACGTGAGGGTACTACCTATTCAGAAATGCCTGGTACACCAAAGGTCAGTGAACTGTATGCTTGTCTGTTACCATTTGATGTTGCTATCCATCACTGGCTACAATTGTCACCTGGATTGATATGATTTGAATGCTTTTCAACAGCGTCAAGTACGTGATCATGATCGGACATTTATTCCTGATGCGATGAGTTTTGGAGGTAATACTTGCTTATGTGGTTGGTCCATTTAGTATTTGTCTAATCTCTCTTTCAGTTTATTATAAGACACATGCTATCTGCCAACCTATGCTCCTCCGTCATTTTTTCCCTTCCTTTGATGCCAGGTGAAAGAGGTGGTCGAAAGGACCAGAAACGCAAGGTAAAAAATGTTTCTTTACCACACATAATTGTTCATATCGCAGCTTCAGCATATCTTCTTCGCAGAGAGCTGATTGGCTCTTTTAACTTGCGACTTTCCTCGTGAAGGGACCTGGAAGGGTATCTGAGACACCATCATCTCCAGCTAATAAGCGGCCAAGAAAAATGAAGGCATCTGATCTCTGATAGCTGGAGGAACTAGGTAGCAGAATGGGGTTTCATCTGTTCTGGGCTCTGGTTTATACGAGTATCAATCTTCAAATATGGTTTGGTCATTGTTAGTTACCATGAGTGTTATTGGCTTCATGCAGTACACCTTAGGGTTTGACAGCAGCAATTTACTCCTCAAGGAAAATAGATAAGCACTAAGATTTCCTGTGACAGAATCCAGAGACTCGCACCAAATGGGCAAAGGATGCAAAACAATGAGCTGGAATTGCAGCTTTCCGACGTTGTTGGCACATCTTTAACTGGATGCTGCCAAAATTCTGACTCTATATCTGTATAATCATTGTTCTATGGCGCAGAGTTGTGACTTGTCCTATTTATCTATAGAAACAGTTCCTGTCCTTGGCTGTATGTAGATGGATGTTGGAGAGTAGACGAAATGCAGATTTGTAGGAATGTCATATATCCAAGTTCTTCCCATTCCCTGGGTAATACTGTTAGGTCGGACTTCACTTCACTTCGATTCATTGAATGGTATGGTAGGAAATGTATCATATTCTGCTTGAAAGCTAGGATTTGCTGATTTGGTACATTAAGATTCCGCTCATTCAAAGTGCAGACAGAAGTGTTGTACGTGGAGAATGTTCCTTTGTAGTTGTCTTTTTGGCAGCCTGCTGGTGGGGGGGATTGGTATTTTGCACAATGGTGGCTTTTCTTTTGGTGTGTGGTAATTGTTTCTTTGCGTTGAAACTTTAAGTAGAAGCAAAATTGTTGACATAGAAATGGTAGTCGGTCACCATGGATATTGTAATCGCTTGAGGAGAAAGTTATGGAACTACTCTTACTTTGAACGTACAGAACGTAGAAAGAAAAGAGAACTAATATACACCGAGGTAGAAGTCACTGCTGCCATTAACTCGAAGCAATAGCATTCCCTCTTCTGCCATTGACACCAAGTTCTGAAGGCCATTGCCTATGACAAGCTGTCAAAATGACGGGCTACAGTTCCGTGGAGAGCGAGGCAAACACAAGGAAAGAAAGGGGAAAAAGCTTGGCGTACAAGCTATATATGTCGAAAGAGAGGGAAGAAAGACGGCAATGCTCGTTTACTTCGTCGAAAAGCCAAAAACAGGTTGCTGCATGCGAAAGATAGTTTTCCTTTCAACTCAGTACTGCTTGCGGACATAACATTACACTTCGTTCATCCACCTAATGTTATTCTTATTTGTGTGGAGTTTCAATGAGACCTCCAAAAACTACGAGTATGAATAATTCGGTGTCCTACAAACTTGGAGGGGTCAACAACGAACTAGACAATGATGCTTATCCTGACATCTGGGAGGTCTTTTGATAGTTATGTATCTCGTCACTTGTGTCATATTAATATTATGCGTGACATTTTTTTTCTTACCTGCAACGCTAATTATGAGAGGGTCAATGAATACAATGATGATAGAGAATGGACACTCAATAAGGGATATTTATTTAGATAGGGGGTTTCCAAATTTATAAGGTTGGCGGATTAGCAACTTAAAAAGTTTCAAATTTGTGAGCTCCATTCATTTGGCAACTCTTTTTTGTTGGGTTAATTGCATGGTTGGTCGCTGACATTACAAAAAAACATTCATGTTTGGTCACGGGAAATATTTAAATCCAATCTTGGTCACTAAACTTAGTAAAATAGTTCAAGTTTGGTCACTCTCCGTCCATTTCCGTTAACTCTAGTTTACGTGGTAGTCAACTTTCATAGTTGACCATTAACTATGCGACGTGGTTTCTAAAAAAATATTAAAAACAAAAAAAAATTATATTTTCCACCTCATTATTACATTCATTAAAAAAAACCTAATTTCTTTTCTACACACCCCCATACCCTAACCCTACCCGACCCAACCTCACCACCACCAAAACACAATCTCCGGCCTAGTATCGTTACCTCCAAGAAAATCCTCGGCCATCAACCACTATAACTACTACTGACAGGAAAGTAATCGTCAATCATCATCGGAAAGTAATATGTGGGTCTCTCACTTTCGTCAGTGAGATTACCATATTCTTGATAACACTGACGAAAGAGAGAAATGTGCAAATTACATAGTGTAACTTGAAGCACATCCTTCCCTACCTAATCAAACATTGTGAAGTTAGGACTGCAACGTACTCGAACAGGGGACAACAATTCTGGTGGTTCTGCAAATTCAGCAGTCCTTGCTCCGCTGAGAACATCAAAAGAACAGCCAACCGGGTGGAATGCACTAGTATTCATCAATCCATCCTCAACGTAAAAACTCAAATGGGTAGGCACACCTAGTCAACCTCCATCCCTGAAAAGGCTTCGTCGAGGATCTTCTCGAGTTCTTTCATTCTGTGTCTCGTCAACGCTACGCAATCCTGCAACCAAACAGGAACGTAGCCAAGCTTTAGTGTTGTTCGCAAGTTCGTTCAAACTGTGTCGTGAAAAATGAAGTCACTATGTAATCAGACTCACTGTAACAAGAGAGGTATAGGCAAGAGCGGGTCCACCAGGTTTGTAGAACGAGACAAGTCTGTCGGACGAGTCCATGACCACTGTCACGAGAGTTTCCATGATGGATTCTTCTTCTGACGTGGGGTCTGCCAAGATGTACTTCTTATGTAGTGCACATGTAAGTGAGAAAGGGATGCTGCCGAGGGTTAGTTTTATCTTCTCTTTGTTAACTGCTTCTTTCTCCAACTTCCTCCCATCACCTTCCTCTGTGAAGGCTACTATTTTTCCTTTGTCATTCACGGAAACTACTGGGATTTGCACTGCAAGAGAATACCGAGCGGGCACATGGATTAGGGAAAGCAGTAACGTGTACGAAGTAGGAACTATTAAGGAAGGGAGACAAGTGTTTACAGTGGGAGAATGCAGCCACGGCTGAAAGCAATGCTGCATCAAAAAGTGCACCATCGGCATCTAAACAATATATGTCCTGCAATTGAGATTATGCAAGTTTGTCACCCAGCAGATAGCAGTTGTGGAAGTAAGGTCCACGATGACATCTTGTTACTGTTAAAGAGTTAAGAATGTAGGAAAGAATTGTATAGTTGGCATGTCTCATGAAGAAGCTTGAAACAAAATTCTCGGGAATCATTTCTGCTTACCAAGTAAGCCATCCAAGCAGCTTTTCCACTGACCAAAGCAAGTTCCTTCAGATCAATCATCCCAGAACTGCAAAGACCATGCAGATGGTTCTTCCTTATCATGAACGAACTCTAGTACAAGAATGCAATCATTGTGTTCAGTTTATCCAATTGAAAAGAAAAAGCTTTTTCATTAACCCCATCGAGTACAGAATTAGATCTGCTTGGCAAGTTCAAGGTACCCATGGCTCACATTCCATAGACTCGGGCTCTTAGCACAAGACTTGGGAAAGACGTGCTTGCATTCTAAAGCATGCAACTTTCAGACAGTCGATCAAGCAACTAACATGATACCACTCATCCCGGCCCAATCCTTTTTTGTCTGACAACTTATGTAGCATAAATAACACCAGATCGAAACAGGAGAGCATAATCAGACATGATGCTACAATGGCCAGTTGATTCATTGAGAAATACTTAATCAGACATGTCCATGGCCTTTTCTGGTATGAATAGTGGCTATCCAGTACTTTTTCATTCTCATAAATACTATAAATTTGATGAAAAACAAAAAACTACATCATGAAATACAAGTTGAACATCAAGTGATTACATTCTTTCGTACCTCAAAATGGTGTCAGACAGTTGCTTTGATACAACTACTGCTGCTTCAGCAGGCCTGCCAGGCCTAACAATGGGAGAGCAAATTGGTGGCATGTGGAACTCAATAGCTGCATGTTACATATGTCCAATGGATTACAACTTAACAGTCGAAAGACATCGCAAACAGAAGCACAAATCATTACCAGGTTCAACATACCTATACACCCCTCATCAGGTGATTCTGCGGAAGGAGTCATGACTTCCATTTTTATGGCAGCAAGCATTGTCTGAAAACAGACAGACAAGTAGAGAAGGATTTGTGGTTTTATCTTCCATGTTTCCAAACATAAAACAAATGCATCAGTGACAACATATACGAGAGGGAGATGCCACCTACAGTAGAGCCAATCTTTGCGAGAGCGGATCCATCAGCAGAAGAAACAGCCCCTGATAGAAATTGTCTTCAATTAGATTAGAAAAATAAGTGTAAAAAGCTGTACAGGATCATAAAGCTGCAACAAGAAAAAGAAAAAAGAAAAAAAAACGAGGCACTCACCCAAGGCCACTGTAGTATCTCTAGCCCTTCCAAGAGGCCTACCATCAGGTCGTATAGATTCGGCAAGATGGCGCTCATAGTAGCGTAGTGGGAAGAGACGCCTGAATGCATCCACTTCCATCTCCGCTGACAAGTCCCCGGATGAGTCCAGCAACCCCATTGTCAATTTTATTCCTTATCTATCTGTTTATTACATTATAAAAACAAGCATCAGCAGTCATCTTCTTTAATCATAAGATGTGGATTGCGTAGTGTAGTAAACTTCGAAATGTGTAAAAATCAGCCTGTATTGAGCAGTTTAAGACCATGTGGGTTCTGTACTTCCCAACAAATGAAATTATGTAGCAATTAGCATCATACACAGCAAGGTATATAATCCCACATTCTCTTTAACCATTTCAACTTATTTTTCATACTGTAATCTAGCATAAAACATGGAGGATTGTACAATGAATAGCCAATTGGAGAAAACAGGTAAAGTGGCAAAGGAAAAGAATAAACCACTGTTATTCAACAGCAATGAGATGGGTTAGAAATTCAAGCTACAACATTGCTCACAGAAGATGCTTCACACAAACGCAGGTCTAATAAGGCTAACTGTAGAATGCCCATCACCAACTTAAGCTCAACTATCAGCAAAACACAAAGGCAGAACGGGAGAAAGTTCGGCCAAAACCGATGGAAGAGTTAAAGTAAGCAAAAGCGTTGGTGAGAAAAAACCTCCCGCAGTGAGTAAGGAATATGACAGGTACCGAGAGTTCTCGACTATAGTCCGGCTTGTCAATCAGGGTATTGATACTATCAAAGAGGGTGGATCAGAGAAAGATTCCGGCGGTGCGTGGCGACGGGAGACAAGAGAAGAGGCGACGGATGTCACGGCAGCAGTAAGCAGTCGGCAGGCGGGGAGGGCTCGGAGGGCGCTTTGGAGCTGGAGGCAACGGCGGGAAAGCAAAACTAGGGATTCAGGATTGAGGAGACCGGCGTGGGTTTGGGCTTTGATCCAAATCCATGGGCTCTTATTGCTGGAAATGAAGGGCCATGGGCTGCAGTTCCCGCCCCCTCCAAATTGTATCGGATAATATAATATCTGAATTGCTATTCATCGCCCTAAATTTTAAAAATTTTCGCCCTAAATCATATTACATTGACGTTTATACCCTTATTTACAATATCGATCCCCAACCCCTAACTTCCTCCCACAGGCCAAATTCAGGTAGTCGCCGCCACCGTTCACCCAACCTGCCGCACCTCCCGTTCCCCCAACCCACCATCGTTGTTTTTCCCCAGCCGCTGACCGCCTGACCCGCTACCATTGCAGAGAAGGAGAAAGAATGCCACCAGCCGGATTCGCTGCCGTGGCCATTCCCCCAGCAAGTCGACCCGTGGCGATTCCCCAAATCCACCGACCCGGTGCAATTGCTGAGGAAGGAGAAAGAAGAAGCAGGAGGAAGTGTCCGAGCGCTGGGCACCCGCTGCGAATCTCCCAATTCGCCGGCCTGAAGTGTGTAAAAACATCGATTCCCCAATCCGCCGCTGCCGTTCCCCCAGCCCACCGACCGGCTGTTGCTTTTTGGAAACACAGCGGCGGCGACGGAGCATAAAGAGGAAGAAGTAAAGGGAAATGGAAATGGGAGGCAGGGGAAGCTTTCACTGTCAAGTTCAAGTAGTGATCGAAAACTCTTTCAAGTACAAAGCAGCCAAGTAGTGACCAGATGGAGATAAAGGCCAAGAAGTTCAAGTAGATGATCGGTCACTATCGGCGACACTTATTCCGCGCAGCCGGCGAGCCCGGACAGGTTGTATTGGAGAATTTTGTTTTATTGATTCAATTTTAGCGTTTAAGTGTTCCGAAAGACAAAAATAAATTGAGGACATTAAAGTAAATTTAACATAATTAGGGCGACGAATAATGAGTTTTAGAGCGACGAATAGCAATCCCCAATACTAGGTATTTGTCAAACATGGTCACACAAGTTCGTCTGGTAATCAAAATGGTCATACAATTCTTAAATGATTTCGGTGAGCACAGACCATGAAGCTCATTTCATAAATTCCTCAGTACATGGAATGAAGGATTCACCTAGCTTAAACTTCGATATGCTACTGGTTTGGAAATTGGAACCAATTATCCCGAATCGTCAAACGATTAGAGGCAAATAGACGGCAACACGAAATTCCTACATTTGATTGTTCTTTGTTGCGATCGTAACCCTTACATTATCACAACAGAATACCACCTGCTAGCACCTATAGATATGCTTGTTTCCCTGTGTGAGGCCAATGGATCTGGATTCTGGACAGTGCTCTTCTTTGTAAAATCGAGTCCCGTCCCTTGGTAACAGCAATGAATGTCCCATGGGTGTCCCTGTCAATGGCGCTCGTAGCTCTTTACATCGCATTGTGTATCTAAACCACATTACTTGCCATCTTGAGCAAAACTAAGCATATCAGGGAAGTCTCCATTTTCCAGCTTTGAACTTTTCATAGAAGCTGGAGCGCTTTGAAACGACGTAGAAAACTGCATAGAGTGCAGGAGGCAAATAGGGTGAGCAGCTGACAAGTACGGCAAAAAGGTCAATCTTTCTGATATTCTTCTAGCAAGAAAAATTTTAAGCACTCAAAAGATAAAAACATAATTTGAAAAGCATTCGTCCAGGAGCTTAAAGCAGACCTGGGATTTCTGAGATGATGAAGCCAGGTTCTTGAATCACGTCAAGAAGCTTTCTCGTTTCGTGCACTTTGACCCACTTAGTAATGGCGTCTCCTGAGAACAATGATAACAAGGTTTTTGCATCAAGAATGATTTGCTTTATTGAAATTGGGAAATTAAAATCTCGCAGATCAAACCAATATTGAAAGGACTTAAAGCATGAAAAGTCCAAGGACCACGAAGATCTAGCTCTCGTTTTGGTAACACAATAAAAGGTTATGCCCAATTTAAATGAGCAACAACCATCACCATACATTCAGGAACGAAGAGAGTGAGAAGGAAATCAATGAGTGGTTATGGGAATTAAGATGAGATGAAACAACTTGTTTTGTTGTTAAGAACACTCTCGAGGCTCGAAGAGCTGAGTCAGCTGCTGACCAACCTTAAGGAAGATGCAAAATTTCCATTACCTAGTTCTAGTAAACAACTATGTTGCTAACAGCCTCTCTTTGTAATAAGGCTTGTATGTCAGTTTCTAATTACCAGATTTTCATAATTTTTCAGAACTATAGAAGAGTCTTCCTTGTGGCAGGAGGTTGTCACAGTAAGTTACCCGACCTTATCACGGCGTGGTGGTGCTTCCCCCATCCTACCTCTGTCAAAGTACGCTAATTTCCTCTATTTTCTTCTAAATTCCTGCAGCTCTATTTCTCTTGAGCAAACTTAAAACACACCTAGGCAACAGAATTTTTATGTGACAATATGCTACATGGATCTATCGTTTTAGTGCAGTAGATTTCTAGGTGCCCACACGGTTATGATAAAAACAAAGGGCAAGTAAAGAGCAAAGATGGTAAGAGAATACAACCTCTTGAAAAGCCATGCTCACTTGTATCCTTCTCTTCTTTTTCACACTCGATATTAGCACCAGCTGTCCCTTCTAGCAGATATTGAAGAACTTTAGTCTCTGGAAGATAAACCCCAGAACCTGCCTGATGAGTAAGTGACATAAAGGTTAGAAACTGGCAGTCAGAGTTGAGGATGATGGACCAAAGCAAACTACACTAGATAGTGTACCTCATAGTAAAGTTCAATTTCTTCACGAGTATAATTATTTTCTGTATCCCAGGGTAACGGTGGACTACTTTCTGAATACATGTTTGAAAGCTAAGGATGTCATAGATGATGTATGGATAGATCGATAAAGCATAAAAAAGCAAGATAAAATCAGCCAATTTTAGGAGGATAAGGATATCATGTCGAGATGCATGGAAAATGTATCCATCTCACAGAAATCTTCAATGAAGTCGCTGTACATAACCTCTGCATAGAGAAAAAGAACTGGCCAGTGCATAATCTTATTCTTATCTAACACAGGTTTCTTCAAACCAGTAAGTTCTCGATACATAGCTTTGCCCATCTTCAACCCTCTGTCTCCAAATGCTGAAACGAGATCCTGAAAAGTTTCAACAAATGGCAAATCCATTAGCCTCCCAACTTTTCTCACAAGCATACTTCGGATTTCTCTGCGTTCCAGGAATCAAACCTTAGCCACTGCTAGGGCCTTGTTAATCTCAGCCTGTTGCTTATCCTGTTCCATCTTCAGTGCACTTATCTGCCTAACAAGTTTCTCCAGTTCAACGTTACTTGAATCTAGCTCTAGTCCCTTCTCGGTAAAAGATTTTGCTTCACTCAACAAATTCAAGGACAGCGATGCTTTGGCAGCACGATAGAATGCCTAATGAAAACACAAAAGCATCCAACATAAACGCGGGCAACCCATTACAAAGCACAAAAAGAACAGCACTTTGGAAAACTAAACCACCCCACCTTAACATTGCTGGGGCAAAGCTTAATTGCCTCTTCAGCATCCATAATAGCACGCCTATAGTTTCCCAGAAGTAGATTAACATGGGATCTATTTGAGTACAGAAGAGAGGTCTCGGAGTCGGTAAGAGCTTGCTGGTTTATTGCTCTCGTGTAGCAGTTAATGGCCTCAGAATAATGTTTCTTTCCCATCTTTACATACTGGTTACCTTGCTCCTGGAATTGCAGCACAGTTAATCAGTAAGTCTGAGGATAAACCAATGGCATAAAGGGGTTCGCCTCCACACCGCCAAAATGAAGGACTACTCTACAAAAGGGGTTTGCTCATTTTGAAGAAAATTATGTCAGGGCGGTGAACTTTCGACCCTAGGAACCATGCAAGGCATCAAATTTCAACTAATGGTTGTAAAAATTGGTTACTGGTTCAGGTTCAGGTCCAGGAGATGGACTTCTCGCGACAATAAATAGAAGTAGGAAGAGAAAGTTGCGAGAGGAGGAGCAGCAAGACGAGAGGAGACCATACCTTGAGCTCGACAGCAGTAGACTGTTTGAGAGCGGCGATACCTTCAAGGTCACTGACCTCGGAATCCGTAGTGGGTTTGGACCCTTTCTCCATCAATAGTGCCATCTCCTCAGGTAGCGGCGGCAGCAGCCGGTCGGAACTCTGAAAGTAGTTTTCAACCTTTTTCTTCCCTACTCGCTGTTTCAGCTGTTCTGCAATCCGCCAAACGACCCCCTGATTATTTATTTACCGGTAGAGTCAGTGATGCAGTAAGCCAGTAGCTCAATCACGGTGGCAACCTCTTTATATACCATTTCATTAATTATTTTCCCTTCTTTTTCAATTTTACGGTCAAGATTTTTTTAGGGTAATTTTTGAAATTAAAAAGTGACCACATTTGATTATTCTATATAATCTACCTAAACCCTAGTTCTATCCTCCCTCCAGCCAAAACCCGTCGCAACCGCCTTCATGTACCACTCCCGTCGCACCGCCGGCAGCAGCCCCGACCACCCTCGGCCACCGCCAGCAGCAGCCCCCGACCACCCTCGGTTAGTGATGGCAATTTCAAACCGTCCCGCGGGTATTACCCGACCTGACCCACGATGGGGCGGGTATTACCCGGCCCGCAGTAGCGTAGGGCGGGGCATGGGTATCTACTTTCGACCCGCCCTGCCCCGCCCCGCCCCGTTCTAGACTCATTTTATCTCAATTTCTTACAATATCTATACATATTTCTCCTATTTTGACTTTTCTTCAACTAGTTAGAGTCGATCTTTCGACTTGTTAGGCTCAATTATCCATTCTATTATCAATATTTTTCATTCTTAAAGTGTTTTTCCCTACATTTTATTGTAAAAAGTAAAATTTACTTATATTTTTTTTTTTGAACAACATGTAAGAGTGGGTCGACCCGCCCCGCCCCGTACCCCGCGCGGGTTTTACCCGCCCCGACCCATAGTAGCGTGGGGCGGGGCATGGGAATTGAGGTACCCGCCCCGCCCCATTGCCATCACTACCCTCGGTACTCTCTCTCTCTATAGGAAGACCTCTAATGTGATAGCTTCCGTCAATAACGCATTCTCCGGAGGAGAGATTGTATTTGATGAATACATTTATTGTAAATACAAATATTGGAAGAATTAGATAATTGAAAGAATGTATTGTTTGGTTGTAGTCATTCAAAAAAAAAAAAAAAAAAAAATAACTTTATGAGCTAAAAGTGGAGCAGATTAAAACTCACAATCTCAAAGGAAGAATCTGACCTTTTTGTTGAGATTTAAAATGAGTGATTGTGAGTAATATGAGATTTGAAGGCCCACCTCAAATGCATGTATTGAATAAAGTTTTGAAACAAAAAAAAAACGATGGATTTTCCAGAATACATGAAATAAAAAAATCATTCATACAGAATCATAACTTCTAAACAGCCCCGTAATTGTTTTTAGTGGCAAGGAGGTCCACAAATATGGTATGATCTATGATCTATGCTCCAACATTTCAATCTACGTAATTGTTTTTAGTGGCAAGGAGGTCCACAAATATGGTATGATCTATGATCTATGCTCCAACATTTCAATCTAGGCCGGTAATCGTATATATAGTCCAATCTGGACTAGAGCACACCGTTTCCCTAACCTCACAACCTAAACATTCCACCCCAAACATTCAACGTACAGTGATTGACCCAATTAATTATTTTATCAAATTTTCCACAGTAATGGGCTTACAGGGTCACAAACCATTTTTAATATACATAGTGACCTAGCTAATTAATCATTGCTTATCAGTTTGTCAGCGAATTCAGAAATTTGGGAGCAGGAGGAGGATGGTGACTTATTGGCCATGGCCCAGATGGCCCAGATCGCAGTTTGACCAGCCCAATTCTCGTTCATGGACGTTTACACGACCGAGCCCTTCATCAGGCAAGTGGTTTGGGCTCTGGGCCAAGCTTCAAAGTTCGCGAACTTTCTTCATTCATCACTCTTTTTTTTCTTCTTCTTGCCAAACAATGGCAAAGCTACACAGATCGAAAACTTCGAGTCTTCACTTGCCCAAGCCAAAACACAGCTTGGAAATCCGCTTTACAGGCGACCTCGGGGACTACCGGAGTAGCAGCGCCTATATCTCTGCTTTTCTCTAGCCGGTAAGCCAACTCGAGCTGCCCATATTTTCCCAAGAAGGTCGAGAAATCATCTGAAAAGTCTCAGTGAGTGAATCTGGGATGTGGGTCGGCTGAAAATTTTGAAACTTTTCTTTGACTGCAGGAATCTTGTCGTCGTCATTCTCTCTCAATGGAAGGGATTGAGCAGTGGAAGAGCGAGGTGGAGCAATTTATTCAGCAAGGGATCGAGTACATCCGTCAGGTGCCGGCAATTCAGCAAGGGATTGAATACGCCTCTCAGATACCGGCAATTCAGAAAGGGATTGAATGCGGCCGTCAGATACCCCCAGTGCAGCTATACTCCGCTGCTGCCGTCCTGGTTTTCACTGCCCTTTTCTTCATTCTCGGTAATCCTTCTTGTATTGTACCCTTTTGTAAAATTCCTGAAGGTTTGACGTTAAAGTCCAAGAATGCAGTGCTTGCTTGTCTCCCTGTTTGGACGATCAGTGAGTCTGACTAGGGATAGGCTGTTGATTTAGGTTCTTATACCTAATTGGTAATTGATTGATGGACCTATGCTATGGTGAGTGTTAAGAATTTATCGCTGCTGGGTGGCAAAGCAATGACTGAGCTTTGACCAAATTCCTGTGAAATGTAAGAATGAGAATGGTGTCTGATATGTTCCTTCTTCTTCGTACCCTTTTCTGTTGTGCAGTCAGCTTGTTTAGACGGCCGAAATCTAATACCGTGGTCTTGACCGGACTCAGTGGGAGCGGTAAAACGATTCTTTTCTATCAGGTGAGGACTCCTGTCATACATTATGTTCTTTGATTTCTGACATACCTGGTTCTGATTGTTTCCCTTCTTCGATAGCTTCGGGATGGCTCTTCACACCAGGGTACTGTCACCTCAATGGAACCCAATGAAGGAACTTGCATTCTCCATTCTGAAGCTAGCAAGGTAAGCTTTAATTTGAAATGCCCCGATTCATGCCAGAGCCAATGTCGACAGAAAGTTACAAAAACCTGTCACGCCAGTGGGCATTTGGTTTATATAATCTATGCTCTCCTTATCGATCATATGATGAACTGAATGCTCCTACAATTACTGTGTTTGCTTGCCTTTTTTCTTTTGTTTCCTTGACAGGAGCGCAAGGTGAAGCCTGTCCACATTGTTGATGTTCCTGGCCATCCTCGTCTTCGGCCAAAGCTAGATGAGTTCTTGCCTGAAGCAGCAGGAATTGTCTTTGTCGTTGATGCCCTGGAGTTCTTACCTAACCTTCGTGGAGTTTCAGAGTATGTTTATATCAACTCCCTTAATGGATTACACATCTGTTCTCCTTTTGTTTGCATGATCGGAGACACTGGTTTCTAACGATGTTTTGTTTTGTGCGTGACAGGTATTTGTATGATATTCTGACCAAAGCAAGTGTGGTGAAAAAGAAGGTTCCTGTTCTGATTTGCTGTAACAAGACAGAGAAGGTTACAGCGCATACCAAGGATTTCATCTGTAAACAGCTTGAAAAAGAGATGTATGGCTCTCAATTTCCTCTCGCTCTGTCTTTGTCTTGTTATATCTGCATATGATGCGTGAAAGTAAATAAACCCTCTCATGTTGGTGCTTGTCTTGGTAGCCACAGTATAATTCTAGAAGCGTCACACACCGCCTTAATGAACATCTTACACCTAGCAATCACTATTTAGTTGTCTGATGGTTATTCTTGACAAAGTTGTTCCATCTAGAACTCATTGCTTATTTCTTACCAGTAGGCTCACCCTGAATATCTGATTTCGCCTATCTCGCAGTGACAAGCTACGGACATCAAGGAGTGCAGTATCAGATGCTGATGTTGCCAATGACCACACACTTGGTATACCCGGGAAAGCATTTTCATTCTCACAATGCACTAACAAAGTCTCTATTGGAGAAGCTTCTGGTTTGACTAGTAAGATAGCAGATGTGGAACAGTTTATCAGGGACAATGTAAAGCCATAATAGGTGCTGCTGTTTCCTTTTTGAAGAACACTATTGAGAGGCGGTGAGGATGTGCACCTGTACCCTGAGCTAGCTAACCCCAGCTTATGCCTATATGGGGGATAGACCAGGGAGAGAAAGAGAAAGAACAGCGGAAGGCTCTAGACTGACATTCATTGTTATCAGCCATTCAATTCAAGATTTGTGTAATTAACTGCGTTCGACCTTATCATCGAGTCAAATGAACTGTGTAACCAGCTGTTTTTATTGGTTTTGGTTGGATGCAATCTGCCATGGAGGTTAGAGTGGCTTGGCCTCAAGTGGATTGAAAGCATGTTGTACAGATACAAGAAGAACACTATAATAGGGGCCAAGAAGGAAGAACGCTATATTACATGAACTTGAGAGCCAAGTTACCAAAACCCTTTGCTTCATAACATTGGCTGATACAATTAATCAAAGGATCCGCCACCCTTTACTCGGTACACAGACAATTTCTTCCCACTTGCTGCTACAACAGGAATGGAAAGTGCCATGTTTTTCACCTAATGACATGGCATGAATTGGGGAACGATCTTGCCAACCAAAAGTATTTCAGCCTTACTACCAGAGCAAAGAACCCATACGAAGGAATGTGCATCAATCCCACTCCCAGGTACCTGTAAGCAAATCCAAGGCAGTCATGGATGTTTACAGTTAGTTTGGTCCAAAAGTAAATGATAACAGTATATGAGAAAGTGGGGGTGATTTCCATACCACAAGGGAGCATATTTAGATGACAAGTCAAGGAATGGATATGGCCACCTATACCCAGAAGAAGAAAAACGTTTCAATCCTAGTTCCACAGTGTTCCATGTCAAAAGATTCGGAGTAAGTAGAAAGGAATTAGCAACGTGTGCTGTCAAACTAACCACATTGACACAAATGCGTGTATGATCCACTGGAAAACCACGAAAACGCTGGTCCATATGATGAAATACGCGATTCGAAATATGGGGAACCGCTGGATAGAAAAGATAATAATGACGTACCATATCAGTGTGACTAGACTGCAAAGGAATTAGAGATAGAAAGAGAGCCATAGATAGTGCTGAACCTACCATGCCATTCAAAACAGTGTCACCAAGCAGGCAAACTGCATTCACCGAATGCATGCAGGCGTTTATCTGCAATCAGGAGGAAGGAAAAACACAGTTTTCAGACGGACAGTTTGACTTGTAATGAGGAAAAACTGCAGGTGGTTACTGCTGTTTTCCTAGACTAGTTTGAATAATTATTAATGATTCTGAAACTCCTAGGAAACTTAAGTGTCTTTGCAATGCTCTTTGAAATGGGCGAACATGGAAACTTAAGTGTCAACTTTAGAAGACCAATCTGTGGTCAGGCTTAACACATTCAGTACAATTTCGTAGACCGGAAAAACATACATACGAGGGCATCATATAAAGTCAAGCAAACAATAACTGGAGAAGCCATTAATACTTACAAACTCAAGCCTGAAATCTGCAGCCATTAGAAATGGATAAAGGATGAACCAGAATACACAATCAGTGAGCACTACAGCGCCTGCACAAGTCTGTCACATAATAGCGGAAAAATCAGATGGGTTTATAATAAGATTAAGAAAACAAGGTCCATCTGGAGATTGTAAGATTATGGTCTCAGCTAAAAACAAACCAGAGGCAATCACGGGTAGACTCGGCTGGAGTTCATCCACATTACCATCCACTCTTGTGTACAACCCATAGGGCATGGGAGTCTTACAAACTACCCTTTTTCTTTTTATAATTAAGTACCAATTTCATTAAAAGCCACAGAGGGTGTGACGTGTTAGTACACAAGTGTAAAATATTTGTACATAGAAACCGGAAAGGGAAAACACACTGGGGAAACAAGAGGAAGAAGGAGATGAATAGTCACTATCAAAACTTACTTACCGTCTTACACACAATGAAGAGAATGAACAAACTATTCATTTACACCTCTAAGGAGAAGTGTCATAATTAATAAGCCTTCTGACCTTCATGATCATCCATGTCAGGCTAACAAATGCAGGAAGAAAAGACTTGACAAAGAACATGGTATCGCCAGGTAATTTAAACTACAACTCTCAGATCTCCACTAAACTGAAGCAACACTGGATGCAGAAGGTAAGTTACCTGAAAGATGATTTGAAAGATGTAGCCCCACGCACTTGCAGTTTGCTTTTCCTCAGGGAAAGGTTCTCGATGCAGAGCTGAACCTTTTATGTGGTTGGACGAGTCTACGACTCCCCCAAGGGTCGGTGCCACGTAAGTCCCTCTCTCAGCATCCATACGTTCCCCATCAACCCCACCCGAGGCATCACAATGTTTGCAGCATCCATAAATTGACATTGCTGATCCAAGCTTCAGATTGAAAATGACACCATAATCAATTTGAAAATTACAAGCCTACGAGTGCGTATAAATATCAATATTCCACAGAAGCAACAGATAGAGAAGTGGATAGATTTTGTTATATATTCATAAACAGATTTTCCGAGAGAACATACCACAAAATAGATGGTCACCAAAGAGAATGTCCACCTAAAAAGACCAAAGGGGAGACAAATTTCATGTATTGAGCACATTAACCATGGGAATACCAAGGGGGTGTTATAAGTAACAAGCTAATTATGATCGTTTCCTACATGCATTCACATAATGGCTGTAGAAACTACCACCTGAGAGCCACTAGATAATGCATGCTTGTGTTTACTCTTAAACGGGGGAAAAGAAGATGAATTCTACTAGAGGGTGAGCTTACTGAGTATAGAAGTAGAAAATGCCACCTCCATCCCTGATAGTATTTGCTGCAAGTAACCCGAAGAGTACAATGAAAGCAATTATTCTAAAACCCAGCAACCAACCAGGATGAATAGTCTTGAGACACGTCTTCCAAGCTTCATCCGCGTACAAGGACCCAGCTGTGGGTGGCCGACTTTCTCTTCTCACAGATTCAGACTCGGACTCCGATTCCCTGGACCCTTCATTCTTCCATATTAAAAAACCTGCCAGAGCGATGGCAGCTGCGAGAAAAGCTGCACAGATGGCGAATCTCCAGTTCAACCAATAACTTGGCTGAGTTGTATCAGCGGCACTCATGATGGGGTGCCAAGTAGTCTGGTTCGAGGATCCTGCTAACACAGTCAACATTTTTACTCAATCTCTCGCTTCTCTCAGGGCCACATTTTTTCCACTGAATAGTATGCTCACAAAGTTTATGTTGAAGAATAGTGCAGCATGGAAGTAGCCCAAATATCTCCTCAGAAAAGGACAAGTAGACCTTGTACTCAAATCACAGGCTTCCAAAACAGATCAGCAAGCAAACTCTGCTACTCAATCTAGTTGCTTTTAATGAACATCTTTTACAAAGGAACTACTGTCAAGCGACGGGGTCCCGAGAATGTGCAAGGGCAAGTAAAAGTGGAGCTAAATAAATGTAAAAAGTGTCTACAAACCAGCATCAGCGAATTGATACGACATATCCTTCCTCCTTTCAATATGTTCATGAGACACTTAAGGAATTTATGCTATAAGAAAAGCAGTAACAAACACAATTTACAAAGCCTCCATACATAGTGGCAATTCCTAACCCACAAAGGCGGATTCTTTACTTTAAATGCAACCAAACCCACGATTCTGTACCATAAACAGCGCAATCAAAACGCAAGCAAGAATCAATAATTTGTGGCAGCACTTACAGCTCTGAGATGAACGCAGCGCAAGCGAAGCTGAGAGCTCGGAGCAGAACCAACTCCTTCAGAGACACAAAGATCCGCACTTCCGTTTCACGGAAAAGCACGAGGAATGATGATCATTGTTAGTCAAGAAAGTGAAGGGACAGAGAAGAGTGGATGAAGAAATGGGTAAATGTGAGCCCAGCTTCTTGATTGCATTGCTTCGGAACTCGGAAGAATGATTCAGAGGCGAACAGGAAGGCAAATACCGAAATACGGGATTGTTCTGCCAACGGAGACGACGGGAATCTAGAAAGCACGAAAAGCTAAGTTTGACACTCCTCCACCCGATTGATATGCGGGCGCATCGTCGAATTCGTAGAAAGAAATTTCAGAATGAGAAATTGAGAATGCAGCAGAGCAGATAGTGGTTGTTGGTGGACGACAGAACGGGATGGCAGTGGGTCGGGTTGGGTTTATTCATGAAAAAAATTCGGGATAAAACCCACTGGGTTTGAAAAACTTAACCCAATCCACTGGGTATCCGCGGGTTCATGGATACACACGGGTTTTTGTCGTAAAAAATTACAATAACAAGTTCCTATCAAAATTAAAACCAAATATCAATCTCTCAATACAAATTATTCATATATAAAACACCATTCTAGAAATTCAAGCAAATCAGAAATTAACTATACAAATTGTTCAACACCAATCTAGAAAACTCAAGAAAATTGAAGCAAATCATAAATTATCTATAAATAACATGATTAATTGAAAACTTCTTCCTTTCAATTAAGTTTCTTTACTCTCCACACGATAACATCAACTTCGTTCTTCACAATTAGAAAGAAAAATTAGACATGTTTCCACAAACATAAATAAGATTAATTGTTTAGAATATTAAATATACCGAGAAAATTAATTATATGGGTGTGGGCGGGTACTCATGGGTCGGGTTTACCTAAACCCAAACCCATCCCGATGAATAGTAAACGAGTTTAAATTCAAACTCAGTCCAAAACTCGTCCACACGAATTTTACCCGCATTGACTGAATTGGGTCGGGTGGGTACCCGTGTGTTCGGATTTTGTTGCCATCCATAGAATGATTCGGATAACGCTCGGATTCGACACGTTTCCCCCATGGGCCACAGCCCACAAGTAACTATAGGAGCAAGTATTTCGGGCGATTTAGACAATAAATTAATTAACAATAAATTAAATATCTTTTATACAAGCAAGTCACAGCTTCTTCAACTTTTAGTTTCTGTACATCCTTAATTTTTCATTCTTCATTCATCCAGTCCAGCCTCTTTGCTATTTCATCAATGGCCAATGATCCTGGAGCCGCTGTGAGGTCAACCTCTCCAAATGAATCGCTGTCGTAGAAATCATCATCATCGTCGTCTTCTTCTTCTTCTTCTTCTTCTTCTTCTTCTAGCTCATTATCAATGTATTCTTCATCTTCACCAGAAGAAATTTCATGGACAGAAGTACCATCTTCACTGGCTAATATTACAGCTGGATAGGAGTGTTCTGTAGCCTGTGAAATGGTCTCAAACTCTTCCACTTTAGTCAGGAGCTCATCTGGGTTAAGATTCGTCTCCTCCAGCAGAATAGCCTTGCTTGATTCAATGGCACGGTTCCACAGGGACATCATTTTAGGACTTGATCTCACCGTTTCAGTGTCACGGTCCTCGGACTGACCTGTGGAGAGCCAAGGAAACGAAGATGGTTACAACTTCAAACGGCTAAACATGACTGTATACTAATTCCAAAGTTAGAAGAAGCTTTTGCAACTCAACATAAGCAATTCGAATCAGCTAGCAAAGTGGGCAAAAAGAGTTGTATTAAATTGAAGGGTGGAGAGATAGGAGGAGACAGAAATGTGTCAGCTCCATTTCTCACGTGGGTTCTGGTATGACTAGCAGCAAGAAATTTCCAGGATAACAACGGACTAGTACTACATCACAAGCTCTGCTCTCATCTTCGTAATAATAAAAGTCTATGTGAAACTTCCTTGTTTGCACAGAAACTTGCTCAAGGGGTTAATACTAGAGTAACTTTGATAACTTCCCCACCCCATATAACATACCAGGATTTTCCTGTGTTGAGTGATTTGCAACGTCAGAATACGAAGGAACTGAAGGAGAATCATAATTGTACTTTGATCTCCACTCATGTCCCCTCCACATCAATATCTGCTCCTCATCAAATGACAGTAGCACACACGGAACCAATTCCTGTGAAGAAAATGGAAACGGAGATAATTAGACAAATCAAAGAACTGTGCAATTTTGTTGTGAGATTGAGTTCTTAACAAATGTGCTCCTGGTGTTCTGTTTCTTCTTTCTTAATCATGATCATCCAACAATGTAGCAGTCCTTCACGCATCTGATGCAATCTGTAAAACCCTGCGGAACGAGTTACGAGAGCAGGAGGCTTAAAACGACCTTCAGCTTAGCACCCAACTTCTTGTAATCGGTTGCATGCATTCCCTTGCAGTCGATCTTCACAAGTGGACTTCCTTCAAAAGCCGTCCTAACATCTCTTACCAAATTAATGTACACTCCATTTTTGGCTGCAGCAAGAAAGGTAATGTGGCATTGGTGAACATTTCGGGAGACTGCAACAGGTTACAATTGGATTGATCAGACAGGCCGTAACTGTTCAGTTACCTAATTTACATATAGGCAGAAGTTTCTGCCCTTTCTTTCGGAAGTCGTCTGCTTCCTCTTTCGTCAATCCCTCAGGAGCGTCCTGAATAAGTTTAGGGTAGATTGGAGCAGCTGGTTTCCATAGCATCACTGGGTACTGTGGACGAGTTGCATAGTTGTAGTTTCTTCCCCGGAAAAGATAAACAACACCACCAACTCGATGTATGATCTTACCTCCGGTTTTGGCCTGCCAGTATAACAAAATGACAGAGTGAGCAGAAAGAAAGTAAAACCGTTTATACTTCACATCAACCGCAGCATATCCTTTGTAACGAAACTGCAGTTCCAAAACCCTATCCAAGACAATATATTTTACCTCCAAATGCCGGCATACATTTTTCATATCCACGGTGGGAACGCCTTTACATTTAACTTTACAGACTCGCCTCCGCTTCCAATGCGAATGAACCAATTCCAACATATTATGCGTCAATCCATCCCTCCCTACAACCCCAATTTCAATTCAGTAACGGAGCACAACTAAAACAATGAATTCAGAAAGATTCTTTTTGGATCAGAAAGGCATTCTGAAAACTGAACTTACCCAGATTAACCTGGCGATTATCGGACAGCATCGGCTTCACAAGCATTTGAATCTCGTGCCTCGTCAATGGCTCCCCCAATATCTCCTCCCTCGTCATCCCTTCCTCCGGGTACTTCCCCAATTGGTACGGCCCCGGCATTTCCACGAATTTCACCCCTTTCGTCCCCGGCGGCGGCGGGTTGAACGAGTCGAATAGAGGGATCTTCTTCTTCTTCGGCTTCAGCGGCGCTTTCCCAGTCCACGGCCGAGCCATCGTCGGAGGCGCAAAGGGTAAGAACGCCGGCTCCCGAATTGCCAGGGGCTTCACACTGGGCGTCTCGGAGTAACTGTACTGGAACTCGAACGGCGCGTCGGGAAGCAGATAGGACACGCCGTTCTCCCCAATTACGACGGACCGGTCCCCATCGGAGCTAATCACGCCCTCTCTCACCGGCTTGTAGTACTTCGTCCTGTGGTGAGGGATTTTGAACGCCGGATTGGTTGTCTTCGGAGGAGGCGGCTTGGATTTTTCTCGCGGCGGTGGATATCTAGGGACGGGAATCGGCGGCGCCGGTGGGGAGTAAGAAGTAGCATTTGAGTCGTTGGACGGCCGCGTTGAGGGAACGGAAGAAAATAGGTTCCCCGGCAAAGACGCCACAATTGCCATCGCCATTAGCTTAGCTCCACTCCTTGAATGGAGAAAAAAGCTTCAAAATTCCAGCATATTTGATATTTCCCTCCGAGATAATGAAAAATCGCAGTGAACTGGTGGAGGAAGCCGGAAGGTAGAAGACGATAACATAATCAGATATCTACGGTTGGACTTAGGCCAAGGCCCAACATCAGCCGAAAGGGCTGTCTAGCTGTTCGAATAATATTGGGCCTGAGTTCAGTCCAGTATAAATAAGGGCCCAAAAAGCCACCGATTATCTCCAAAACCCTAGCGTCCCAAAATCTAGGGTATATAAATCACTCTTAACCACATTTCCGCAAACTCACAATCTTCGATTCGGCCAGAGCTCTCACTCTCGCCGGCAACGATGCAGATCTTCGTGAAAACCCTAACCGGGAAGACAATCACCCTCGAAGTCGAGTCCTCGGACACTATCGACAATGTGAAGGCCAAGATTCAGGACAAGGAAGGCATCCCACCGGACCAGCAGAGGCTGATCTTCGCCGGCAAGCAGCTGGAGGACGGCCGCACCCTCGCCGACTACAACATCCAGAAGGAGTCCACGCTCCACTTGGTCCTCCGTCTCCGTGGTGGCGCCAAGAAGAGGAAGAAGAAGACCTACACCAAACCCAAGAAGATCAAGCACAAGAAGAAGAAGGTCAAGCTCGCGGTGCTCCAGTTCTACAAGGTGGAGGATTCCGGCAAGGTGCAGAGGCTGAGGAAGGAGTGCCCCAACGACGAGTGCGGAGCTGGGACGTTCATGGCGAACCACTTTGACAGGCACTACTGTGGGAAGTGTGGCTTGACCTATGTCTACAACCAGGCTGGTTCCGATTAGTCACATATCATCCGTTTGATGTTTTCAGAGTACAATGGATAATTTACTGTTCTCTTCTAAATTTTGCTATCTCTAGTTTACAGTTTCGAATAGCGAATGGGTTGGAACTCGTATGTTTGCGGCCATGGATGATGTCAATTGTTGGATTTTTATGGGTTTAGTTCTGTTATATTCAAAACTCGACTGGGTTTGCTCATTTCTTTTGTTTTATCTATCGTTTAGTACTCTGTGATGTGCATGAATCGATCTTAGATGTTGATAATCTTTCTGCAAACACACTAAGAATGTTAAATCCTCGGGTGTTCATAAGTTTTCAGTTAAGTTTGCAATGGTGGATTAGAGTGATAGGTTTTCTGCTTTAGGGATTGTCTGTATTCTGGTTGGATTGCTGAAAATCTCAAGACAATTGCTGTTTGCTTTGTCTCTTGCTCTGTATGAGTTGATTAATCTTTCAGATTGATGTAGGTGATGTATCTGTTTGCCAACTCCATAAAGTACTATTCTGATTTCTTATTTACTTTGATAGGAATGTGGGATTGTGCAGATAATGGTTATATTTTCTTGTTTGGTTTTTGTGGTTGTGGATTTTCTGATGTAGCATAGTTGTGCAACCTTCTCTGCATTTGATCAGATTAGGGTTTATGGATGTTTCATGACGATAGTGTCGACTCTGCACTCACTAGGCGGTCCTATCTTAATCCATTGGCCGGCTTGTGGGTTCTCATCCCTTTTGGTTTATGTTTTAGAAAATTTCGGTGGAATGTGTTGCTGTAATCTGTGTAGCCCTTTTGTGAAATAGATCAAATCTTCTTAGAACAAAGCGTGTAATTGTTGTAGTTCATATGTTATGGTCACAGGTCAGTGTTTGAAATTTCTTTCCGTGAGCATCAACAAGATCGTAGCTTTTGTTCTCTGATGTATTGTTGCTTATGCATGTTTAGTCTCGTTGTATTTATGTAATCATTCATTCCATGGATGAATTGCTGGTAAATGTTTATTCATTTTCTTGTATATGATCGATCGGTGAGGTTATCTTTTGCTGTCAAATGCCTTATTCGGTTATTGTTCCTTCTTGTGTTATGTCCTGCCATTGGTCTACAGTCATGTACTCTCAAGTCTCTATGCTCATCCATACTAAACCCTACACGAATGTATTGTTTCATTTTGTAAACATGCGAAATGAGTTTGTGGTGCTTTGGGAGATATGAAGCTGTTTCTGCAAAATCTGAGTACTTTGGGAGATATGAGTCCGGATGAAAATTGGTATGGTTGAACATTAATATGGTATTCATATCTCGGTATCAAATATCCAAATTTCAACTAGGGGATAATGTCTTAAAAGTTTAAAACCAACACTAACATTGATTTCATAAGAAGTTCAGTATCGATATTGATTAATAATTAATATATATAAAGCTTAAGTAGTGTTACTGTAACTTCCTATATAGATTTGCTAATGTACACTACTGTCATGTAGTTTAGTAACCTATAGGCGAATGGAAGCACACAAGTTTAATATTATTCCCAAAGCTATTAACTTATTGAGGTACCATTTAACATGGATTTTGGTAGCACTATTTTAATGTCCCATAACCATAAATCTCATTTTCTCACGCAAACCATAAACCAACCTTTGATTATAGATCATGAATTTTTATTAAACTTTATATATATATGGTGGCTTCTACGGTACCCGGGTGAAATCCGGGGTACTGCATACATGAGTATGAAAATGCTATCTAGACCTTGAATTTGCAGGATTTTTGTGCCTAATACTATACCCTAACCCTTAATGAGTGAACTCTAGATCCTAATTATCTAAATCATAGACTATAAACAAGACGGTGCATTTATTTTTTGCCTATATTTGGACGAATCATAACCGTCGATTATTGTTTCTAATTAAATTGATCTTGGGGTATAAGATTTAGAGAACTAAGACCTAGATTTTGATCTTTAAGGGTTAGAGTATGATATCATATCCGAAAGTTCAGTCAATTCAAGTTCTAGACAGCATTTTCATACTCAAGGTATGCGGTACCCTGGATTTCACCCTGGGTACCGTAGAACTCCCCCCCCCCCCCCACCCCCCCCACCACACACACATATAAATATATATATTAATTGGTTGACAAAGTGTATTGTTGAAAATTTGACCAGAAAGATCGTTATGTTGTGATTAATCATTTTCATTGGCTTGCGATACACTTTCAACTTTTTGTGGGATTTTCCTTAACAACCACGATGGACTATAATCGGAGACTGTAATTTCCATAAAAAATATTTTTCTCTCGACCCACTTCCTCCTCTTCTTATGAAGAAAAAAACTCTGTTATCATATGTTCTCCCTACTGGATTTAAGAAAATTGATTTAGATTCTAGGGTCTTGTTTTATTTTTATTTTAATATTTTCATTTTTGGAGTGAGTTTTAGTGTTATCTAATGTGAAACTTACTATGTAGTACTCAAAATAAATTATCATTTTTTCATTTAAAATTTCAATCACTGTATAACATACCTATTCCTTATAAAATGCACACAAAATTTCAATCATTGTATAACATGCCTATTCAAAATCAGGTAAATTGAGTTGCTCCTCATTAGTGATGATGTTGAGGCGGACGAGGCGGGGGTACCTCAATGTCCAAATTCGCCCCACATTAAATGCGAGCAAGGTCGAGTGATACTCGCATTATACAGGTCTAGGCAGGTCAAACCCATTCCTATATGTAATTTGAACAAAATCTTAATTTTTTACGATAAAGGAAAAATCGTTCATAATTAGAAAAAAGAGATAATAGGTAGATTAAATGAGTGTAATTATTTGAAATATGAAGTTTTTCAGTTAACTAAAGTATCATTGGGCGAAAAAGTAATTTAAGATAAGTAAAAATAGGAAAAAGCAGTTAAATATTTAGACAAACTAAATCAAGATAGAATGAGTTAAGAACGGGACAAAAGTAGTACATATGTCCTACTCAACACGGATAATGTAAGATAATACTCCGTAAGTCGAGTTCAAATTGCTATCACTACTTCTGTTTCAACCTATAAAACCTTAACCCAATTGCTACTAGGTCAATCGTTGGATCCTCATTAACAACCATTGATGTGAATGTCATAAAGAAATATATTCAGATAAGGAAATTATATTTGTGTGTTATTCGTGGGTTGGAGCTATTGGAATATCCTTTAAACTTTTTTAGGATTGAAATTTTAATTTTTTGTTCGTTCAAATTAGATAAAGGACTTTGGATAGTTCATTTTCTCTATTCTATCATTAACCGACAATTTTGTAAACCATAAGTCCGCAACAAAGTGCGGATAATTGTCTAGTAAATATATAAATGAATGAACAAGGGTCAAAATACACTAAACCACTAAATTTAAGAAGTTGTTTAAGTGTATGTTGGTCGTTATATTAATTTTAAGTAGTTAGTAATTAGTTAGTGGTTATTTGTTAATTAATAATATTAAGAATATTTTAATTGTTTAACCTAACCTAAATAATTAAGAGGAGTAGTTTTTTTAAATGATGGCTACAAATTTCTTGTCTGCAAAACCAGTACAAAATTCAATCATCCATCCTCCATCCTTTCCTCATCTAATGATCCAGAATAATTCCCAGCAAAAAAAATGAGGGTCTGGTTGATAATACCGCCACCCCCTAAAGCATTTTTTTAAGCTAACAGCCTGACACTGATCCAGAGAAGAGAAAATGTACTTTTTTAATCCCTATTTTGCTTAATCGGATCCTACAGAATTTTTTTTAACTCGGAATTAAAATAAATTGAATTGAAAAATGCATTAATTATTACCTATACACTGATGTCTATTTTGCTATAATTTAAGCGAAGGAAAAATGAACTCTTTGTAGTATTATTACATGTCATATCAATCATATCATCAAGATATGACATTGATATGATAACTCATCTTCTTCATTTCAACTTGAAATTTGGAAAATTTTGTATTGAAAGAACACATTCATTAAGGGATCGTTTGGTTTGGTGATAATTAAATTGATGCATTCTTATCAATGGATGCATAATAATATACATGTATATACAAAATTGGTGTATTGTAGTTTACATCGTTTGGTTTATGTGATAGTTATTATAATATTTAATAAGTTGGATTACTTTTTGAGTGAAATGTCACTTTACCCTTTATTTTTAATATAAAAAAGCAACACACATAATAAAGTAGAGTCATAGTGGGAACAAAAATAAAACCCAACAATCTCAACCAAACAATCTCAACAATCTCACCCAAAACTTGAGATTTAAAATATCTGTAAAGTTATATCCATTATGTTATGTTTTGTCAAATATAAGACATCATACCAAGATCATATAACTGTCATACCAACATCATGATATGACAGTGATATGATGTTTCATCTTCATTTCAACTCAAAATTCGAAGAAAAAAACTGTATAGAAAGAATGCATTCATTAGATCCACACAACAATATCCATTTTGTTATGTTTTGATAAGCATAAGACCTCATACCAACATAATATTAGTGTCATATCAATCATATCAGTGTTATATCATGATATCATGATTATACCATAGTGACAATATCATTACATGATGTCATCAAATTATTTTGTTGAACATAAGATCTTATATCAACATGGTATTATTATCATATCAACATCATACCACTATGATAACATACCACCGTCAGTGATAATATCGTGATGTAAGTGGTTATAGTGATGGTATGATAACAAAGATTGTCTCTTCGATGTTCCAGAAGAAGCATCCTCTGTAGCATCTTCCACATCATCCACGATGGGAGAGCAACAAAGAATGGTGGTTCCACGTGATCTATATGAGTATTGAAGCACTATTGCGAATATTCCTTCTAGCATTGGTGTGCCACCAATAACCATGGAGATTCACACATCGTTGATGCAGATGGTGCAACAAGCTGGGAGATCCGATAAAGGAGTGATGATGATCCGGTGTAGCAGCTAAAGACATTACTGGAGATCGCATATTCTGTTCCAGGAGATGAAGCCACCAAAAGTGCCATTAGGTTGAGAATAATCCCTTTTTCACTGCCAGGAAAGACGAAGAAGTGTGATGACACTCAAATTATAGTGTTTATCACTCTCATATTTGATACATTTACCCCTTCTATCACAACATCTTTAGTATATTTTGTGTAGAAATCATAAATATGAGATCAATGTGATTATAGTGGACTTAGGATGTGTTTTAATATCATTTTATCCCTTTTTATTATTTTGTGCTTTTCAAGGTAAAAAACACTCTAGAATGATTTGGATTAGCAATTGGCTCAAGTGTGAGGATCAAGAGGGACAATTACTAAAAGATCAAGGTGATTTGTTCATTAAACGAAGCCAAATGGAGGGGAAGTCTTCACGAAGATGTCATAAAAGCGCAAGAGGAGTCCACTGGAGACATTTCAGCCTGAGCCTGCACAGAAACCCATAGAGGCCTTGTGATAGTGCCAACCGTCGCTATGCCAAACCCATCAAGTCGTGTTGAAATTTCAGGTAGGAATTACTTGTGGGCAAAGCAAGTTGAATCCGATGGAATATGCTTTATTTCATCCTTGAGTTAATTAGGAATCCAAGTCTCAGTGATACCGGGAAGCTTTTGGCAGAGGTTTAGGAGGAGAATACTTAAAAATCCCTCTTCCTTCCACTATAAGTAGAGGGTTAGGTTAAGAGAATTATTAGGCTGCAAATTTCACTAAAATCACTTTGTATAACTCAAGCAAGGAGCCAGTCGACTTGAGGGAGGCTGGATTATCATTCATATGAGGTAGCGACTAAGGTGATTTCTTCATCATTGATGGTACCATCCTTTTGTTCCATGTATTGTTAGTTCAAATTTTGTTGTTAAGGATGTGAATTCTATTGATGCTTTATGCATCTTCTTTCTATAATATAATGAGATGCTTTGGTCATTTTTATTTATTTATGGTATTCGATGCTTATACAATTAGATGCCTCAGTCATGTGATGCTTTTGTTATTTGAGTATCTTAATTTTATGATACATTAACAATGTGATGCCTCCATCATCTATTATGTGCAATCATAATGTTGTTTCAATTTTGAGTTAAGTTGCCAGGAAACTACATCTTGTGTGATATTTCATTGTCTTAGACTTGTATGGAATGGAATGATCAACCATTTATGCTCGACTAAGTTCAATGTTTGATACCTTAGATCTTCAATGCTATACACCATTGGTTTGTAGAAGCCCTAAATAGTTAATGTGACCCATACTCCATGCTTCCTTATAATTACCAACTAAACATGTTTCTGTTTTTCATTTTCATGTTGTTGTGTTTGTACCTCTGTTGTCACAACTTTGCAGCACCAACAACAACAACAACAAAATTGTACTAAACGTGACCCTTGGTTTGTGATATTTTACAGTACCGAGGTTAAATCACAAAAATCGTTTACCGGCAATATATCATTGCATCGCGCGCACCATCTCGAAGATCAATCAAAAGAAATTCGGGTCATCACAAAAAGTTGTGGTGTCATACTCACCAATTGTTATAAGTTTTCTTCTTTTCGCCACTACACAAAACCACAAGGTACAATGGAGCCGATCATCACTTGAATCATCATCATACATGCATATATATTAATTCACTCACTCAACCCAGCAAACAACAACAACAAAAAAATTCTACTTTCTTTTTTTTCGTACTAATTAACAAGACTTGTTTTTTCCCTTCCAGTGGTCCTGACAATGGGTGGTTGGAGTTGTGTGGTGCGCCAATTAATAACTCCATCCCTTCCCTTCCCTTCCATTCCATCTGCTGTTGGATTAACACATTCAAAAAACGAACTCTCCTTCCTTCTTCATCTTCCCCAAAATGGCCAATCATCCTCCTTAAGCACTCCATTCCCATTTCCAGCTCTAATCCATTCTTCCACGTGCGTTCACATGGCAGACTTCTCTTTTTTCCTCCCTCTCATAATCACCAAACCACAGTGTCAAAAAAAAACCCAAATCATAATCAACCCTCAACGTAATCATGGCTGATGATCAATGAAAGATTAAGGTTAGAGATCATGAATTGATATGGAAACCTGGCAAGGTAGATGTGGGAACTGATACATACATATATAGCTCTGCATGCATTTACTACTAGAAAGAAAAGCAAAGGAAGAAAGACAAATCTATCAGAATTAAAGATGCCTCCTTTCCTTTCTGGGGGAACATGATGCACTCTTCTAGAAAAATTTCGCCATCCTCTCTCTCTCTCTCTTTAACTCTTTACCAGCTATAGATATATAGCAGTAAATAACTCAAGAAAACAACCCATGAAAGCTACTACAGCTTGCTATAGCTTGAAACGTTGAAGATTGCTAGTTGGTGGTGGTGACAGTACTGATCAAAACCCTAATGATGATTAATTGAAAACTCCATCTTCTTGACAAGTCGCCATTAATTAGTGTGTGCAGTACTATACTATACAGTTTCTGATGCATTAGTGGTGGGAAATTAAATGGGAGAGGAGGGGTTGAGTGTTTATCTCGTAAGCAAAAACCTCTCTCTCTCTCTCTCCACACCTAACTTTTTTGGTGTGGAAATTAACTAAAAACTTGTTGGTAATTATGAGTTTATCTTTGGATTTATGTATAATTTAGCACGACAGAAAGAGTTATTAATAAGAACGACAAATTATTAATCGATCATACTAGTACTTATGCATGCATTGATTATTAGTCACTAATACCAATATTCATCAAAGAAAGAAACTATCATTACCCTCTCCCTCTATAAATACACACACAAGTCTGTCCCAGTGTTCTTGGCATCATCTCTCTTTTCGTCGTTTTCCACTCCAAGAAAGAAGAAGAAGAAATAATGTCATCTACGGCAGTGAGCCAACTGTTTGATCTTCCAGCGGGAGAGCAGATCTGCTATGTCCAGTGTGGATGCTGCACCACCATTTTGCTGGTATGCATATATAGATAGGCTGTGTTTTCCGGCGCGGCGAGGAAAAAACTTCTCTTGTGTTTGATTTCAATGAATGCACCTTTTCACTTCTCTCTGCGTGTTTGATCATTTTTGTTGGTATAAGGTGAGCGTGCCATGCAGCAGCTTGTCGATGGTGGTAACAGTGAGATGTGGGCAGTGCACCAGCCTGCTGTCTGTGAACATGTTGAAAGCCTCTTTTGTTCCCTTCCATCTCTTAGCTGCTTCTCTGACGAAGCAACAAGAACAAGAACAAGAACAAGCAGCTGTTCATCTCAACCGCATCATCAACAAACGTAGGTGATCGAGCTAGCTTATTAATTATATATCCATATGTAATCAACACTACTAATTATTGTATGTCCATCCAGCTCCAGAGAAAAGGCAGAGGGCTCCATCGGCTTACAATCGCTTCATCAAGTACGCACTTAAGACGACGAACTGATCGATCTCTCTCTCTTTTTCATGATAGTTCGGGAACTGGGTTCTGAATGTTGTGAGTAACCATAATATGTGTGTGGTCGATCTCTTTTCATGTTGTTGTTGTTGTGGCAGAGAGGAGATCAAAAGGCTGAAAGCTGATAACCCCAAAATGCCTCACAAGGAAGCTTTCAGTATGGCTGCCAAGAATGTGGGTTTGCTAAATCATATGCATCCTTGTTGAAAATGAAATTATGCAATCATGAAACTAATTTGGGGTTTATCAGTGGGCTCACTTCCCACCAGCTCATTACGACGACAACGAGATCGGATTTGATAAGCAGCAGCTGCAAGAAGGAGGAGATCATAATCAAGATCCACAGTACACCTAAATTGTTGGAACAACTTTGATCAGCTGGTACAGAATTGCTAATTAATTTCTTTTTATGTACACGTAGCTAGTAATGATGATTAGAGAAGAGAAGGGTGCATAAATTTCTGTATGTTGTGCAGATTTTCAGGTGAGCATACAAGATAGCAAAGTGTTTTGGGAGGGGAATTAATTAACCTTCCATTCCATATATATACGGCAAAATATCAAAGGAAAAGCTTCAAATTAAGCTTGGGGCATATTAATTAATACTGTTCTGTTCCAATTGGTGCAATATGAAAAGACACTCTTGTAGTAATTATTTTAATGAAATACCTACACCTTCCTCTCTCTATCGTATAATAATAAGCAGGAAAGCAGCTATATATAGCAAGTAAAGGGCTTTTCTAACTTTTTTTTAGGGTTAGGGTTTGCTGTCAAATCTCATGTCAAATTGTGGCATATATAGATGCCCTTGGGAATTGAGGCATTTTGAGCTGCGCGCACACTCACTCACTCAACTTTCTATCATCACTACTCTTTCTTGGGAAGCCTACGATTCAGCTTCACCATGTTTATCTACCTAGCTATAGTTTTGCTTCTTCTAGTACTCGGGTAGTTTGGATGTGGGATTCTATCGGATTAATTTGATTGATCACTTATCTCCGTTTGAGATAATTGAATCGAATTGTCTCGGCACAAAACTCTAATGAAGCAATATGGCTGATGAATTACTAATTGACTCGTTTTAACGCAATTAGAATTGTTTGGGATGAGGCATATAATTCTAATTGGCTCGTGGACCTATTTTTTAAAAAATGTAACAATTAGTCAAATTATTTCCTTTTTCATTTGATCCATCCAAATGATAAAGCGTGCATCTTTTTCTCAACAGGTCAATTAAAAACTTCCACTTTTTTTAATACCTTTTCTTATTAGCTAGGGTTTGCAAAATAAGATCGATGTTCGTAAACAACAAAATGAGTTTTGAAATGAGTAGGTAATTTTCTCTCTATCTTATATACGAAATAGATTCTTTTGTCAGAAAATCATAGGATACTGATTAGTAACAAGTTGATCAGATTCAGTGGTCTGATTGAAGCTTCCCAGTCGGCAATGCAGCAAGAGGCGGATGATGCCTTGCTGCTGCAGCTTGAATTTTGTCGTACGTTGGTGGTGATGGTGGCAACAATGATGATGGCAATGAAACATAATTTTTATCCCCCGTTTTGTGCATAATCATTCTAGTCAGAAAAAAAATGGACAATACAAGAGGGAGGAGGTGGACAAGCACAAGTGTATTTGTCTAAAAGTGGGAGCCAAAAAGAGGAAACAAACAAGACAAAGACAAAATCGACCGGCCTTTATTATTGATGGTGTGTATTGTTACGACTTCTAGCCATTGTGAAAAAGCGCTCGGACTAAAAGGAGTCGAGATGTGTGGAGAATGAGAAATGGTGGGAAGCATCATTTTGATCGGTATGTGCAACATTGTACCGTATTAGTGGTCTGGCTAGAAAATTGTCTACTCAGATACTCAAGTCGATACACAATTTTAACAGTACAAAATAACCACTTAAGATTAAAGTCAAAGAAGCTACTAATTAAGGCTCGAGATAGATGGTAATGGAGGGTCAGCATTGCCAGTAAATTCAAACACTTAAAAGAGATATAAATATTCTATACCTCATCCTCTTCAACCGTCGCTCGGAAACATTTTATAAAATTAAATCGATACAGAGAAGATCTTCTTCAACGACGTATAAATAAGACAGTACATCTTTTGTTCCCCCCATAGCTAGCTCTATATAGTGTGTGTTTCTGTGGCCAATGTGATAGCCACTTGCTCTCAATCTCATACCTCGCTAGAAACAAAAAATGAAAAGTGCACCTTCGGTGCGTTTTGCTTCCCCTTCACAATTTCGTTGTCTGGCTCTTATTGTATTAGCCATTGTCGTACACTACATATACTCTGAAATCTTTCCTTTGGAGTTTGGGGTCCTCTGTTATATATAGTCAAGTCAGTAATAACTCGTGAGGAGAGGTAGTGAATCAAAGCCAAAGAAGAGAACTTTTTTGGGGCACATAGAAGTTCACTAGGAAGTAAGACTCATTTTCAGTGCTCTTGATCATGGGCTTTCTGGGACAAGAGACGACGAGCACGTACCATTTTTGATTAATTATTATGCACCATTGGGTAGTTTTTTTTTTTTTTTACTTGAATTCTACATTTCATCAAGGATGCGTTCAAGTGTTTTGTGTCATGATGGTACAAAACTTCAGATATCACGGTACGTAGTACAAAGGATCTATACCATGTTGGTACAGATGTGGTATAAGCTAAGTCGTACCACGATGGTACATGTTCTCATAATGATTAAGGGGTTTTGTAATCCAAGATAAGTCCCGGCTCCGAAAGTATGAACGGGACAACAAATTTATAACAGATAATAATAAATAATCGTATGCAATCGGACTTTTGATGAAAAAGTTTTTTTGGCACTAGATCGGTAGCTCTGGAAAAGCTATAATGAGCAAAAGGACACAAAACTAACATAAATGACGAGAAGAGAGAATGAAAGTCCTTTAGAATGTCTCTAAGGACCACTAGTTGTTGTGATTGTGAGAATTGAATTTTAGTCTCTTAGCAATTATCATAGATTGAAAAACATCTTCCTTTCAAGTTTTCATCTAATGTATTGTACGAGTTTTATCTAAATTGGGCGTTCAAAGATCATGGTCTGCACTCTACAAATACGAATATACAGTATAAGAACAATATTAAACTTTATTGTTGATGAGCCTAAAGGAAGGAATGTTTGGCTTTTGAGTGGTTATGCCAAGTATTAAGTATGTGTGTATCATATATATATTAGGTATATGGATAATTAGTTAACTGGTTAATTTGGTTTGATTGGTTAGGAGTGTCTGAACCCAACCAAACCACCTAAACCAAACAAGCTAAAAAATTTAACCAAATCATATTAGCCAAATACTATTAGTTAAAACGGTTAACACGGTAACCACACTGTTTGAACACCCCTAGCTGGATGCAATGGAAAACCATGTTGATGGACGTTGGAACTCTGGGGGGTTCTCGAGGGAAAGAGAAGGATCGACGGCACAAAGAACACATTCTTGTTTCAATTATGCAAATAACTATCCTTTTTTAGTACTCACCAAACATGCATAAGTGGAAGAACCACAATTATGTTTTACACAATGCTGAAAAGTAGCAAACATATTGATGCTATACCCTGATGTGAGAACATAAGATTGACCCCACCAAATGCAAAGAATTCATTCTTTATGGTTGCAGCCAAGATTTGAACAAAAACAAATTGCATTTTGCCTGAGGAGTGCCTCTTGAGTAGTGAATGGTTGCAGAGATGAGAATCCTTCTCTATCCATTGATGAAGACAACAGCCTTGTGAATCCTATGAGACATAAACATATACAGAAAAAAAGAAGTCGATAATAAAGAATGAGAGCCTTTAGCCTTGATGAAATTTATCCAATGGCCTTATTTTCTTTCTTCCTCTGCTGAAGCAAACAAACCTTCATTTCTCTGGAAGCATAAAAAAAATAATGGCAGTTGACTGAGAGATGTCACCAACCCAACACTCTAACTTCTAATTCACTCCCCTCAGTCTCATCCAGGACATAAAATGGTCAACTTCAGAAAGCTGATTATAGATTCTTCAAACTCCTGTGTGTTAATTGTCCTACTAAGAGAGCTAGCTGGATGCTTACCTCCACTCCACTGCCATTGTCATCCGTCGGAGCTAGCGAATTATCCCTCCACAGAGAATCGACCATAGCTAGAGAATGCCAATGCAATCTCCCCTCACTCGCTCAAATAGGGGTCTCTCATGCCTTCGATTTGAGCCTTTGCTTCAATTTCGTCAGAATGACAAAATGGGATTTCCTGGGGGAATCTAGCGTGACATTCTCTCACACCTGCGATATGCGGAGAATAGAGCTAGTGCTTCAACTTCGTCGGAATGAAGAAACGAGATTTCCCGGGGAATTTGGCATCACCATTCTCCCGTCAGTCTCTGTCCATCTGCATCCCAGATCACTACACCTAGCCCCACTCCTGTCGAGTCCCTAAGGATGCATCAACATTAATCTGCACACATCCTCTTGACGGTGGTGACCAAGAAGCACCCCTATTATTCCCATTTACCAGAACTTGGTCCACTTTGACCAATTCAATGCCCGGTAGCAGCGGACTTATTATACGATACAAGTCCAGATTTACTATCCTCCGAATCAGTCTAGAATAAATCTATTCGATTTCCCATCAAGCCAGGCAAGTTGACTGAGAGGTGTCAACAACTCAACACTCTAACTTCTAATTCACTCCCCTCAGTCTCATTCAGGACCTAAAATGGTCAACTTCAGAAAGCTGATTATAGATTCTTCAAACTCCTGTGTGTTAATTGTCCTACTAAGAGAGCTAGCTGGATGCTTACCTCCACTCCAATGCCATTGTCATTCGTTGGAGCTAGCGAATTATCCCTCCACAGATAATCGGCCATAGCCAGAGAATGCCAATTCAATCTCCCCTCACTCGCTCAAATAGGGGTCTCTCATGCCTTCGATTTGAGCCTTTGCTTCAATTTCGTCAGAATGACAAAATGGGATTTCCCGGGGAAATCTATCGTGACATTCTCTCACTCCTACGATATGTGGAGAATAGAGCTAGTGCTTCAACTTCGTCGGAATGAAGAAACGGGATTTCTCGGGGAAATTTGGCGTCACCATTCTCCCGTCGCGTGCCGTTCAGCGGGATCGGGGACGTGAAAGAAAGGGGATGGTGGTCTTTCGTTGGCGTCGTTCTGTGGGCTCAGAGAGGTGAGAGAGAGGGGGTTGTCGTCTTTCTTCAGCGTCCGTTCAGTGTAGGGGTGGCTATACGGTCCGCTCCGGTTAAATTGGCCCAAATTGATCTGGTCCAGTCCGGTCTTTTAAAAAATATAAGGACTAAAGATTGGATTGGATGCAGTCTGGTCTTGATCCGGTCCGGTTTTGACCCGGTTCGGTCCCAATTCGGTCTTGATTTTATATTGAACTTGTGGGATTTGAGTGGCCTAAGGCCTAAAAGGATGAGGAGTTGGTTAAGTTTTGTACTAAGTGCAAATGTTTGTGAACGTTTATGCAAATCACCCTTAAGTTTTGGGTGTTGAGCTCTCTTATCCGGTCTTTATCCAGTTTTCGATCCGGCCCCGAATGGTTTTTTACTTCAAATCTAAGCTCAAAGATTGGATTGTTTACCATCCGGTCTCGGTCCGCGTTATACGGTCCGGTTTCGGGTAAAACCAAAAAACCCGAACCAAATAGCCAGCCCTACTTCATTGGGTACGGAGATGGGAAATCTGTCGTCACCACCGTTTTCAGCCGGCGTGCCATTCGGTGGGTTCGGGGAGTTCAAAGAGAGGGGAAATCAAACGACCTTCGTCGGCGTCCATTTGTTGAGTTGGGGAGGTGCGAGAGAGTCGGAATCAAGATTCGAGAGATGGGAAAGGTAGAAGAAGGGTTTTTTTATATCATAGTCAGATGAAATAATAGACAGATATGATTACAAAGAGTAAAAGAAACGTCAGTCGATACTAATCGATCTGGCGATGAAAGAGCCCTTTATGCCACTAAATGGGAAGCTCTGTTAGTTCTCTAGGAAAATAGCGAAAAAAACACTAAAAATCCATAAAAAGCATATGGCTTCACTCTGTCAAGACCAAACCGTTAAGGTGACCGAACCAGGTGTCTTTTGCCCAAGCTTAAACGTCCATTATGTCAATCCAAAAGGCAAAGACACGACTTCTCATTCTTCCTTCCTTCCTTCTTTGATCAAGGAGTTCCATGCCAGATACACATGCTGACATGCACACCTGCAGAAAAAACAAAGGAAAAGGAAGCCACAAGCAAAAAGGCTCAAGAAGCCCAACCGATACTGGACAAAGGCTATAGGCCACGTGACAAGACATCATCACTCCTGATTTCTCCAATTGCGGGATACTAATCCGACCCACCGCTTGCTTCACCTATGATGAATGAGGATAAGAGCAACAACTCATTGCCAGACGTTAATGAACAAGCAGGGGAAAGCAACCAGGAGGTGGATACCTCCCGGACGGAGAAAAAGATAGACGCAGAGGAAGGACACCACGACAGCTCCGGCAAGGCCTCACCGGACTGGACACACCACGGAGAAAAGATGCAAACTCGGGATGGTGCTTTGAACTGCTTAACCTGCACCATCAAATCAACTGCAGACAGAACCAAACTGAACAGAGATAAAAAAAAAAAAAGCTCACAGAAAAGAGTTACTGAATGAAATTAAAAAACTTCATCGATCACGGCCGGTAGTTGAGACTTGAGAACATAAGGGCAGACTCAAAACCCATTCTCCAATCTTCATACTCTCTCTGCAGCGCCGCCGAGGATTCACACTTTTTCCTAGGTATCACCAACTCAACGCAAAAAAATCCGACTCAGATCTCCCACGAGTTGCTTCTCAGCTGAAAGCCAACAACATCCATCATCAAAGGTCACAAGAATCAACGGTTGATATTAGTTAGATAGCTAACAGATCAATGGTTGTGCTTGGTCTGCCTAGAGTGGTAGTATACTAGTATCCTTGGGTTTAAGCTGGACCTAGTTGCAGCTAATCAGAGGGTTTCAGTGAACAGTAACTCTCGATTTTTTCTTGGTGAACACTACCGAAATTTTTGCAAAATTGAAAATTGTGCCTTACTAATTCTAATAATCATAGTTAGTAAATACTTTGTTTAATACACGTACATGTACCCATATGTATTTTATCCGTTTAAAACTTTCGTATCCGTATTATAACTATTAACGTACTATTTAACGTAACATTAGCTTAGAAGTGAAGTAAAATACCCGTACCTATTTTATGCGAAACTTTCCCGTACCGTATTTTACTAACTATGCTAATAATATATTTGGGACAAAGGGGTGGACGTATCGGGTGGGTAGAGTTAGGTTTAGGGTTTATTTAATGAAAGGGAATTTTGGGAATTTACGGTTATAGACCGTTTGGTACCAAATGAATCTAGAATTCATTTCGTTTTAAAATGAATTCCTGTGTAGAATTCATTGTCAATGAATTCCTGTGTTTGGTATGTGCTATTAGCGTTATAATCAAATTCTTGTCGACGTTCCTCATACTGCATGAATTGGCGCGAAATAATATATGTAGAAGTAATTTTGTTAATAAATGAGAATAATTATGTCATTTTATCATAATTGGTAAATACTTGTGGAGTTCATTTGAAATTTCCATATCAATTCCTCGGAATTGCTATAACTAGTTCCAATTCCGTAGAATTCAAAATTTAGAATTGAAAATGAATTCTTTTATATACCAAACACAAAAATATTTCACTTCAAAATGAATTCCTAAAAATTCATGGAATTCATTTATACTAAACGGTATGTTAATTAGGTACCGGGTGGATTTAATCCGAAACTCAGTTAACATTCGTAAGTTCTTTATTTTTCTGTCAAAACTCGATATTGTTTGAACCAAGATTTCACATTTTAGTCCTCATCGATTTTATGGTGGAATTTGACAAATTTTTCTGAGGGCATGATGGTCACTTTAGCTTAGAAAATGATGGGATGTAACACTTACTGAAAAAACATCCAATCTTCATAGTTGTTGCAGAGTACGTACACCTCCCTCCGTTGCTGCTCCTTATGGAAGCTGGGCAGCACCATCAGTGTTTACTTTATGCCACCCTGCTGCTGGTGTTATCCAGCTAATATGTTCTTCATGTCTTGGCACTCGGCTGGCGACGTCATTATTTTGCCAGTTTCCTAGACATTAGCTAGCCCATTCATATGCCTTCTGCGTCACAGAATTGTGAAAGGGGGATGTTAGAGCTGTTTCCGTATAAAGACCACGCCATTTCTGCACATCCATATATACTAGAGAATGAGGCACCGACGATCCCCATTGGGACGAAATCGCCGGCCATCCAGAGTGAATCTCCTATGACATCACATGTCCAACATCCCTAGAAACAAAACCGCTTTTCAATGAAGGTTTTTCGGGAGCCAGTAGCATGAATTTTGATTTCATCACCACGACTATCTCAGAAAACTCTCTGTTGCCCACAGGGTCTACAGCGGCACCTCCCAAACTCTCCTATAGTGAAATGGTGGTAGAAATCCATAGTCTTTCCCTCACAATCAAAATCAAGGAGAAAACACGACACGTGATATATGTGGTTTTTCCGAGATTGGGACTAGTCCACGAGAGAGCTAGAACTCTCCTAGCTGATCGTATTAATATGTTTTCTTCGTTTTGTTTACACGGCTTGCTCTACATATATAATGTCGCCTAACCCTAGCTCTCTCAAACTCAGTGATGGAAATTTGAACTCGCCTCGTGGGTATTACCCGACCTGACCCGCGATGGGGCAGGTATTACCTAACCCGCCCTGCCCCGTCCCGCCCTGTTCTTGGCCATTTTATCTCAATTTCTTTACCCATGCTATATATCACTATTTTGCATACACCAAGTATTTTCTCATTTGTTTTTATCGGAAAAAGTAAAATTAGAGTGTATTTCTTTCAAATAACATGTAAGAGTGGGCCGACCCGCACCGCCCCGTACCTGCGTGAGTTTTACCCGCCCGATCCGTAGTAACATGGGGCAGGACATGAGTATTGAGGTACCCGCCCCTCCCCGCCCCATTACCATCACTAATAATAGGGTTAGACACCTGCCACCACCTACACATTCACCATTTACTACAATACAATAGGCCAATTAACATAACATGGTGCCAATACCGCTAACAGAATATACTTGTTGCAATCGTAAAAATCCTAAAAAGTTTATAAAAAACCTAAATAATTGTCATAGTTAACATAGAAAATGTTATCTAAAAGAAATAAAAAACAAGGAAAGAGGCAAAAACGAGAATCAATTGGACTATGAAAGTTACTACTATGGGTTGAACCCGATTGTGAAGTTGTCATTTGAAAAAATTGTCCATCATTGTCTAGACATATATATGATACATAAATATTATAAAATATAATGACAACCAATTTTAAGCAATCCTCAATACTATTCATCGATTTTTTTTTCTTCGGAAAAATGAGCACTTAAAGGGCGCCCCAACCTTTATGCATTAAAGTGGGGAGTTTCCATCCAAATCCTGTCAAAATACAATATTGCATTAATATATATATCCATTTAAATATATTATTTTGTTTTATTTCAACTTCAATACTATATAAGCATTATTGATTAATCACAAAGTATAACATCCCGCTAATTTATTAAAAAAAAGACTATCAACTATCAAGTTAATTTTATTTAGACAAATTAGGTAATATATTGTTGGGTCTAGTATTAACCCGCCTAATACGGGCCCAAGCCCCACCAAAAGCATCTCACCTTGGGCCCAAGCCCATTCTAGGGTCCAGTACACCGAGAGGCGTCCAGTCCACCCGGGGGGCGTCCATCACCGCGAGGCGTCAAGCCTACCCGGGGGCGTCCACCACCGGAAGGCGTCCATCGACGGGAGGCGTCCAGTTAGGGATGGCAATGGGTCGGGTTGGGTCGGGTTTTGCCAAACCCAAACCCAAACCCATGGGTTTATCCGTGAAAAAAACCCGGGGTAAAACCCACTGGGTTTGAAAAACTCAAACCCAACCCAACCAGCTGGATATCCGCGGGTTCATGGGTACCCACGGGTTTTTGTCGTAAAAAATTTACAATAACAAGTTCCTACCAAAATTAAAGTCAAATATCAATCTCTCAATACAAATTATCCATATTTAAAACACCATTCCAGAAAATTCAAGCAAATCACAAATTGACTATACAAATTGTTCAACACCAATCTAGAAAACTCAAGAAAATTGAAGTAAATTATAAATTATCCATAAATAACATGATTAATTGAAGGCTTCTTCCTTTCAATTAAGTTTCTTCATTCTCCACTCGATAACACAAACTTCATTCTACACAATTAGAAAGAAAAAAATTAGACATGTCTCCACAAACATAAATAAGATTAGTTGTTTAAAATATTAAATATACAGAGAAAATTAATTATATGTGTGGGCGGGTACCCACGGGTCGGGTTTACCTAAACCCAAACCCAACCCAACCCGATAAATAGTGAACGGGTTTAAACCCAAACTCGACCCAAAACCCGTCAACACGGATTTTACCCGCGTTGACCGGGTTGGGTCGGGTGGGTACCCGTGGGTTCGGGTTTGGTTGCCATCCCTACGTCCAGTCTACCGGGGGCGTCCATGACAACGGGAGGCGTCCACAGGATGCCTCCGGCTCCTATATAAGGAGACCAGACCCTCCAAGCAAGGCGACTTCTCTTCCTTCCCACATTTTACCACTGATGGTTCTCTCTCTAAACCCTATCTCTCTCTACACTCTATTATATATCCTATTCTAACTTGACCGTCGGAGTGTAGATCACGGGGACCGCCCCGACTATCCACAAGATTCTTCTTCCACTCCCGAGGAGATCAGACGAGAGAATCCGAATCAAGGCTCCACACTAATCCTCCGATACTAATCGGGGGTCAAACATATATATTAACTGAAATACAGCAGCTGCCGCGTAACCTCTCTCTTTAAATTTCTCCGCCAATTGAACTGTATTGAATTGGCAATCTAACGGCGCGGGGTGAGTGGAGTGGGACCCATTTTCCTTTTGTTGATTGCGGTCACGAAGCTCTTCCCGTCTCTCTATTCAATTCCCACTCTCTCTATCGTCTACCTATCAATTTCCATTACTGTCATTATTTATTTAAATAAACGCATAAAATAAAATGTTTTGTATTTTTCATCGTCTCTCTCCCTCGAGAAATTTAACTGACCCCGCATTAGATTGCGTAGCCAGGTAGTTCCTTCCAGCACCCAGTCCAGAAACCGCTGCCCGCTGCCCGATTTCCCTCCTTTCTTCTTCTTCTTCTTCTTCTTCTTTCTGCCATTACTTACCCTCACCCGCCCCTGACCTTTCTTTCCCACCCTCGCTGTTGCTTTGCTTACCTCCTCTCCTCTCCATTATTACTCATATTTTTTATTTATTTCTTATTTTGTTGGGTAGCCTTTTTTTTTTTTTTTTTTCTGTTTTCGGGGGAGGGTTTTCGTCCGTTTTCTCATCTATCAACTCCCACCTCCCTCTTTCTGCCTGCCTCGCCTCCTTCCCTACTCCCACCGCACCATCATCTGCTCTCTTCTTCAACCTCCCTACTTTCTTTTGTCTTCTTTCCCCCCTCCTTTTTCTCTCTACCACCACCGCCCTCCCGCGTCTTTGTTATCATCGTCGTCATCTTTGCCCACCAAACTATCTGCTGCAACGGTGCATTTCTGGGTCTCCTTAGATCTTCTCGATAACCTGATCATCGCCTTCTGTTGTTTTTTTTCCCGATTCCAAAGGTCTCATCTTTTTCTGTTTCTCTTTTGTTTACTTGCTTGTATGGGGATATGGAACAATTTGATTTCTGGGGGTTTACTTCTGATTTCCGCTTCTTCGTTATTTTCCTTTGCTTGAGGCGATCATTGACACCGTTGATGGAAATTTGCAGGATCTGTTGCTGAACCCAAATCAAAGGTGCTTCATATTTAAGGTAAACGTGCCTCTCTTTTTTTGATTGTGTATATGTATGGATGAAAGCCATCTAGGCTGGTTTTTTCGATTATTTCCATTTAGAGTGCTGGGCAAATTCTGGGGTTTGAGAGATTTGCTGGGTTCTTCATGAAGATCTAATCTTTCAGATTCTTAGGTTTTCCCGCACCCTGCCCGTTGCATTCCGTTATTCACTCTTAGGCCTTGCTCAAGCTCCTCCATTTCCTGGACATCGCTTTTTTTTGTTATTTTGTTATTTTGTTTCACTCTCCCTTGATCCTACTACTTACTGAACTGGAGTTTCATCTGGGTTTCAGTCTTATTCAGTTTCCGACCAAAGTTTTGCATAATTTTTGCTAAGTTGAATTTCAAGGGTTTTAATCTCGTCTCTCTTTTGGGGACCATTTCATCAGTGAATGTAAATTTGATGGAACTGGTATCATTTGCAAAGCAAATGTCTTTCCTTCACAGAGGGATACGAGAAAGTGAGTTGTTGATCACATTGAGCTAAGTGGTCTGATGTCTCGATGACCTTACCTCATTGTTTCTTTCTGCTCTTTTTAGCATGGTTTTCAGCCTTCTTAGACTTGTGGTGAAGTCCCTGTCCATCTGGGTGCATGACTCAGACTGTAAGCTTAATTGCACATAGTGTGCTAGACAATCAGGTGCCTGATGGGATGCAACCTTGTGCATGTAATGTCTTCTGAAATTTGAGACCTGCAAGCGTTATTTTGATTCGTAAGACAGTTACTACACGGTTAGGAATGTTCTTTGGTATGGACGATAACGGATGCCAAAGCTGTTTCCCAGCCTTTTGTTCTTTATTGGTTGCCACGTAACTCGAGCATTAGTGGCTCAGAAGCGGAAGCCCGTTTTGACCGAGCTTTTAGTTTTCTCTGTTTTCCTTTTTATATGCTGATCGATGGCATCTGGATCACGATTCGTCAATGCTTGATCGATGTTTTTTAGCGTTTCTATTTGCGTCCAGACACGTGTCTAGGCTCTTGCATCTGAACTTATAAGGCAGTTTTCTTCTTTGGTATATAATTGGATTTCTACATGTTTTATCTTAATAACTAGATTAACTTTTATTTATTTATGAATTGGCTTGTAGCATCGGTGGTTGAAGTCCATAACTAGTTTAGTTGCTGCTTGTAACTTTGTGAAGTGTATTTTTAGAAGTGTTTTGTTCTGCTTTTTTGCAGGGTGAATCTTTTTTATAATCCGAAGCCTTTGAAGTTTATGATAAATTAGATTGCGGAAAATGCTGGGAGGCAATAGCAGCAATCCCCTTGTTCCAGTTTTCCTGGATGAGAACCGCATTCCTTATCAGAACAACGCTTCAAACCAGCTGCAGTTATTTGGTAATTGTGAGTTACAATTTTATGATACCATCACAGTTAAGCTTTGCCTTCCTTGCTCTTATTTTGTGGTGCTGCCTGGCATCATATCTGTAACTATGAATGCATGTGAAAAACATTAGAAGCAACTTTCATCGAGCAAGGTGTTTTTGTAGAGGTTTTTGGCTGGACAATGGAGTCAAGATCTTGATTCTCTATACAGTATGTTGTTTTTTATCTGCAACAGGGATTTCATCTAGTACCGATTGAAATAGTCAAAATTAGAATCTATATTGATGGATATTGTATTCCCTAATGTAGTACTTATACTTTGCTGTTATTTTGTTGTTGAGTTAAAACTTGTGTCTTTGTTTTTTGAATGTTAGGTTGGCTATTTAACCTTGTTTGGCAAAGTATATTTTACTGATAATATCTTCTAAACTTGTGGTTTGTCAGTGCCAGCTGGATGTAACGTTGATGCTATAAACTATTTTGGAAATGAGCATATCTCTCCTATGCTTCAGCCCAATAAACGAAGCAGGGAGCCAGAAGACTTTAGTAGACAACAAAAGCTTCAAATTTCATTGAACTATAACATTTGCAAAGATGAAGCTGACCGCTCAGCAAGTGTTCCGAACAACCCTAATGCTGTGTCAACTGGGTTACGACTATCATATGACGACGATGAACGAAACTCTTCTCTGACTTCAGCAAGTGGGAGTATGGCAGCAGCTAGACCTTCAATGATCTTGTCATCCCTTGGGGACAATATTCGGTCTGAGCTTGATCGCCAGAAAGAGGAATTTGATCAATATATCAAACTTCAGGTACTCTCTTGTTCTTAATGTCCCCTCCCTTGGTTAATGCCTGTATTGTTTGGTAGACCCCATTGTCTTTGAATATCTTTCTTCAGCTATGCCACCCTCCTCATTCCAACCTAACATAACTGGTGTCCTTCAGAATCATCTCTCTGGATCATTGATTTTGACCAGTATAATACTGTTTGTGGATGTGATGTCTCCCTCTGTTATGTTTTCATATAGCCTAATGTTGATTGATTAAAAAGAACTGACAGGTGTTAAACGTCTTGGGCTCTCGGAAGTGTTGTTTAGTCAGTGTGTCATTCTTTTTGATGATGGTGGTTCCATATGATGAAACAGGAGGAGCACCTGGCTAAGGGAGTGAGGGACATGAAACAGAGACATGTTGCCTCATTTCTTGGTGCTATTGAGAAGGGTGTTGCAAAGAAGATTCGGGAAAAAGACATAGAGATAGAGAATATGAACCGTCGAAACAAGGAATTGATTGACAGAATAAAACAAGTGGCGACAGAAGCCCAGAATTGGTACTACAAGGCAAAGAACAACGAATCACTGGCCAATGTCCTCAAGACCAATCTCCAGCAGGCAATTGCTCAGGGGGCTGATCAAGTAAAAGAAGGATTTGGGGACAGTGAGTTTGATGATGCTGCCTCTTGCATTGATCCTAATAACAACTACCTGAAGATGACAATAGGTGGTTGTGGCCCTTCATCAAAGCCTCTCTCTCGGCGAGGTGGCTCTAAAGAGCATATGACCTGCAGAGCATGCAAAGCAAGGGAGGTGTCGGTATTGTTAATGCCTTGCAGGCATCTGTGCCTATGTATAGACTGCGACATGTTCGTCAATGTTTGCCCTGTATGCCAGTTGATCAAAACTACCAGCATCCAAGTATACTTGTCCTAAATTATGAAAAATTGAAATGTCACTCAAATGTGAAAGGAAAAAAAAAGGGTCATCCTAACTCTCTTCTGTGATAAAAGAAAAACCAAACCTCAGGCAGGGTCTTTCCTGGGATTACAAAAGTTGTATTTGGAGTAACCTTGTTTATTTTTGGGAAAATGGAGTTCGAGTAAAGTTTCTTTCTATTCCAATCTTTTACCCCCCTCTATTATGGAAACTGTCAAGAGTGCTTGTTTTTAAAACCATGGAAAGAAGGTAGCCATTCTGCTGTTATATAGCTTTGGTGATAAAAAGGCTCTTCTGAGTTTCTGCCATTGGAGACAATGTTAGCCTTAGCAGTAAGGTTGATTTGCAAGTTCATATGATGCCATAGAAAATGCAGAAACTAGAGATTGGGCAACTGTACAACTTCTTGAACTGTGGCATTTAAAATGAGTCTAGTTTCTGTGAGTAGGTTACAACCGTGTATTGGGGTCAGGGATTGAAGCAAAGCTTAACAAGAACCAAATCGTCTGTTTATGAGACACTGATATTGGCATGCACGAGTAACAATCACAAACAAATTTGACTAAGCAGCAGCATCTAGATTCGTCTTCTGTTGTCCACTCGTAACTTCTTAGGTGCAGTTCCAGCTTGCTGGTCTGAACTTGACTGTATCTGTAACAACAAATGTGGTAGTACCAAGCAAAGTTACTTTCATTACCAAATATGCTGTGCTATGTCCAACAGAATGGGAAAAAAGAAAAAAATGTACAGTAATACCTTATCGAGCTTCTTCCTGACCAAATTAACCGTCTCGTTCATGGATTGAGATGGGAAGTAATCCTGTTAAAAGCAGAACAGATGATGGTTCGCTATTCAGTATCCACGGACTAACCTTCGTTAGCATGACAGAAAGGGATTCAGAGAAGAACTAAACGGATTTGCAGACCTGGTCAGAAGAAACCCTTTTCAGGGGTGGATCATTTGCCCGGGGAAAGCCTTCCAATTCTCGTACATCCCTAGAGAAAACCAACCAATGAGTCATAGATTGTATGTGCTGAGATTAACCACACAAGTTAGAACAACAGCACATGAGTTTCCATTAGCAAAGAGCATACCGGGTTCGATTGGAGTTAGATAGTGGGTGAGAAGAGGAATTGGGAGGCTGGATAGGAGATTTTCCAGCCCGGTTGAGTCGAGCAAGAACTTGATTAGTTCTGCCTTGTAGCTTGTCCTTGGTATCTGAGAGGCTCTCAAACTGTGGAGCATACGAAACCTGCAATTTGTTCCCCAAGAAGACATGCTCGTCCAGCTTCCTTTTCGCAAACCTGCATCAGCACTTCAACTTCCTTAACCGGCTCTCAAAGTCCCAATCTTTGTGGTATATGGTAGACAAAAACAGGAACCCCGTGGGGAAGCCGCAGTAACCTGGCATTGCTAACCAAACCGAATTTGATCCAGTACACGTCTGTAAATGGCTCGCAATCTTCTGCGTCCATCGGTTTTAGCCTACAAAAGAAATGACAACTCAACCACCACCACCGGAAGGAAAAAAGGAGAGAACTTTTTTTTTCTTTCTTGTTGAGAAGTTTACTCTTCAACGTCGCCATAGGAGGCGAATAGCTTCTGCAAGTCATCGCCGCAACCCAGTGCAGGTACGTTCCTTACGATCAGGTATCTGCACAAACCTAAATCGAATCAGTCGCGTATCAGAATTTTCCGCATCAGATTGGGTCGAAAACGCACGCCGACGACCTAGATTCGTCACAGACAGTGTAAACGCGAACTGCAGGGAGCTCGTCTTTGTGGCGAGGCATGGCTGGTTGGAATTGGATCCTCTGATTTCCGAGACCCAGCAGCCGATTTCGCTCTTATTTTGTTTTTCTGGTTCTGACTGACTGGTAGGGAAGGACAAGGGAGGCGGCGGAAGCCGGAAGAGACCGCACCGGCACCGGAAGGCCATCCAAGTGGGGCGGCTAGTGGCCAATTTACGGGGCTTGTCGTTTTGGTGCTAAACGACCTAGTTCTATCACAAATTCACAATTTCTTAGGGCAAATTGCAAGTTCAGTCGCTCTGATTATTAAAAGGTTTCACGTTTGATTACTAAAAATATTTTATTTGATTCATAGAATACTACATCCCTAAAAACATACACTTGCTATCTTCAAGATTCAATAATTTGTAACCCTTAAGCATTGACAACATTCCTAACAAAATTTGTTGGCTTGTTTGAGGAGCAAACTTAGGTCTTCCATAAAAAAGGACTAGTATAAACTAGACTTTTAAATACACTCAAATTCTCAATAAAATGGTGGCTTCTTGTACAAGAATTCACATGGTGATTTGTTGCCTAGAATTGGAGTAAGAAATCTATTGTCTAAGTAAATGGAACGTGAAACACAATCAATCTCGTACGATAATGGGATATGAGACTAGAACATATGAGGGAGACCTAACAATATTTGGAACGTCCCGGTGCTTCCTCATGAGCTTGGAATTTCATTGTGAAGTATACATATAGAAAATTTGGCGTTCCATTACTTCTTCCATGTAAAACTCACTCATATGGAATTCTTTGCCCTTGTCACTTTTTGTTATTTTAGTAATTATACCAAATTAATTTACATCAAATGATAAACCTTCGTGGAATTCCAATGGATTGTCTCGTTTTGAGACAATTGTGTCAGATTGATCCGTTTGGCAGCAGAAAATATGGATTGATCCGTTGAGCCAATTACTATTGTCTGGGTGGGGGCAGGTAATCTGAATTGACTCGTTTTAAATGACTCATTTTATAAAATGAAACAATTGGTCAAATTGCTCGTTTTACAATTGATCCATCCAAACGACCCCTTTAAAGCAATTCCCTTGTTTTCACTTTGATGTTTCATAAGATACACCGATACAACTCACGAACAATCAAGTAAAGAAATAATCATATCCACCATAAGAGACAATAATAAAAGGCACCACAGGCACATATTAAACATAAATCAATAGAAAATTTTCAGTTGCATCATTAATGCAATAGGGATAATAAGTATTTTATGTTTGTGTAGATGACATATATCACAATGATCAACTCTAAAATTGGTTACAAAGGAATCAATATTTTGGAAAATAAAATCCTATCATTACTAGGATGTCCTAATCTTCAAAGTCAATGGTCAACTTGGTGTGAGTTGAAATTGATGGTGGTGGCTGCTTGCGAGTGTAGAATATTTTTTTTTTACTATGTGGCTGCTTGGGAAAGGTAAGCTGATAGTTATTTTCTCTTGCTAAACCAATTATCGTCGTATTTAGAAGGTTCAGAGTTTTACTAAGATTAGAATGAAAGTGCAAGGCTAAAGGGAAATTATGTGCGAGACGACTTGCAAACACCATATTAGAGGGAAAACTAGGTACGAGAAGGACATTGTACAAATCCCATAAGGTAGCTTGACAGACTCTACATGAGTAACTAGGAGCTTTCAAAATTTCTCTATAACTAACACATATAGAGTTCAAGAGAGCAAAAAATATAATACGATGCACTTGTTTCTAAGATTAAAAAAAATGCATTAGATGGTTACTGTCATGGTTGGAAAAAAGAGAAATGACATATTTACTCGAGTATTTTGGAAAATATGATAAATATGGGAAATCATAATATGCTTGGTGACACATACAAGTTGAGGTTGGTGAGAATTGAAGCGTGTTGTTGTTGGGTACAGTGATGTTAGCACCAATTTGCAGCATGCATATGAGTTTGTTCATCTCTTCACGAGTGAATCCAAGAGCAATATGACTCACATTGCTTCCTTCACTACTATATCCAACTTCAGTTTGTGTCTCCACTTGAACTTCACTCAGATACATATTCAACAATTTTTAGGGTTCCAACTTGTGGGCTAACTTCCTCTAATTGTTCCTTATTCAATCTTCTATATTTGCGAAAACTTGACCATGATCACTTTCTTTAGACTCATTGGAGTATTAATGATTACGACCCATGTCAAGGTTTGAACCTTCTTGTTACTTTCATTAACCCGGATTTCTTGTTCATATGCAATAAATCGTCGACGACATTAGAAACTGTTGACAGTGGCTTCATAATTAGCAATTGCTTATTAATCAAACCATTGGTTCCAAATTGAAAACTAGAGTCATTTTTGTTAGACATTTCCACCCAACTGATTGGATCCAGGACTCGCCACTATTTGATGATGATGTTTGCTGGTGTTGACACCTTAAAATTATTTTGGGTTAATTAAATGCCCCGCATTAATTAGTCTCGGCATTTAATTCGATACCGCATGACAAAAAACGGTGTCGTTTGGAGTGGAGCAATGTCGCGGAGAATTTAAACGACACCGCGAATGGGCCCGACGGTACCGCGGCGTTGGGAACGACGTTATTTGGTAAAAAAAACAATGTCGCGAGAAACGACACCGTTCAGTCAATGCTGGTATTACGGTTGGAAAAAAGTGCTTTTTTGTTCCTTGTCGGAAGAGGAGAGAAACAACACCGTTCAGTCAATGCTGGTATTACTATTGGAAAATGAGTGTTTTTTTTTATTCCTAGTCGGAAGAGGAGAGAAACGACACCGTTTAGTGATAAGCAATGCCGCAGAGAGATTTAACGATGTCGCGGAGGTCAACGACATCATCGAAATCTCAACAATGCCGCAAAACTGGCAAACAAAATCCCAACACCGTCAGGGTTTAATTCAAAAATGACTTTGTGTTGGCCGAGATCTCGAGAAAGGCCAGCTCAACTAATTATATATTTTAATATTTATTTTTTGGACGACACTGTTTAGCTAAAAACGACACCGCTAAAGGCCTCAACAGTGTCGCGGTATTACTAAGCGACGCCGTTTAATTAAAAACCTATACCACAACGGGTAGGATTTTGGTGAGGGCAGCCCGTCAAGCCCAACGACAGCGCAAGACGAGAAAACGTCACCGTTTGGTAGAGAACAATGTCGCGGATGAAGAACGACACTATTTGATGGGACCGGGCCGGAGCAGCTGAGTTGTGGCTGTGAATTTGGCAAGGTCGGCATGGATTAGTGAAAAATGATGTCGCAAAAAGATTAAACGACATCGCGAAGCTCAACAACATCGCAGGACTAGAAACGATGTTGTTTAACTAAGAACGGCGTCGCGAAGTGAGGGTTTGACGGTGTGTCAACAATGATGACCGGTTTAATTAATTAATATTTTAAAGATTATTTTAGACGATGTTGTTTAATTGAAAACGACACCGCGGGAGGTATCAACAACACCGCGGATTAGAAAACGATAGTGTTTAATATAGAACAATGTCGTGAGAAATTTCATATAAACGGTGTAGAAAGCAACATTGTTTCGCGGAACGTCACAGTGGCGAGATTTCAGTTTTGACGATGTCGTGGACTCGATGTCGTTTGTTATTATGTGGACAGGGTTGTTTGGGGGATCGAACCGTGGTGGAGGATTGTGGATTTTGGCTCAGTGTCGTTTTGGCCAAGTTTCCGCGTGTCCAAGCGGTTTCGCACTCGTGGGAGTTACGCAACAAGGAGGAAGTTACCCGCACGGTTGACAGGAATGAAGAACGTGGGAGATAAAGGCGCGAAGGCAATTACTACGACTGCGGGGACAAGAGCGAAGTATAAAGATCGGGAAGAGATAGAAGCTCGGGACGGCAAAATCAAATCTCAAACTGCACCGTCGCAGAATTATCATTTTCTCTCTAGTTTCGTAGAACCGCTCTGACTCTGTCAAAGACCTCTTTTGCTGAGTCGTAGTAGTCGTAGTCGCGGAAATCTGCAGAGGAACCTCCATAGGAGTAGAGGTAACATAACTTAGAACACTCCCGGTTTGGTTTCTCGTTTCTCGTTGAACACCCTCGTTCGAACGTAGTTTGGAGAGGTGGTGGACTGAGTAACGGTTGTTCTGGTTAGAAGTCAAAGGTGTATCGATCAAATCAACATCGCCGACGCCGACGGTGGATATTTGACGGTCGTCTTGGTTTCTGTTTAATCGATTAAATCAACGCCGCCGACATTCGGCGGTGGATATTTGATGATTGTGTTGACTTTGTGTTTTGTGTTTACTTGAAAAAAGTGCGCATTGAACACGCGAGTTTCGCCAACGAAATAGCTGGTAAGCTATCGTCAGAGTGATCAACCTACATCGATTGCTCTCATACTATAAGAAAAACTTAGATATGGTTGGAAAAGAGAAATCCCTTAAAAGATGTGGTTTCTCGCTCGAACCAAATGTATGTTCTATTCAGATTCAGTTGTCGTTTTATGATATAATTTCTTCTCTATTTCGACCGGACCGAACCGAACGAAGGGTCACCCTACCAACACCTACACTGGCCACATCAATAATTCATTTTCTCAGTTTGACTATTCAGACGGAGCCTATACTAATCAAGTCCAGCCACGTTGCACCACCAGTTCCAGCAGGTCTCCTCCACTACAGTACAGAGTACACCACCGCTCAATGATCAATCCCAATCCAAGCATTAGAAAACGAGGATTGCATTTCTTTGGGGGAAAAAACAAGGAAATTTGGCGGAAGAAGCTTAATACGTAAGTCAGAAACGGGAATGGAATTGCTGTGGGTTGGTTTCACGGGAAAAGGAGAAAGTGGGATTGGCAAACGGTTTGTCCTACTCATTTCCCTTCCCTTTATCAAAACGCAAAGAATTATTGATTTCCTCCTTTTGTAAATTGGGATAGATCATAGATGTTTTGTGTTTGTACGGCAAAGAAGTTTGTGGATTCCAGAAAGCACGAAGGAGTGGAGGAGTGCAGACAAACACTAGACTAGGCCACAGGAAGAAGACTTCCTCCGTTCCTCGCCCCCCTTGCTTTTTGTACTGTGTCTTGTCGGTCTTTAGCTACCTGCGTTTGCTGGGTCGTCTCCTCTTTCGCCATTTGAGGTCCAAAGGACGAGCTTGGCTCTCTCCTACTTTCTTCCTTTTCTCCTTCAAGAAGGGTTTTGCTTTCTCACTGAATTCCGCGGTAAAGTTGAATCATTTTTTAGGGAGCTTCATGGGTTTCCTTTTTTAAGCTCTCTCTTGATTGTGTAGTTGAATTCTGGTTTCTGATAGGAGGTTTCTTCAGCGTTTTTGTCGTTTATGTAGGAAGGAGAAAGGGAAATCTTGCTCTTCTGATTCAGGAGTTGAATTACTGCCTGTGAATTTAGTATAGGAAACATAAACAAGTTGAATTGTGATCGAGGGTTTAGGATTTAAGCTCTTCCTGTTGCATATTTCCGAGTACCCGATCATTGTTTGTTGTTATCAGTTGTTCGTATCATTGATCTGATGACTGTTGAGATCGAACTTATAGTATGATATTTGGATGAGTGGTTCCTGGAAGCAGCATCCAACATGTGGGTTTCCTCCCAGTGATTCTTTGGCCAAACTGGGATCTTGCTCTAGTTTATATTCTTTACACAGATGGGACATTTTTGCTTCTCAGGTTAGGTTTTTTGATTATAACGTGTTGATGCCAAATGGAACTTTGTTGTTTGTAGGCTGAGGTGCTAGACCTACCATCGGCAAGAAAATTGGTAACTGTGCTCTTCTTGCCCACGAAGAGATGGGATCCGAAGGACCAAAGGCTGTAGTGATTCATGTAACTGGATTTAAGAAATTTCAAGGGGTTGCCCTGAATCCCACGGAGACTATAGTGAATAAGCTCAAGGATTATGTGGCAAAGCGAGGGTTGCCCGCTGGCGTTACCCTAGGGAGCTGCACCGTTCTTGAAACTGCTGGAGATGGAGCTCGTGACATGCTCTACCAGACCCTAGAATCGAGCACTGCAACTAATACTATGAATGCTGAAAAGAATGAGCCAGTTGTTGTTTGGGTCTGTACTTGGGAGTGAACATCTTACTTAATTGCTCTTCATCATTGCTTTCTCTCTACAGCTTTGCGGAAAATAATGCTCAACATCTTTCTTAATGTTCACTTATTCAGCTTCACTTGGGAGTGAACAGTGGTGCAATGAAATTCGCCATTGAGCGACAGGCAGTGAACGAAGCCACATTTCGATGTCCAGATGAGATGGGATGGCAACCTCAGGTACATGACTGCTGTGTTTCTCAATCTGATTCTCAGTCTCGGTCTCATATAATTGCAATTTCTAGATCTACACTTCTGATGCTTACTTATTTTTAACATTTTTTCGTAACTTCTTACTCAGAACTGCCCCATCATCCTGGAAGATGGAGGAACTACCTCTGCAAGAGAGGTATTCAATTTACCACCCCTAACTTCATGCTATTCTGTTTTTCCTCCTAAACTCACTCTGGTTTTCTTCTTATCTGTTTTGGGTTGGAGAAGACTTGTTGCTCCATTGATGAAATCCTGAAGTTGTTGAAGAAGAAGGGCTTCGACGTGACGATATCGGACGATGCTGGCCGATTTGTGTGCAACTACGTGTACTACCACTCCCTGCGGTATGCCCAGCAGAAGGGCCACAGATCCCTTTTTGTTCATGTCCCACTTTTCTCGAGAATTGATGAGGAAACCCAGATGCAATTCGTGGCCTCTGTTGTCGAGGCTATTGGATCAACATGTTAATAATATGCCTATCCCATTGGAAAAGCTAACTCTAATCGTTTCCCGAAGCTTGTATGGGTTGTTGTTGTACTATGTCATATTGAGGTGCCAAGCAAAATCGGTTTTGTTGCCTCACCATCGTAATAATAAAAAGCAAAAGATAGCTGGTTTCCATTGTTAAAGCTCCCCTCTTTCTTGTGATTTCTCGTCTGAATCCAGAACCACTCTCTCTCTCTGTGTATAACAAGAAAGCTGATAGCTTGATAAAACCCGGGCAGTTTGCGGCTGTTCAGAAGGTGTTCGATGAAATGCCTACTCGGGACGGTCTCTTGCAATTCTCGACGTTATTTCTCTAGAAAAGGCTGATACGTACACGGTTCTGTGTTGAAATCGTCGCCGCCTCTCATTTGTGCACGGCTGGCGGCAAATTGGGTTGTTTGTCCCATTGGGATTGCGGACTCTGGATATATAAGGTTGATGGTTGGAGTCCGAGAACATGTTATGGGCATATCACGTGCGGAATTTTGTATTAGAAGCCACAGCGGCCATGAAAGGCAGAAAGTTGCTGCCTTTTGGTGTGCGAACCATCACAACCTTAGGAGCCAAGAATCCGCCGTCAGCCGCTAGGTTGCAGGTGGAGTCGTACTGTGAACCCTACCCTCACGAGGTTGTCTATTTCCTAAACAAGAAAGTTGATAGCTTGATAAAATCCGGGCAGTTTGTGGTTGCTCAGGAGGTGTTCGATGAAATGCCTATACGAGATGTTGTCTCTTACAATTTGCTGATTTCTGGGCATCGTAAATACGGTGTCCTACAGCATGCTTTGTGGCTCTACCACGAGATGGTTTCTCACTGTATCAGAGAGAGTGAATCGACTGTTTGCTCTGTGTTGAGTATATGTAGCGATGATGAGAAGTTTTTCTGGGAAGGGATTCAGGTCCACTGTAGGGTGGTTAAGCTTGGGTTCGGTTGTAATGTGTTTGTTGGGAGTTCACTGGTTGGTCTTTACATGAATGTAGGACTTGAGAATCTAGCTTTAGGTTTGTTTGATGAATTGCCTGTGAGAAACTTAGCCACATGGAATTTGGTTTTGCGTGGGATTTCTGAACTGGGTCGATGTGATGAGTTGTTGTTGAAACTGCATAATAGGATGAGGCTGGAAGGGGTGGAGGGAAATGGGGTTACTTTTTGCTATTTGATTCGTGGATGTTGTGACGAGAGGTTTTCCAACGAAGGGAAAAAGCTGCATTGCCATGTGGTCAAGGCTGGATGGGAAGAATCAAACATTTTCGTAGCTAATGCTTTGGTGGATTTTTACTCAGCTTGTAGACTTTTCTCTGATGCCAAGAGATCTTTCAAAACTATTCAAGCTCAAGATGTTTTGTCATGGAATTCAATGTTGGCAGCTTTTGTAAATGAGGGATCAGTGCTTGAAGCCGTTGAACTGTTTCATACAATGCAATTTTATGGGAAGAGGCCATCCATTCGGTCCTTCGTTGGGTTCTTGAATTTTTCCAGCAAAACTACAGATATTCTGCTTGGGAAGCAAATTCATTCCTGGGTCTTTAAAGTCGGGTTTCTTGTGGGGAGTTGCCATGTTCAATCTGCGTTGATTGATATGTATGGGAAATGCAGGGATATTGAGAGTTCAGTGTCTGTTTATGGATATGTCTCTGATAAAACTTTGGAGTGTTGCAACACATTGATGATCTCTTTACTCCACTGTGGCATTGTCGAGGATGCTTGTGAGATGTTTGGTTTAATGGTTGATGAAGGAACTGGTCTGGATGAGGTTACATTTTCTACGGTGCTGAAAGCTTTATCACAGTCTGGTTTCTCGTGCTTGGCCAGCTGCAGTTTGGTGCACTGTTGTGCCTTAAAACTAGGTTTCCAAACTGATGTTGCCGTTTCTTCCTCCTTGATTGATGCATACTCGAGGTCCGGTTGCATTGAACTCTCACGAAAGGTGTTTGAACAACTTCCCTCGCCGAATGTCATCTGTTGCACTGCGATGATAAGTGGATATGCTCATAATGGAATGGGAACGGAGGGGCTAGAGATGCTTAAAGAGATGATGTTGAAAGGACTGACACCTGATAAAGTAACCTTCTTATGTGCCTTAACTGGATGCAGCCACTCTGGATTGGTTGAAGAAGGTAGAATGGCTTTTGATGTGATGAAACTTCTGTATGGGATATCTCCTGATAGAGGGCACTTCTCCTGTATGGTGGATCTATTGGGGCGTGCTGGTAGGTTGAATGAAGCGGAGGAGTTGCTGCAACAGGCTCCTGGAATTGGTGATTGTGTGATGTGGAGTTCATTGCTGCAAAGCTGCAGGAATCATAAGAACGAAATGGTGGGAAGAAGGGCGGCAAAGGTCTTGTTGGATCTTGAACCAAGGGATTTTGCTGTCTATTTGCAGGTATCAAACTACTATGCTTACATTGGGGAATATGATTTGTCAATGGAGATAAGAGAAACTGGTATACGAAGGACGATGACAAGGCGGATTACTGGTCGCAGTTTTGTTGAGGTCAATAGCTGTCGACAAGATGAATAAGATGATCGACCATTTATTGAAAACAAGTTAGCTGCCAGCAGTTAGTTAGCTTTGAGGGTCTTGGATCTTCTCCCTGCATACTTCAACTTTCTGTTCGTGAAGCTGGACCCTCCCTTCCCTGTGAGTAAATTATTTTTTCTGTTTGTGTGTGTGTTTATCTTATACACGAACAAAAAAAGGTTACTTTTGCTTGAGATATACTACTGCGGTGGCCTATTGGGTCCCAATGGAGCAATTGACCTGTCAACTTCAATTGAGATTGTGCTTTTATTTCTGAACCACAACTGGAAATGTATTTTATATTTTGCCTTAAATGGCGAACTGACAGAAGCCAAAAGCAGAATCTAAAGAACTGGTTGAATGGTCTCTTTTTACTGGTTGAAGAGTAAAGCAAAGAAGTTATAAAAATACATTTCCCTTGTACTTTAAGTGTGGGCATGTAGAAAATGTTGGTTCTTCATGTACTTTCAAGCCAAGCCATTAGCTCACATAACCACTTGTATTTCCATATCTAATCTATTCATATAAATTGAAACTATATGTTTTTCCTCAGGAATTATGCAAATCAATCAAGTTTCCATACCAAGCAGAAGAAGCCAAAACAAAAATCATGGACCGGAAATTCCTCATTTCTTTCCTTGGCTTGCTGATTGTGGGCCATGGAGTTGCAGGAAACATGGTATATGACAAACTTGGAATGCTTGAGGATCTTGAAACCGTTGACATTGAAGATGGGGTGGAAGGTTTTCATGTACCTTCACAGACAAGCGACCGTGGAGGCCAAGTTCTTGTGAACGTTGACAGCTTTGGCGCTGTTGGAAATGGAGTTTCTGATGACACTAAGGTCTGTGTAGTAATCTCTCTTGTATTCTTGAAGTGTGCTCCTTTTATTGTCTTCCGATTTCATCTTTCATCTCTAGATCTCCATTTGAATGCTTATGAATGGACCATGGCTTTGAATATGAAGGTTGCCAGTTATCGCTCATCAGCTGTTATTCCTCAGTTTGTCATCTGATTTAACAATGTGATGTTACTCAATGACGGAAATTGGATTATAAAATAATCCAGTTCAGTTAAACAATGAACAGTTTTCCGCTTTCCTGGTATTGACATCGGTTCCTTAAGAGTTGAATGTGTTTTGTTACCTCATCACCAGGCATTTGTGAATGCTTGGAGCACAGCGTGCAACACAACAAAAGCAGTCTTCTTGGTCCCTCCAGGTCGTCAATATTTAGTAAATGCAACAAAATTTAAAGGACCTTGTGCGGATAAGCTAATCATTCAGGTACTTTCCTTTTGGACGCTCATTCAGATAAACTACTATTGTTGGATTGCATTTCAGGATTGTTACTATTGGTGGCATGAGATGGGGAGTTTGGTGTAGAAGTTGTCAAGTAGTAACTGCATGATCATAGTCATCAAGTGTTTACTTGCACTATGATTTGCAGATTGATGGAACAATAGTGGCACCTGATGAACCTGCAAACTGGGATCCAAAGCTTGCAAGATTATGGCTTGATTTTAGCAAGCTGAATGGGGTTATCTTTCAAGGAAATGGAGTCATTGATGGCTCAGGCAGCAAGTGGTGGGCTGCTTCTTGTAAGAAGAACAAGTCAAATGTAAGTCTACTGATCCACTAACTTCTTGTATTTCTTCTCAATTTGGCTTTCTTGTTTCCTCTTTCATTCAGTTGACCAACCAAATGTAGTAATCTTAATCCAGTTTTCTCTCTCTGTTTTATCTGCAGCCTTGCAAAGGGGCACCAACTGTAAGGCTCTCTCTCACTTCAACTGGATTTCTTAACAGCTCGTTGAAACAAACATCAATGACTTAGAAGTATCCAGTTTAGTAGCACTTAAGGGGTCAAAAAATGATGGTTGATGGTTCTTTTGCAGGCATTAACTATTGATTCAAGCACTGGTGTGAAAGTTACAGGGATAACCATCAAGAACAGTCAACAGATGAATTTTGTGATTACCCGGTGTAACTCGGTCCGAATTTCTAATGTGCTAGTTTCGTCTCCTGGAGACAGCCCCAACACAGATGGGATCCACATAACTGAGTCTACTAATGTTGTTCTCCAAGATAGCAAAATCGGAACAGGTTTGTTCTTCTTCAACCATTTAACCAACCATGTGTATGACTTTCTTATGCCGAATGTTCATTAGTTAATTGTTTAAAAGTTTACTAGGGTGTGCAGCTAATTCCTTAGCTTTCACAGACACCCAAGTATGCTAATAGAAATATGCACTGAAAGGTTTAATTTCCTCTCTGTTTTCACTTGCAACATTCAGGAGATGATTGTGTCTCAATTGTCAGCGGTAGCTCCAATATCAAAATGAAGAGACTCTATTGCGGACCAGGACATGGCATCAGGTATCATCCAATTTTTTACATATAAAATTTCTACGCCAACGGTTAAAGAAGTCAGCTTTATGCTTAACAGGGGTTGTTTTTTCTATTCTCGCTGCAACTTTACTTAGCATCGGGAGCCTTGGAAAGGACAACTCCACTGATATTGTCACAAAAGTGGTTCTCGACACAGCTTTGCTCCGGGAGACGACCAATGGCCTCAGGATCAAGACTTGGCAGGTACCGAAATGAAACAATCGAAACTCTAATTTAATGCTTCGATAGCGCCCTTGATGCCAAAAACTCGAGGCACTAATCTCAACTATTCTCTCATTAATAGGGTGGTCATGGTTATGTGCGCGGGATACGTTATGAAAACGTGGAGATGGAGAATGTAGCCAACCCCATCATCATTGACCAGTTCTATTGTGATTCGCCTAAGTCCTGTGAAAACCAGGTACTTTTTTTGTGCGTGTGTGTAGGCTTCAAGGAATCTCATTTCTGCATTTGTGACAATCGGAGCCTTTGATCAAATTTGCATTTTTCTTTTGATCCTCCAATAATAACTACCCTTATATATATACACCAGACAGCAGCAGTGGAGATAAGCCAGATCATGTACCGAAACATCAGTGGGACTTCCAAAAGTCCGAAAGCCATGAAGTTTGCATGCAGTGACACAGTACCTTGCAGCAACATAGTCCTGAGCAACGTCAACTTAGAGGGGAAAGATGGCACTGTAGAGGCTTACTGCAACTCTGCTCAAGGCTTTGGATATGGCGTTGTTCATCCTTCGATCGACTGCCTAACCTCCCATGACAAGGACTACACTTCCACATCTGATATTATTGAAGTTTCAGAAGCCACCTTTCAGGAAATTGTTCACACCGAGCTCTAGTCGTGTTTCCCAATACGGAATGGTCGTTGATCAGTATCATATCACATCGTATATTGTAAATTGTAACGTACCATAGTATGTATCCTAAGGTCGGTAATCAGGATGTAGGGCCTTACTATTAGCTGATTTCTTGCGAGGTTTTTTTTCCCGTTCTTCTTTCTATATATGTTAGCGTGGTTCATGGTACTGCAGCTAATAATTCAGCAATGAGATGGCAAATCTACAAAACTTTTTTTCATGGGTTTGGCTTACATCAGATAACAGAGACCAGCAATGAGGAAGCTGGGGACTGTTTTATCCTTTAGAAGAGATGCAGACAAGTAGAACATGGGTATTGTATTTTGTTGCATGGCTTTGGCTTACAGCAGATAACAGAGACAGCATATACAGTGGTCCAGAAGGAGGGTTCAGTTACATCACAGCAATGCATTTTGTTGCCTTTCTTTTGCTAAAACTTTCTGAAGATATACACATGGCTGTTCATCCCTACCTTAGAAAAGGAAAGGCATTATCCCTTTCTGCCCTGAGCTTGGTTTGTCTTGGCATATGTAACATTTCATTTCTGGAAGAACAAGACAAGGTGAGATTTACCTCTCTTCTGCAGCTCTATATGAGGAAACCCAGCTAATGAGCGGTTCTCTTTGTGACGTGGGGGGAACTAATAAATTATGATCCTAATTTTGTGGTAAGAAATCTTGTCCCCTTTATAGTTTTGGAACCTTGTCATGTTACAGATGCATACAAATTTTGGGAGCTTCCAGAGTTGCTTGCTCTCCAGATTTCCTTGAAACATAAACTTATTGTTTGAAGATAATACTCCGAAGGAGGTGGGAAACAAAGGTTTGTCCATCAAAGAAATAGTTTCATTACTTCCTGTAATTCATCTTAGAATAGACAACTCTCTTAGATTTCTATAATGAAGCAATTTCCCAAAAATTGGGTGAGGATTTCCAATAAGCCTAGAAGAAATGAAGGGCTCTCCCCAAAAGGAGATGCCTGGTGGAGCCATGGGTTCTTTGCAGTAACGCTACAGGTTCTGGTAAGGTTGAAGCAATTATAGGTCAAGGATACCAACGATTGGTAACGACTGTCAAAACTGGCCTGTCACGACTGTCAAGACACTGATTCCCCTTCTAGCCAAGTCCACCGACCCAATTTCACCACAACTAGAAGTAAGGTCTACCTCCTCTAAACGGGTTCTACTCGTCCTCACACTAGTCGGGTGCTTCGATAGTCACGCACTCACCTCACTAGCATCAGTTAGGTGGGGTCCTAATTAGAAGGGGATCGTCACCTCGTTCGCCAATTAGGATCCTAGATCATCTAGCCTAGGTAGAACACACTAACATACATGCACATGAATCGACCTAGGGCAAAAACATGTGAATATACCATTCATGCATTCAAACCATGGAAACGAGTAAAAATAACTCTAATAGAACACAAACATAGACTAGGTTCTCATTCAATCAACAAAACCTAGCTACATACTATAATTCATCTCCCCTAAACAACCATAGGGGTTCAATTCATAGAGTGAGGGAATACAAACTAGAGAGAAACAACTTAAAATCATTATCTTCTCCGTGATTTGCACCCTTCTTCCTGGATGTTGGATGGATTCTTCCTTCCTTAGATCCTCCAAGATGTTTGCTCTTACTAGAAACTGCCCAAAATCCTATTTTCTCACTCTAGAGCGGCTCTTCCCTCGCAATTGTAGCAAAGGGAGTAATCATAAGGTTGTTGATGCAGGTCACAGCCTCAAGACTGTGGTCCGAAGATCATAGCCATAATCTGGCAGCGACCTGGGCAAAATGACTTTGAATCACCCAAAACTTTGCATTTTGACATGATTTTCAAGTACCAAGATCCTAGACATCAGTATGAGATTACAACCATGATCTAGAGGTCACTGTCGTGATCTTTTTAATGGATGAAACCCTCTTTGGCCGCGACTCAGATCGCGAGAAGTTCTGTCCATTTCATTGTTGTCTGATTGCCTCCTCAAGTTCGTGTCACACCCATGAAGATCGCAACCATTAAGATGGTCACAACTTTAACATGGTCGTGGCATGTGCAATTCCTTCTCTTCTCACACTAGGTCATCTCACCCCCGTCAATTATAACAAAGTAGGTAATTATAAAGTTGTTGGTGCAGGTCACAACCTCAAGGGCGGGACTCAATTGTCAAAACGAAACTAGAAAGAAAATAACACCGAGTTTTTTTTAACGATCTTGTCTGTTTTTCCATAACTGTATAAATAAGGGGTCTTCCCCCAATTCATAAGTGAATTTTTGCAGATTTTTTTTTATTCTAGAGTGAGGTTAGAGAGAGAAGTAAAAGGTTGGAGAAGAATAGTAGAAGAAGTGGAGAAAAGCTTAGGAGGAGCAGTACAAGAAGACACTTCTTTCTGATTTCTTTCCCTCTATCCATGCCCCTTCTTCCCCCCTACAAGGGGTAGTTCCTCAATACTTTGGGGCTTAGTCTCCCAAATGCTAACCTAGAGTTTGATATGTAATTGGACATTTTGGCTTGATTTATGGATGATTATGAACCTATTTATCTATGTCTATTTGATGATTGTTCTTTCTTTACATCAAGTAGTGTGGGATTGTTTGTATCCCATTTGCCCTAGTTGAAACTTAGGTGGTACGGATTTATCATCCTCTTTCATGTGATTTATGGATGAATTGTGTTTACCTAGAGCTTTAATGCTCCATCTATGATTATTATGCTTTGGATTTGTCTCTCCATGTGCTATCTATGATTGCCTAGCTAGGGTTTGGTCTAAGATATGTGTGGATTGAGCGGTCTTGGCATGATTGGTTTGGATGGTTGATCATAGGAGTCTAATATGGTGGACGAGATGATCGTACCCCTGCCTATTAGGCGTCCACCTAGACAATGCTAGGGCATCGAGTGCATGACCATCAACTTAACGTCCTAGTGTGTGGATAAGTAGAACCCATTTAGAGGAGATAGGTTATATCCCTCCATCGTGAAGCTAGCTGAAGTGACATTGGGCTAGTGGATCAGTGTAGGAGGGGGATTGGTTGCTTGACCATTGAGCCAATCCCATATTAGCGATCTCCGCACCTCAATTACCATGGATCATCCTTCTATCCTTTTGCATGTTATCTCCAGCGGTTAGGGAAAGGAAGCCACCCCAAGCACATCTTCTCTCTTATTGTCCTCTCGTTCATTAATCCCCAATAGTCCACCTGCTAAGTAACATGTCAACGAGATAAAAACCGAGTCTAAGTAGCCTAGGATACTAGGATCTGTGGAATACGACCTTGGTCAAATGTACTAGCAACACTATCTTGAGTTATTTTTGGCTCAAGGTGGGGTAGTTAGAATTTGGCGCGTGCATAGAGAGTAGCGGCCTGCATGGCACTGACCATTTTTATTCTTCCACTTCTACCAATAATTTTTTTTCTACCTAGAAGGTAGACTTTGAATGCATTGAGAGCTAACCACAAAATCTTATACATTTTAAAGGAGTAATTTTTAAAGTCTAATGACTAAGTAAACTCTTAAGTTTGTATAGAATACTTCATTACTCTAGTACAAAACGAGTTTTATAAATGTTTTCACTTCCTTTTAGGCGTCTTTTGCTTTTTCGTTTTAGCAATATATATACTTTTGCCATCTTTGTACTTTATTTTACTTGAAAACTTCATTTATTACCACAGGAAGCGGTTACAAAATCCTAAAGATGAACAAGGAGAGGCACAATGATATTAAGAATCAAAATCCAATCCCGTGGGAGTTCATCCCGTGGAACTGAACATGCCACCCAATCCGCTCGAGCATTGAGCTTCCTTCTAAAAAAGTGACCTTGATGCTCGGGTGCCTCGCAAGAATGTCCACCATGATCCCTAACCAAGCAGAGATTCTCCATGGCCACGACTCATGAGGAGCCGAGAGAGCAAGGACCAAAGGCAAATAGTCGGATCTAATCCAACATGGGACCGAGAGGTGGCAGGCAAGCAAGAGGGCCTCAAGAAGAGCTTTTGCTTTCGCTTCCAAGGGTGAAGAACAAAGAAGAGCGCCTGCCCTCCCATCGCAGATAACTCCATGCTCGTTGATCGCAACAACGCCATAAGCCGCCTTCTCGGAATCATTTATGAATGATCCATCACAGTGAATCTCTAAAGAGGGATTGCTCAGCGGTGGGGGAATCTGGTTCAGGGGGTTGATGGGCTGGCAAGGGGTGGAAGGAAAAGCCTCTGGGGATTTTTGGGCTTGACGTCCAAGAGAAGCAATCATTAGCAGCCTTGGTGCAGGTAGAGGGTGTCCAGGGTCCATCATTTCGAAAGTCTTTCATGTCTAACAGCCAGTCGAGGACACCAACCGAAATCGGCGGTGTGGGTAGGTATGGGAGCAGGTTCTCCCAGGAATCAGTAGCATGCTTGCACCCAAACAAGCAGTGGTGGATAGTTTCATCCTCCGCGTTACACACCTGGCATGTTGGGGATGTGAGCAGCTCCAATTGTGAAGGTTCCTTTTTGTAGCCAAGGCACCTCGAGCACATCTCCAAATGAAAAAACACATCTTTGGAGGGACAGAGCCACTTCCATTTCTCCTTCTCAGTCGTGGGGAAGGGGTTCACACTGTTTATGACTCCTCTTTTGATGTCATGGAAGAAATGGTAAGCCGAACTGACCGAAAAGCTCCCGGTAGAAGTGAATCTCCAAGCCCAGAAATCCTCAGCATCATCCCTCCCAATGGGGATTTGTTTGACCATATCCTCTTGGTGGGGCTCAATCACTGTCCTGATAGCGGAGTCGTTCCACTTCCTACTGTTGAGATCAATCAGATCCACCACCTTCATCTAACCTTGGACGGAAGAGAGAAGATTTTCCCCATGGAGGCAGAGGATCCAAGGGTCTTGGAACACTCTCGTGTTCCTACCATTGCCAATGATCCGAACAGTACTCTTTCCCAGCAGCTTCCTAACTTCCCAAAGACTAGACCAGATCCATGATGGTTTGCCGCCTTTTCGGCCAGTCAGAAAATCCGAGGCTGGGAAGAAGAGAAGCGGGCCCAAAGAGCCCGTGGCTCCGTGAGAAGTCTCCATGCTTGCTTTGCTAACAAGGCAAGATTGAACTCTTTGAAAGAGTGGAATCCAATCCCTCCTTCCTCTTTAGGAGCACAAAGTCGGTCCCCATGACACCAATGGATGGACTTCTTCTAAAGTGAGCCCGGCCAAAAGAACCTTCTAAGCATGGAGTCCATCTTCTTCAGGGTGGTACCAGGCAGGAGAAAGAGACACATGATGTATGTGGGGATTGCCTGAAAGACGGCTTTGAGAAGGGTTTCCTTTCCGCCAGGGGAAAGGAGAAGACTCTTCCAACTGTCTCCTTTCTTCTCCATCCTACTGATCAGGAAAGTAAAAGTTTCTTTCTTTGATCTTCCCCATTCTGTAGGGACGCCGAGGTACTGAGAGTGGCAATTTGTGGGCACAAAACCAATGGTGTTGATAATTTCCTCTTTTTCTGTTGGAGGGACATTATAGCTGAAGAAAACCGACGATTTTGACCCATTTACTTCATGTCCCGTGATTGCTCCATACTCATCAATGATGCCCATGATTCTGGTTGCCTCCTCCAGAGTCGCCTTGCCAAAGATAACTATATCATCGGCAAATAGACAGTGAGTGAGGATAGGGCAGTTCCTGTTGAGATTAATTGTACTTGGTATGTTGTTTTATTGTGTTTCCGACCACTGGAATTGAACTATATGATTTTTTGACGAGAATTACACTAAAGAATGAAAAAATAGAGTTCGAGAAGTTTTGAAATGCATGTGGACGTCTTTGGAACCAAATTCTCGAGTCCAACATGACCTAGAACATGACCATGTTGGTGGGCGTGCTGTGGGGCTGAAAAAAATAAGAATCTTTTACGAAATGGAGATGAAATTACTTAAGAGCCAAACACGGTCAGAGGCATGGTCATGCCCACCCTTTATACACATAACATGGTAACACAAACATAAATATGGTTGTATTCAAGGAGACTTCAAACAAGTTGTTGGGGCACGACAACAACTCTATTTAAAGGATTTTTTTGGCTTTTTCATAGGAGACTTCAAACAAGTTTTATCTAAAACCTAAAACACGAGTTAGAGGGTAGATAAAGAGAATTTTCCAGCAACTCAACCTTGGAGAAATAGATATGGAGAGCAACGAAGTCAATGTCAGGATTCTATGTAAAATAAAAACTAGGGTAAAATTAGAATCGTTAAACCGTAAAATTTTAAGGCCCATATAAAAGAAACACTAAATAATAGTGATAAGGCAAATCATTAATAACACAAAGACCCGTAACACTTAAAATGATAATTTATCAAAGTTAATGTTCCAATTTCTCATGGTTAATGTTGGAAAGTGGTGGTTGGTGATGATTAATGAGTTGACACGAATTGATGATAGTTGATGGTGGCTAGTGAGAGTGAACTAGATTATTTTGATTATTGATAAAGGGCTTGGAAAAAGGTTTATATTTTGCAATTAAGGAAAAATAGTAAATCTGACCTGAAGATTTGATCTTATTTCTTTAAGTTGGTTTAATTTGGTCCAATTCATTCAATTCAATGTGGACCTTAAAATAAGTTACAACCTTGAAAAAAGTTACAACCAAAGAGAAGATTTCCCCATTGCATGATAAAACACTAAGGGATATGTACTTAGGGGTCGTATGGAAGTTGCGATTGTTAAATAGATGTATTGTTGAGAATGCATGTACAATATTATACATGTATTGTCGAATTTGATTCATTGTAGAATACAAAGTTTGGTATGTGTGATTGTGTATGTCGCATCAGCTAAAAGCTGAGACAAAACAATCTCAACTCAACTATCTCAACAATCACAACTAAAAGTTGATATATAACAATCAATCAAAATGAGTGATAGTTTCTGTCACATCACAGAAATAATCCATGTATTGGTTCTGCTAAAAAAACAAAAAAACGATGCATTGTAAACAATACATGCTTAATGACAATCTCAACAAAACTATCGCAACTTTCAAACCACCCCATATTCTAATCCATATTTCCCGTTTTCTTCTACAACACTCTAAAATCCTCCTAATCTCCCTTCCATTCTCTATAAATTCATCATGATGTCAAATGTCACGTTAGGGATGAGGGAGATGAAGCAGCTACCCACTCGAATTGATACCAGGCCATTCCTTCAACCACACGTCAAGTTCTGATCAGTCAGTTGCTTATTTTGGCAGGGGAATAAAATATTTCCAAGTGATCAAACGATTAATAAGAAACAAAACAAGGAGTAGAGTTGGCAAGAAAATCCAAGCATGTGACAAACATAAATTGACGAAATAAGTTCACGAGCACCTATAAATAAATAATAAATAAATATTGTAAAAGACGGCTGCCCAGAAACCGGCTGAGAATGAAATTGACTGCATACTATTTATTTTCTTCTACTTATCTATTTTCCTTAGTTTTATTTTATTCGTGGGAATGACCAACTTTGTATATCAGGGCAGACGCTACAATTGTACTCCTGTACTTATACACATGTGTACGTATTTAAGAGAGCGTATATATACCGTATACAGGGGGGGATTCTGTACATAATATATTTTAATTAATGGCGTTGTAGCATGTTTGAAAAAGGGAATGAAATTAAACCAAAAGTGTGCGTCTTTAATGTGCCGTGTTCTGGGAGGCAGAGGAATTGAGTAGAATTATTTGGTTGAGTTTCAAAAATTGATATATTACCCATTTTGCGTATTTATTGTAATATATTTATCATTATTGTGGGGAATTCCCTGGCGTAGATGACATGCAATTGGCCAACAGCAAAGGCACGCACCAATTAATAAAGCGCACAACATACAAATTTTTTTTTTTAACATGGAGCGAAAATACGACCTAACTTATATGAAATATAAAATAAAACTTAAAAATATCAAGAAATTCATATAAAAGTTAGTAAGTGAAGCAAGTATTAGGAAAATCTATATTGTGACAATCAAAAAGGAGAAAGATAACCTTACTAGACTTAGATAATCCACAACGAGATCGATTTTATAGTAAATATAAGTAACGAGCATTTCACATAAATACATTTCTAATCTTTTTTGGATTAAGAAATTTTTTTAAGGGAGTTAATCCTCCCCGTACCTTGATTAACAAAAGAATCGGGAAGCATACACCTTCGCCCTCCAGGCCAACACTCAATGGAGAGTTTAAAGTTCTTGTAGTGCCACAAAAAAAGGTTAATACACACTAAATTAAACCAATATCAAATTATTGATCAAGCTTTTCGTATTTGCCGTTCGTAGCTCTGGTTTAATTTGTTCAACGCGCCAATTGTGGTGGAAGCCAACACCTTGTCGATTGCACTAAAAATGGCCACAACAATGGTGGGACAAAGCTTTTTTAACCAATGTAGATGGATGATGAATGTGGGTTTTTCTCTCAGCCTGCCAAATCTCATCCATAGAGATGGAGGGAGTCTGTGAACCAGAAAAACATGATAAACCAATACTTAAAACCTAGCTAGCTAGCATTTTGAAGTGCTCTTTAGCTGCTGGTTGCAGACAAGCTAAGCTTAGAGGCCGTCGCTATTAATCTGTGGCTGGGAAATAGAGACGTCGTTCGATGGCGAGGGTTAATAATATTTGTTGTCTTTTGGTGGCGTGTTCCTTCCTTGCCAGTAATGGCGATCGACAGAAGTTGAAACGATCGACCAAGCCAACCAATCTTAATTTGTCGCCGGCCGCCTATATCTATCTATCTATCTTATTTCTCCTAGGCTTGGGCTGGAGTGGACTACTGCCTCACATTACCACTTCATCTTCGTGGAGTTGCCCTTCTATGTACGCATGGATTTATATGCTCCAAAAAATACTCCATCCATAAGGACAAAGTTATAAGCTTCTCTTGCTTTGCGAGTTGGAGAGAAAGAAGAGGTCTCACTTGACGCTCAAACAACACTCCTGTCGGCATCTCTTATGATCGCATAGCTAGTTCCGGCGGGAATTAATCACGGTTTACGAAATTGTGCCGCAAGTCATATCGGATTAATTTATAGAGGGTATTGCTTGGTATGTACATAAGATTAAACCGCTTGGTATATAAGTGTATCATGGTGGTATGAACGCATGTACATCATAGTGTAAAATGGTTGCACACATGATATGATAATATATTAATAGTTGTTTACGACCTTCCATCAACGTGTACCAATGTGATATAGGGTGATATTTTTTGTCCCGGAATTTCTTTCTCATAAATTAAATTTGTAGATATGATAGATCATGACGAACTCGTTCCTTATGAGAAGTTTTTTTTTTTTCAAATTTAGAATTAAAAACAAAGGTGGTACTAAGTGATAGCAGGTGGTATCAAGATGGTAACAAGTCGTATGGGTGGTATGAAATTTTTTTTTTGCACGAAATTATTGGAAATTGATATCATTTGCAGATCACACCGAACCCATTCCATTTGTGTAAAATTGTTGAAATCCAGGATAGGACGAAGAAGATAAAAGCCGATTAAGAAAAAAAAAAAATCATTAATTATCATCCATTAGACTTGGACCGATTTTGTGGTTTCAATCTTGATCCAATAATTTCATACGGGAAAATATTTTTTTTAAACAAAAACTAGAGATGACAACAAAACCTGGCCCGAGTAACCCGCCTGTCAACCAGACCTACAACTTGGGATGCCAATTCAATCCGTAACCATGGGTACCTTACCCGACCGTAACCAAACAACGAGGGTAATTACCCGCTTTGACGGGTTAAGGGCGGGTACGGGTAATACCCGGTTTCAAAATAAAAGGTAGGGTACGGGTATGGTAATTGATAATACCCGCCCTGTTATACCCGTCCCGCCAACCAAAGGGTCAATTCCCCTAGCCCTAACCCTCCCCAGCAGCCGATTTTCCTTGCCCACACACAAGTGAGGTGCTTGCTCGGGCTCTTCTTGAACTTTACTTGCTTGAGATATTGACACAAAGGTATCTACGATTACCTTGGATAATTGTTCTACTAATGATGCCTTGATGGATGTCGTGAAGCATAAGTTAAGCAGTGAGCATATGATATGGTCTGGTTCTAATATTGTCTTTGTTGTTTTTGTCTATGTGTGGATTGTTGAAATTAGAACAAATATGATGTATTGTGTTTTTGTTTGTGTGGATTGTAGAAGCAAGAACAATTACTATGTGTTTGCTGTTTTTATTTGTGTGGATTGTTGAAGCTAGAACAGTTACAAGTATTGAGAATTTTTAATGGACAACAATATGTATGTGCCTATATGTGTATAAGTTCATATTTTAGGATTCGTACCCATGGTTACTCGGTGGGTAGGGTATGGTTACATCATTTTCATACCTGGTGGTTATTTGGTCGGGTATTTTAGGAGGCTCTACCCGGCAGGTTAAGAGTTGGTGTAGGGTAAACCCGCACCCGACCCTACCCATTGCCATCCCTACCTACAGGCTACAACCTTACTGCAATCCGAATTAAATAAAATTCAATGACTCGTAATCTGCCCGACCCAATTAACTCGCAACCCGACTAGCACACAACCCGACTAGCCCGCAACCCGATTAAAATGTAACCTGAGTAACCCAAACCCGATTGACCGAACATAATTAACACGTGATCTGAATAATTATTATATTATAATATATAGTCTTTCAAAATGAAGTTTTTTGTTCTAAATCTAAGTAAACCACGTTTTCATTTTGTAAAATGAAAATTCATTATATGAAATTCATTTAAAATAATTTATTTTCAATAAAAATTCTAATATTCAAACATTAAGTTCACTCGAACATTAACTTCTGTAAAAAACCTACAAAAAACTACAAAATATAAATCAACATATTGTCCATATTGATAATAAATCATTAATAATTGAGACAATTTATAACATTAATATAGTGTATATTCATTATAAATTATGGTTAATTTAACTATTTGACAAAATTATCAGTTAAATATAAAAGAGTAAAATAATTTATTTCATAAATTTGATTATTTAAAAAGAAATGAAAAATTTGGTGCTTTTAACTTTTATTTTATTTTATAAAAAAAATTGTAACGAGGAACACACTCCACAGACCATGCTCAACACCTTCGATGATATCGTTGTCGAGCCAAACCACGAGGTGCAAGAACAAACACCCACTTGTTTTGTGGATCGAAGCCCACCAGACCTTGTGGTGAGGGTGTGCTACTTCAAAACAGGGTAATTGTCCAGTTATGCATGCCTTCCAACGGAGCTAGGGATTGAACACACAACAGAAGGGGAAATTTTGGCACTTCGATTTTGGGGAAAAGAAAGAAGGGGAAATTTTGGTACTTTTGATTGATGGGAGGAGAAAGAAGTAGAAATTTTGGTATTTTTATTTGTGGAAAGATAAATAAGGGAGAATTATTTTGTATTTTCAGCTTTTTGGGAAGACCTTTAAGTTTATTGGCAAACACTTTGGCTACCACTTTATAGAGCACATTACACAAGTTTATTGGTCTAAACTCTTTTGGTGATCTGGGTGACTTCACCTTTGGAATTAAAGCAGTCTTAGTGTGGTTCAAGTACCCATCATCACACCAGTACTCACGATTTGCCTAACCGTATCAATGACTTCTTGACCCATAATTCTCCAATACTTCTGAAAAATATGCACTCAGCCCATCAGCTCCTGGGGTCTTTCGAGGTCCCATCTGTTTCAAAGAAGCATAAATATCCTCTCCATCGATCGTTCCTAGCAATAGCTCGTTGTCCACTTTAGAGACCCTATGACTTATAGAGTTGAGTATAGGGGTCTCACTAAGCCTTAGTCCTACCTTAAACAGTTCCATAAAGTAGTTGTAAAGACAAGGGAAAATTTGCTCTGTTCCTATAAACCACTGTTCTGACTCATCCTGCAGTTTCTTGATAGCATTTCTTTTTTGCCGAGCCATTGCTTTTCAGTGGTAAAAAACTGTGTTTTTATCTCCTTCTTTCAACCAGTCAACACGCGATCTTTGCTTCCAAAAGATATCTTCATTTGCTTCCAACTCTTCAAGTTCATATTCCAGCTCTTGTGTTGTTGGATAATCGCCGGTGTCTTTTTCAACCTTTCCAATGCTCGCATAGCTTTACTAATACGGGTTTTCTGTTTCGCAAAGTTTGGGAATGTTTCTCTACTCCAGGCTTCAAGCTTCCGTGTGCATGTGCTTACTTTATCCAGAATGCTACCACCTCCCGTTCCCCAAACTTCTTAAATGACCTTCCCACAGAATGGGTTAGGATGGTTACCATTTTTTTTGGTAGCCATCGTGGCTACCTATATCTCTACTCTCCATTCTCAAAAATTTTAAATTGACGGTCATGATTGATTGAGGTTAATTGGACAAAAAATAATAACCACACTGGATTACTATCCTTTAAATATAACTTTCCATATATTTTCCAAATCTTTAATAATTATCCCAATCGTAACAAACAATTATATGTCTTCTTTCCTCTCTCTCTAGCGAAAGATGTTCTTCATCTCCGCCTCTCCTCTCCCCCGCTGTCCCTCCCTCTCCACACCCGGCTGTCCGTCCCTCTCTTCCTCCCCATCCCTCCCCTTCGCCAGCCTCTCCCCCCCCATCCCAAGCCACCCCCTCCCCCCGCCGTCCCCACCCCTCCCCTAACCACCCCACCCCCTCCCCCCATCGTCCCTGCCTCCTCCACCCTTCTCTCTCTCTCTCTCTCTCTCTCTCTCTCTCTCTCTCTCTATCTATCTATCTATCTATCTATCTATCTATCTATCTATCTATCTATCTACAGGCGGCTGGAAAAGGTGGGATGAATAAAAACCCTAGATCTTATTTTTTTCGCATTGGTAGTGATTTTTTCGTATTGGTAGTATTTTTCGCATTGGTATTGTTTTTGTCGCATTGGTATTGATTATCATATAATGGTATTAATTTGCATGTATTGGTATTGATTAAATCTGCAATGGTATTGATTTTTTGTGAAATGGTATAGATTTAGATTGGTAGATTGTTTATATTGGTAGTTTTCGTGTAATGGTATAGATATATTTCTGCAATGATTTTGATATTTTTCAAAGTGGTAGTGGTTGTCTAATGGATTGGTAGTGATTTCGTGTTTTTTTCTTTTGCAGAAAGATTGAGAAAAATAAGAAAAGGGGATCTGGCTGGATATTATGGAAGTGAGAGAAAGAGAGAGAATTGTAATTAATAGATTCTTGTAACTACCTAAAATGTAATTTATTAAAAAATTTAAGTAATACAATTTATTTTTCATACCCAATTTACCCTTAGTAACCACCTTCCCACAAGCAGCATGTTTCGACCATAGAATACAATCGCCCCCCTTTTCATCGAAATACGTCATATATATTTTAGTAGATATATAAATACTTACATGGTCTTTAGTTACTTACCCGTTATTTTTGCGCTTTCATTTATGCCTGCATTTGTTTTTCAAAATAGAAATTATAGTTTGACTACATAGCATAACAAAGGTAGTACGAGATAAGTTAACAAAATGTTTTTTAAATTTTATAACCATGATTTAATTGTTACATATAAGTGAATGTCGTTGTTGAAATAAAGTAACACATTCAAATAACATTATAGCCGTATAACATAGAACAAAATTGGTTAGGTATATACTATGAGTTGCTGGATGGACTGCAAAAACCCATTTGGCGTAGCTTTTCATCATATTTATGCACGGTATATGCTTCAACGTGCAAGCATTGGACAATTTTTTGGGTAAGACCGGCTAGTATGTAACGGTAATAAGATTATTAATGGTATTATTACCAAGCAATGAGAATTGAGAAAGCACTAAGCTTGTAAATTCTGCTCATATCACCCCTCTAGTTGAGCTGTAAATTGGGGTATAACGTAATGTAAGGGTAATTACCTAATTACAAGAACAAGAGTAAATAAAAAGCGAGCTACTTGATATGTTAAATGTCAGAACCGAACCGGAGCATGACCCGATAATGCGAACGGCTCGTATTTTAGTGGTCCAACCGGCATTAGACCGTTTAAAAACCGTTAGAGAACCGGTATCTAATAAACGTTATCAGTATAAATAGTGGACATTTCTTAATCAGAGCTCATCTCTTTCCTTCGAAATTGTGAAATGGAAATAAGGATTCAATTTGAGAGCCCGACGTTTTTGGTTTATTTCAATTTTCAATTTTCTACAATTTTTTTAATTAAATTTAGTGGCTGAATGGCAAAAACCGGACGAGCGGCTCGATCGGCTCGAACGGCTAACCGCCTCGGCCGCTCGCCAACCGCTACATAAAATCGGAGCGGCTTTTAGACTGTTCCGAGCCGGTTTTGTGACCGGGTGGCTCGGCTCGACTTTAATAACACTACTTAAACACTTAAAATAAGGTTATTTATTGTCACTAAATAACAAGAATCATTTTGTTTACCGCAAACTTAATTAATACAGAAAACCCCCCAAAATTTTGGATCGATCACAGGCTCCAAACTTCATTACTTTTGTCTTAATCGTCTATTTTGCTCATACACACCTTTCAGTAAGTACATTTTTAGTCCCCGCTACTTGCAAACTATACTGACAATATGCATTTAGTTATTATTCTTGTAATTACAGAAGAGGTATGTGCGCTTCCAATTATTGTATGTACCCTGTGCCTTCAAGGGACGTACGGGAAGCAAGCAAGCAGCCATAGCCAAAACCATGGGCGGTTTTTTTTCCAGTTTTCAGTTTCCTGCTGGCTGCTGCTGCTATTGGACTAATTAGTACAACAACAACACCAACAAAAGCTGCCGAGCATGTGCCGCCGTGAAAACTCGATTGGTACTCCTTTGTCCTCCATCGAACTGTTGGAAACAACAGTACTTGGCTGACCAGATCCACCAAAAAAGGGGGATGATTGCATTCTATATGGTATCCTAAACCTACACACAACACATTGATCACGAGCAGCCCAAGCTTAATTTTCTAGAACAACTTCACAGTTCAGACTTCAGACCGGCCACTACTTGGATTACATTAAGCGACTTAACATTTGTAGACCACGCACTTGTTGTTCACGCTAGCTAGGATGACCAAATTGCTCAACAATCTCGGACATCTAAGCCAAACGAGAGAGAGGGGAAATCTTACGAATATTAGCTAAATTTTTCGAGATATTTTCGTGTGTGTAGATAGATTGACGTGTTCATACAAAATGCGTGACATATTCACTCAATAAATCTGACATATTCATGCAACACAATCAGAACATTCATGTTGAATTCGCTTATCTCGTAATGATGTTTTAGTAATCCTTATTTCATAAGTGTTTTGTTTTTTTTAGTAATTCTTATACAATAAGAATTACTAGTTACCTTAAGAATGAGCTAGCCTTCATGGTTACCACCTTTAGCCTTCTCTTCCATATTCATGATGTGCGATACATCTAGAGGTGGCAAATGGATTGGATTGGTGGATCCATGGATCAAACGGATTGGATCTAATGGATTGGTGGATTCATGGTTACCACCTTTAGCCTTCATGGTTACCACCTTTAGCCTTCTCTTCCATATTCATGATGTGCGATACATCTAGAGGTGGCAAATGGATTGGATTGGTGGATCCATGGATCAAACGGATTGGATCTAATGGATTGGTGGATTCATGGATTGGATCAAGTGGATTGGTGGATTATCCATGAATCCAAATGACATCCTCAATCAAGGACCAATATGTAAAATGTAAAAAGTTTAGGTACTAAAATGTCATAATGAAAAATTTTAGGTACCAAAATGTAATTTTCCAATGATATTTTTCGTATAAAAATTTAAATTTTAGGTACCAAAATGTAAAAAATAAAAATTATAGGTACTAAATCGTAATTTGCCAATGATCCATGAATCTAATCCATGAATCCACCAATCCAATTGGATTTGGATCAAATGAATTGGATTTAAATGGATTGGATTAGGTAGATATTTTTAATGGATTGATGGATTGGATTGGTGGATTGGATTGAAATTGCCACCTCTAGATACATCTATTAACCTTTGTTTTGTTGGACCCCAAACCTTATAAACATTGAGTGGCGTCTAACAATACGTCGATATTACACAAGTCAACAAGCAGGGAAAGGTCATGTGGTCATCCATTCATCACCTATGACACATGTTGTGTAGTATGGATTCCACTTCTCATATGATCATGATGTGATTCAAGCCATAGATGCATAGTTCATTTTTTTTTTTTTTTTTTGTGTTAATCCACTTTGCACTTGCACTGACACTGAAAAGGTCTATTCAGATCAAGTTTATATGACCTCATCATTTGAGTTAGGGCTGGCCAACCTCTTCATAGAAAGATATCTCAAATCAACACTTTGACACAACTTAAAACTTTCTGACACCACTACCAAAAAGTTAGGTCCAAAACAGAACAGGTACTTGTAACCCCATTCAAAGCAGCTATATGGATTCTTCCAGGCCGAGAACATTCAGTAATTATTAGCGTGACTCCAACCAACCAACTAAAGCTACAAGCTCGTAACTCTAGTCTTAAGAACAACAACTAAATCTTCTCTGCACTTGTTAAGTGGAGAAAAATGGAGGTCAGGGCTGCTGAAACAGCAGCAGGAGCTTTCCCTACCCATCAGCAACTAGCAATTTTCGTCCTCTTTATCTTTGCTTCTCTTATCAACCTGATATCAAGCTAGCTAGGCTAGGATCTTCAGTGTTCAATCACGGGTAAGCCGCAAAGGTGGAACCAGATCAAGAAGAAAGAAGAAATTAAGTTTGGCTCCAACTCTGTCGCCCCTGTTCTGCCTCTGTTTCTGGGTATGATAATAATGCAGTTTTTATTACGGTAGCGTATATGTGGTGGGAAAGCATCACAGGATTTGGTGTTGTAATATCATAATAATATTATCAAATATATCAAAACCAAAACACACACACCACCATGGCCACATATTCAAAGCAGCTATAGCTTCACGGACCATTTTAAGAGGGAGAAGACGACACCCACGAGACTAACAAGGAGAGAAACAATTTAATGTGCAGCCAAAAAAAAAAAAGAAAAAAAAAAGAAGAGAGCTTATTCTGTTGCATTGATATAAAGGGAGGGAAGATAGCTCGCATGAGAAAGAAGGAGAAGCCCAGCTCTCTCTCTGTTCTCTCCTCCTTCTCCCAATTAATACCCACATTTTATTCCTCTGTTCTTAATAAATTCCTCACCCTGTCTCGGCAGTTTTTTCACAACACAGGCAGGGGAAGATGGGAAGGCCGAGTTTGAGAAGCTTCACGTCCATGGTGTGCATTGCTTTCCTGGTCTGGTCATCGTCCAGCTTCGAGAGCTGCATTGCAAGAAGCGGGAGGCGGCATTGGAGGAGGCATGACGGTGGCAATGGGCTTTCAGCTTCTCTGTCAAAGAAGAAACCCAAAAGCCATGGAAGCAGCAGCAGTCACCACCATCACAATGGTGGGTCGTCAAAGAAAGCTCCTTCCCCACCAGCTAAAGCGCCAAATTCACCTGCTCCGTCGTCGTCGAAACCGCCGAAACATGTTCCGGTAGCATCGCCGGCGCCTCCTCCTCCTCCAACTGCTGCAACTCCGTCGCCGCTGAAAGACTCGCTTACCTTCAATGTGCTTGATTTCGGCGCCACGGGGGATGGAAAGTGCGACGACACTAAGGTAATTTGACGACTCAATTTGTTACACCATGTCTGTGCGCTCAATTGTCTGAAATGAAGTTCCACCATGTTTGTTACTCAGTCAGTAGTTAAACTCCAGAGCCATGGTCCAAAACAGAAACAGAGTCGGGACAGAGAAATGATTCCCCTTTTCCTCCATTTGTTACGAAATACGAATGTTTGTTGCTTTCGCTAATTGGAGCAGAGCTGCATATGTATTTATTTTATCTTCTAATGATTACAGAGGCAACCACCAACCAATTTAGACTCGTGAGCCAGATTGGGCCATTTAGAGAAGAAAGCAGCCATTAAAATGGAACCCAACAGATAAAAATGAATTAACCATCTGCAGAGCTAAAGGGAGGCGACAAATGAAAGTGACAGGACAGATGGTGACAAAAGTAGTTAATCAGTAGCTTACAAAACAATAAATCATTTCTCGTTATGCCGGCCGGTTTATACAGTTGGATTATTATATTTGATGACATTGTGGTTGTTGATGGGATTTATGTTATGTGGTATGAGCAGGCGTTTCAGGCAGCATGGGCAGCTGCCTGTAAAGTGGAGAGATCAGTGATGCTTGTTCCTGAGAAATATCAATTCCTCGTTGGACCCATTTCTTTCTCTGGTCCATACTGTCAGAAAGGCATCACCTTTCAGGTCAGCTCCATTAACCTTACCTAATTCCTGCTTAGCAGCAGACTAGTGGAGGTTGAAGTCTTACAAGTTAAATCTTGCAGGTGGATGGTACAATTGTGGCACCCATGAACTCCAATGCCTGGGGCAAAGGCCTGCTGCAGTGGCTGGAATTCTCCAAGCTTGTGGAGATCACAATTCAAGGGAAAGGCACCATTGATGGGAGTGGTTCAGTTTGGTGGCAAGACAACCCGTATGTCGAACCTGACAATCTAGCACCACAGATCATCCCCTTGGACAACAGCACATTGTTACAGAAACACCCACCACCGCTACAAACTGAACTCAGCAGCAAAATGCCAAGCACCAAACCAACGGTAAGGAACATGATACCAATTGCAGCAGCAGCAGCAGCATAAAACTGTTCTGTATCCGCGGACCATGCCCTAACCCCGAATAATCGATTAACAACCAAAAAAAAACTGCAGGCGGTGAGGTTCTATGGAAGCCTGAATGCAACTGTGACAGGGATCACGATTCAGAACAGTCCTCAGTGCCACCTCAAGTTCGACAACTGCATTGGCGTGATGGTGCATCACATTCGAGTCTCGTCCCCAGGAGATAGTCCCAACACGGATGGAGTCCACTTGCAGAACTCCAGAGATGTGCTCATCCACAGCAGCACCCTTGGTTGCGGTAACTACACTGCATTATTTGATCGATCAATACTCTTTACTTAATCCACAACAAAAACTCTTCAAATCTTATCTTCTCCAATGCCACCCAACTTCCTCATCCACCCAGTGAGTAGCCACAAAATTACTTTGCACACCTGGCTTCCTTTCCTTTTGGCTGTTGCTTCACATGCCATTGATCAACACTCGAGAATGGACCACAAACACTAAGTTTATTTTATTATCCTCCCCTGCTCTCATCTTGTCCTCTTTCTCCTCAGTGGAAAAATGTCAAAAAAGAGGCAGGTTCACATGTTGATCTCTTAAGAGTCAACCAAGACTTGACTGTACTGTACACTCCTGTGAGAAAGAACCTGACAATTGAACAACTAAATGGTAAAACCGCAAGTGGGTACGTAATTTCGATGATTAAACAATCTTCTGGACTGTTTTTGCAGGAGATGACTGCATTTCCATACAAACAGGGTGCACAAACGTATACATACACGATGTGAACTGCGGTCCAGGCCATGGCATCAGCATTGGCAGCCTGGGAAGGTATAACACACGAGCCTGTGTCTCCAACATCACCGTGAAAAATGTCAACATGCACAGCACCATGACCGGCGTCAGGATCAAGACTTGGCAGGGTGGATCGGGCTCGGTGTCCGGGATCATGTTCTCGGACATCCAGCTCACCGAGGTCCAGTTCCCGATCGTGATCGACCAGTTCTACTGCGACAAGTCCACCAGCTGCAAGAACCAATCCTCGGCGGTGTCGGTGTCAGGGATCAACTACCAACGAATCAAGGGCACATACACGGTGAAACCTGTGCATTTCGCCTGCAGCGACAACCTGCCCTGTATAGACATCAGCTTGACCAGCATCGAGCTGAAACCGTTGCAGGAGCAGAAGTACCATTTGTACGATCCTTTCTGCTGGGCGACGTATGGAGAGCTCAACACTCCCACCACCCCTCCCATCGAATGTCTGCAGATCGGCAAGCCAACCACCAACCGCCCACAAACCGATCACGACACGTGTTGAATCGCGGTTCGATCGAACGGGTGCACTGATTTGTGTGGTTTGGCAATCATTTTCCTGACCCCATATCCGCACACCTTAAGCAAAAAAAAAATGCTTTTATCAGGTTCGTTCATATATAGTTTACCGTAGCAGTCCTGCTTGAAGAATTAGTTCATGTAAAATATCCGCGAGAGTTATATAGAAGAGTGCGTTGTTTTTTTTTTTTTTATCATATGGAATATGATTTGTACTATACAACCAAGCAATTTATTTGCATATGTATTGGGTTGGTAGATGAAGATAATATATATGTTCTATGAGTGGTTGTGCAACATCTTGGGTTTTTGCCAGAATCTTTTTTCGCCTTTGGCTCACGAGATATAGTCTTTACTCCCTAGGTTGTCAACCCGCGGTTTTGACCCTGACCCGATGAGAAAAACGGGCCGCACGCATTCGCTGGGTCGACTGCCACAAGGTATCGGGTTGGAGGTCAAATTGTGTCATTTTTTTATTTGTTTTGCGAAATGCGCCTATTTTTCGATTTTTCTTTTCGCCTAACTCAATCTTTGGAATCCTAAGTTGAACATTTGAATATTAATGTTATATAAGTGTGTGTGAATTTTCACTATATGTTGAATCTAAGTACGAAATGTTATTTTGGTGTAATATTATATGTTATATAACTCATATGTTAGATGAGATTTGATATAATTTATCAGGATAAGTACAATATAAATATATAATGATGCTTTCCATATTTTCGGGCTAAAATGGGTGACCCATTAACCCTTGACCCACTAGCTCAATCGGGTCCGGGTCAACCCGCGGGTTGACAACCTTGCTCCCTAGTCACTACTTTAGTAATGCGACACCGTATTGCTTTAGTTTGCTGTGCTCACACAATTCGGATCGGACCTCGGTTTCGCCTTATCCGATTTTGTGTTCAGTTGCATTCCTTTGGGCTTCAAGCCCAGCTCATTGGGAATTTGTGGGAGGCCCAAACTGATTGATCTACATTGACACAAGGGCCAAGGCGCTTTGCTTACGTGGGACGGAATCGAATAAGTTATTCGTTCGTTTCGTGTTTCGATCTTCTCTCCGATCAACGTGCAGCAACAGAAAGCCCCGCTGGGAATTCAGTGTTCGGCTTTCATCTTCTTTCCGCCGGAGACTTGAACGTGCAGCTCGTCCAACTCCCGGGCGGAAACATGGAAACTTCCGTCCTCGGATTCCTTGGTAATTTTGGCGCCCGATAAGGTTGGGAAGAAGAAGAAGAAAGGAAAGGTATATTTGTGATTGCAAGTAAATTTTTCAATGAGTGGGAATGAGTTCCGCTTCTTCTTGTCGTATGACATCAATCTCCCTGTCACATTCCGAATCGAGAGATTGGAAGGATCACTGCCTCCTGTCGAAGTCCCCGATTCTGGTTAGCATGCTTCTTTTTCCTTTTTTCGCGTTAAAGTTTTCTGCTTGAATGAGCTTGGCCACAAAATTTCGACTTGATTCAGCTCAATTGCACTACTTAAATTGCCCCTAATTGCTAGAGACCTGGACTACTACCTTGTTTATGGTGTGCCTGTGACAGTCCGAAGGAACTATTGCAAGATGTATAATCATGAGAGAGCGAATTTCGCTGAAATGTTGGTTTCAGGGATTGTATTACTTAGCGTTTGAGGCCCTGAAGGTCTCCTGTCTTGTACTCTAGGAATAAAACATCGCTTAATTTTGTTACTTGTTTTACATTGCGCATAGTGTTTCTGCTAGTTATGGGTAGCAGGAATGAAGGGCTTGTAATCCCATGGACTGCTTTAACTTTCAGTTACAATTCTTTCACTTCGTGTTTATTCTCCAGGAATTGATTCTACTGCGGAAGAGAGAAGAGCAGAGTTGTATGTTGAGTGTGTATTATGTATGGATGGCGCTCCCTTTGGTCTTCCCATGAGAACAAGGTTACATGACTTTTTTCAACTAGTTTCCCTTTGTTATCGTGTCAATTGTCCCCGCTGGTCCATATTTTTTTGGGGTTAGTATACGTTAGTTTGACTTGTTTTGCTGTCATACCTCCATTTATTTAATGTTTCGCCAGGTTAGAGACCAATGGATCGGCTTACTGCTGGAATGAACTCATCACGTTGAGTACTAAATATAGAGACCTCAGTAGATACTCACAGCTTGCTTTAACAGTAAGTCCACAAACTAGTTACTTTCACCTCTTCTCTATGAAATGCATCGGCCATGTGAATTCCGGTGCTTACTGAGTTACGAAATGCTGTTGTCAGTTGCTGTCTTTTGTTGGTTGAAGATTTTGATCTTGGCTGTGCTGCAAATTAGATTGGCAACAGACGAAGCTTGCATCTTTCTACACCCTCATTTGGGGTTGAACTCTTGTTAATGTTGATCTATTCGGAAATTCAGGTTTGGGATGTTTCCCATGGAAAAAATGAAGGCCTAATTGGTGGGGCTACCATTCCTCTTTTCAACAGTAAGTTGCAACTCAAAACAGGCAAGCAGAAGCTTAGGCTTTGGTTGGGCAAAGTAGCTGATGGATCATTTCCAACAACTACTCCTGGAAAGGTTCCTGCTGAATCCTTTGCTGGTAACTTTGGATCTGGAACACAATCTGACGTGCTTCTGAGTACAGGTCCCCAGGCATGAGCGTGGAGAATTGGAGCGTTTAGAAAAGCTTCTGAATAAATATGAAAGGGGGCAGATTCAACGTGTAGATTGGCTTGATCGGCTTACGTTTAAAGCTATGGAGAAAATCAAAGGCCGCGAGAGCTCTAAAACTGGGAGTTCACACCTGTACTTGGTTGTTGATTTCTGTAGCTTTGAACATAGAGTTGTTTTCCAGGTATCATCCTCTTCCGTGTGCTTTCTGTTAGTGGTTACTGGTCATCATTTTCTGAGTACGTCATTCAGATTGTGATACCTTCGGATTTGAACTTTATTGCAAGATCTAGATAACATTAAGGTGTGTGAATGTGACTTTTTCTTTCTCCCTCGTAGGAATCAGGGGCAAATTTTGTATTACCATCACCTATTTCTTCAACAAATGAACTTGTTATTGTGTGGGACCCTGAAGTGGGTAAGATAAATCCTTCTGAGCACAAGCAACTGAAGCTAGCAAGGAGCTTAACCCGAGGCATCATTGACAAGGATTTGAAGCCAAGCAACAATGAGAGAAAGTAAGTGAGCAAGTGGATAGTTCTTAGTATCAAATGTTCGTTGCTTTTAATTTCCGAGCTTAAATTGTCTGTTTTATAGGTGTGGGTGTAAAGTTATTTTTGTTGGACTGTCAAGTTGATGAATTCGCTATCAGTGTAAAGCATGTAGTTGTTAACAGAGTATATGACAGTTCTTGTGGAAATTATACGTTTACAGGTCAATACAAAGAATTTTGAAATACCCACCAACACGATCTTTGAGTGGAGATGAGAGACAGCTCTTGTGGAAATTTCGCTTCTCGTTGATGACTGAGAAGAGGGCACTCACAAAGTTTCTCCGATGTGTGGAGTGGAGTGATGTTCAGGTTAGCATCGAGTCTTGTTCTTCGGTCCTCCACTTCATAGTCTATTGTAAGGACTGAAAGAACTTGGCCATAAGCATTTAGTTGTCTGTATAATCTGCGTATATGTGTTTCTTTTCAATATTCATGATTGTTGTCAAGTATCATCGAAATGTTTGTGCTTGATTGATGCAAACAAGATATAGGATTCTGATAGATGTTACGCTATCTATATGCAGGAAGCAAAACAAGCACTAGAGTTGATGGGCAAGTGGGAAACAATTGATGTCTCTGATGCACTTGAGCTTCTATCTCCCCTTTTTGAAAGTGAAGAGGTGGGTCTTTGGCAAGGCTACACTGGTCAAAGCCAGTAAGCTTTCTCTACACTGTTAGGACAATTAATGGTACTGTAGGAGATCTTTTGTCGAAGCTAATGCACACATATTCAAAGTTAAGGTGTTCGGATATCATCATGGTGGCCAACTAAGAGGGTTATAATGTCTATATAATGAAAATATATTACCTTAAATCTTTGAATGCGATATGGTCGCATGCACTCTTAAATAAAGTTAGAAACTATTTGTATTTAACTATGCTTTATGCCAGCTTTCTTACATGCATTGATGTTGGTGGGTGAAACTCTTGATTTATCAAATATCTATTTGATGCTTGATCATATTCCTCCAAGAACAGGTTCGTGCATATGCTGTCAGTGTTCTGGAGAGAGCTGATGATGAAGAGCTCCAATGTTACTTGCTTAAACTAGTTCAGGCTCTTAGATTTGAACGAACAGACAAATCTCGGCTTTCTCAGTTCCTAGTGCAACGCTGTATGTACTGCATTTCTGATGTTTAAATCATGGATTCCTGTGTAGATGTATATGGTATTCGCCAAACTTTGCAATGAATCCTGTTTCCCATATTTGAAACCTTATTGCTCTTTGACAGCATTAAACAACATTGAGTTGGCTAGCTTTCTCCGATGGTATGTTGCTGTCGAGTTTTATGATCACGGTTATACCAAACGCTTCTATTGTACTCATGAGCTACTGGAAGAGAATATGATGAAGGTATGGATTCTCAAGTCTTTTTTTATACGTCATCGTTTCACCGTTGCCTATATTCCTGCCTTAGTTTATGATTCTTCAAAAAAATCTATTACCGATCATTTTTTCACACTGTGTTTTTCTCTCGGAATGAGAATACCATCTATTTATGATCCCATTCAGTACCAATTCCACTTTGTTTTAAAATTGCATCATGGCAGTAATTGCATTCTATTATATAATTTCTAAGTGAAGGAATTCTGTTCTCCGGATCATTTTAGTGTTACGGATATTAATCTGTACTGTTTTAGGCTTCTATTTGCAAGTAGCAAGTGACAGGGTCTTCATTTTTTTGGACATTGTCATAACCATCCTCTTTGTAATTGCTAGTTGCAAGCTGGTCCAGATGGAGAAGATGGATTCAAGTTGTGGCAAAGTTTGGTGCGGCAGACAGAATTGACAGCACAGTTGTGTTCTATAATGAGAGATGTCAGAAATGTGCGAGGAAATACTCAAAAGAAAATTGAAAAGCTTAGGCAGCTTCTATCTGGACTTCTTAGTGAACTCACTTATTTTGAGGAGGTATTGATCAACCAAAGTTTCCTACCGAGTCTCAAAATAATTAGTTTATTTGTGGCTGCTGAATTCTTTGACACATCAAGTCTCCTAACAAGTAACACCCCATTTGTTTTTGTTGTCAGCCCATACGATCTCCACTTGCTCCATCTCTCCTTATTACCGGCATTGTGCCTTCAGAGTCATCAATATTCAAAAGTGCACTGCACCCTTTACGCCTGACTTTCAGAACACAGACTGGTGGAACTTCTAAGATCATATTTAAGAAGGGCGACGATATTCGACAAGACCAATTGGTACTTCCTCAGCAAGGTTTCCTAAAACCTTTTTGTTTATTTTATGTGCAGTTTTCTCTTCTCCACTTTTCTCCATAAGAGAAGTCTCCACATGCTAATACTTATAAATCTGTGATGCTTAAAGAGAATAACATTTCTTTGATACGTCTCCTGGTTTTATGAACTTGTAGGTCGTTCAAATGGTATCTCTAATGGATCGCTTGCTAAAGTTGGAAAATCTTGATCTGCACTTGACTCCATATAAAGTCCTTGCTACTGGACAAGATGAAGGCATGCTTGAATTCATCCCATCACGGTCTTTGGCTCAGGTACTTCATCTTGAATACTTAAAGGACGCTGGCCACTAAACATTATTAGTTAATCCCGTGTAGTCTGTAAATATCATATGTTATATATCCGATATGCTTGAGTACCGTCATTCAGCTTCTGCGATATCCTAAATTCTTCTGAGTTATCATCCGTATGGATCTTTTTGTGGGGTCTTTGTCCTCAAAATCCAGATACTCTCAGAGCATCGTAGTATTACAAGCTATTTGCAGAAGTTTCACCCTGATGATCGTGGCCCCTTTGGTATTACTGCCACTTGCCTGGAGACGTTTATCAAAAGCTGTGCTGGCTATTCGGTCATCACGTATATTTTGGGCATTGGAGACAGGTAACCAGTTACGCTATGTTTCAGTTTCATCTGGTCATTCCAACACAAATTTATTCATCGTCTTAATCTTTTTAGGTCGTAAGAATTCTACTCGGTTCAAAATTTGAAAACCTTACAGAAAACATTCTTATAACCTGTGTTTAAGAAGTTGGCCGTCATTAGTTCCCATCACAAATTCATTATCTGGACCCTGGAGACCGATTTCCTTTAGTACAACATTTAGTGTGCTGCTCTTGCGATATGGCTCTTCATGCAAGCATCTCGCTCCCAACAATGCAGGCTCTGACTCTGTGTAAAAATTATAGTTTTTGCTTTTATGGTGTGATCCTACAGGCACTTGGACAACCTTTTGCTTAGAGATGATGGGCGTATGTTCCATGTTGACTTTGGTTTTATTCTCGGCCGAGACCCCAAGCCATTTCCACCACCAATGAAGCTGTGCAAAGAAATGGTAGAGGCGATGGGTGGTGCAGAAAGGTATATCATTCATCTTATCTCCCGCTTCCATGGTCTGACTGACTGACTGACTGACTTTGTTAATATCTTCCCCATCAATTCCTGGCAACAGTCAATACTACACCCGGTTCAAATCTTACTGCTGTGAAGCATACAACATCCTCCGGAAATCAAGCAACCTGATTCTGAACCTTTTCCATCTGATGGCGGGTTCCAACATCCCAGACATAGCTTCTGACCCGGAGAAGGGCATACTCAAGGTAATGTGTCCACTCTTAAACAAGTCTTCTCTTAACCAAGCTAAGCTTCACCAACATCCCATTTGTCAGTAGTTAGTATCTCTTAACCAAGCTTCACCAAAATGCTTGCGTGGGGTGCAGCTCCAGGAGAAGTTCCGGCTAGACTTGGACGATGAAGCTGCCATCCATTTTTTCCAGGATCTTATCAACGAGAGTGTCAGCGCTTTGTTTCCTCAAATGGTTGAGACCATTCACAGGTGGGCTCAGTACTGGCGCTAAACGCACCCCTCAACCCTCCTAGTTACAGAAAGAAAGTGATGGTACAAATTACCATGGCCGGCAAACACAAGCGGGCCAAGAAATTAGTATTTTAACTATATTTATTTTCCTCTGTACATATGTTTGTGGCTTTTGGGTCTCAAGAATCAGGGCAGGACAAATATCACTCACTTAGGTCTGATTACTCTGTACAAAACGTCCAAGTGAAATGGTTCATTGCTATTTTTTTTTTTTTATACAGGTCAGATTCTGTGCTTACTCCTATAACTTTAAGTATATGCTAACAGCAAGCTTTTCTATTGGCTTGGCTGGTAGGATTTTAGTCAGCTTATGGAAGATTAGTAGTTAGTTTGTTATTAAGAGTAAATTATGTATTAAGGAAAAAATTAATAAAACTACTAGCTTGGTACCCGGTCGTTGGCCGAATTATATTGCGTTGGGTACAACAAAACCTTAAACCGATCGGCTGATAACAACGTGGGAAGTAGGTTAGGTACCAGGACTCGCATGAATATGACCTTGATTGCCACTATGGGGTTGTTTGGGAAATGAGATTTAGGGCGTGGATTTATTTAATTAGTAGATTTTGTACAAAATTATGTTTTTTTGTTGCTTTTTGTATTGTGGATTTTAGTTTTGGAGATTTCAAATCTCTAAAATTTACGGATATCAAATCTCTTATAATCACAGAGATTCTATATCTTGATTCGTGAGATTTTTTTCTCATACTTTTCTCTTTCTTTTATTTATTTATCATATTAAATATATTTATTAATAAAGTTTTTAATATTTCTCGAACCACTCTAATTTTTTTTATTAAGGATAAACATGTTATTTAACATAAAATTAAATTTTTTTATTTTCATTGAATATTAACAATCACAGTTACCAAGCAATAAACATTTTAAAATCTATTTTTAACAATCCAAAGAGTTTGGATCTTTAGATTGTTGACAATCTATAGATTTAAACTCATATTCTCCAAACCACCCATATATGACAATGTCATTTTAGGTTAAACTTGGCCTAGAATGGGGTAGTTATTGACACGTGCTAACTATTGTCAATAATATGCACGGATGAATGTGATCAATCTTCTAAGTGAATAAGAGAACTAATCCATAGCTAAAAGAGAAACAACAGTTAAAATAGAAGAAAAACCAATTGGAAAGTGATTCTTCTTCTTCCTAATTACTTGGAGATGAAATCTGCCCTGCAATTGCCTTGGGTAGGTCCAAATCATCTATAATTCTCCTTAGCTCTCTCTCTCTATCTCTAACCTTGAAGAATAATCTCTAGGGGTGGGCAATGGGAAACATATATTTGGGTATACCTATACCTATCCCGTATTTTTAGGGTTACGGGTACCCATATTATCCGTAATATTATTAACGGATGAGACTTGGGATTGTAAATTTCTACATGCGGGTTATGCACAAATACCCGTTTGGGTAATATGGGTACCCGGTAAACCCATTGAAAATACAAAGGCTGAACTGAAAGGCATAAAGCAACCACCATGATACGAGACAAGTCGGAACTTGAACTCTCAAACACGCAGCAAGGCAAGAGTGGTAGTGTGAGGGTGGGTTTCGGAGTAATCGAGTAGAGGTTTTGGCGGATAAAACGAACCAAGCTAGCAACTTCAACACTAAGGGGAAGAGGCTGGTTTGGGTAGAAGAACACCACGAGATCAAAGATGATGGATTTGATCTCGAAGTCTGCAAGTCCAGGATCTCGATCCAAGACCAAACTCAAGCACTCGTGCTCAAGGAAAACTCCTCGGAGTAACGTTGATTCAACTCGATGATAATCTCCCTTTTACAACGAACGAGCAAAGCTATTTATAGCCAAAATAACCTAACCTAATCCTACTAAAACAATGACAATGAATTCAAGAGCAACAAGGTAAGTAATTAACTCAAAACACCAAAACTTGCACGCTAAGTAAGCTGTCCAGAAAACAGCTCTTCCTCCCATCTTCAAGCCCCTCGATGGAAGCCTTCCAGGTAAGCAATCCTCTAGCCAATGCCATGTCTTTGTAGAACAACAAACATACATTCATGTGGTCTGAAGCCTCGAGGAAGATTCTCCCCCATGCTCATGAAACTGAGCCTCAAAGTCACTATCTCAAACACCCTTTCTGCCTTAGTCAAAAACTGGCAGATTTCCAGTTTCATGACAGCATTTTGATGACCTTGGTTCACCCTCTTCCTGGCTTCCCTTTGTCGATCCAAGCACTCCAACATGTATAAAAACATCCCAGGTTCACAACAAGTGCTCATTCGCCCATTTCTATTGAATAAATTGCGAGATACGACTCTCCAAAGAGGGCTTCCCAAAACTGTTTCCATACTTAGAAAAATCCCAGCTTTGTTCTTGTTGACTTGACACCATCTTTGCTCGATTAATCGACAGCCAAAGGACGATGGAATTGATATCATATCAAGCCCCCCTTCTTTAAAAAGCTTTGTCCTCAAAGCTTGAATCATCCTACACCCAAAACGGTCGACAAAATCAACCCAAACAGGGTCACAAAACGTTAGTACCAAAACCTTATTTTCCGGTGAGGCCCGATTTTCCGGCGAGACTTTGTGATTTGGGACTTTCGGATTGCGAGCGTCTCGACCCAATTGGCGGTCTACCTCGTGTTCGCCTAGCTCCCAGGGACCTTCTCCTTCCATTTCAAGCCTGTGACTCGTCCCTATCCGACCCCAATCGCTGTGGCCGTGTTTCCCGCCACCTGGAAATTCAAAAATCCCAGTTTCCGGCGACAATTTTCCAAAATCCGGCGAGCTGTTCTGAAATTTGGGGCTTTCTTCTACGGACACCCCCAAGTCCAATTCTCGCTTCGCACACCTTCCATGGGATCCTAGGAAGCTGCTCCAAGCAGTAGATTGTTCGGAATCATTCCCAATCATCACAACCAATTCGCCCAATTTTTGCTCGTCGGCCGTCTTGTGGGAGGGCACAATATTGAATTCGGGAATCGCTGAGCCAGATTGATTCGTCGAGTGCTCGCCGGTTTTAAACATTTCTGGGCGAGTTTCCAACATGTTGGAGTCAGCTTCTAGCCTCGATTCATCTCCAGCTGGTCCACCCAATTCGAGGCTCTTCAGGGGAGCCGGAAAACAGAGGCGGCGGACTCTGCTTCGCCGGGGAAGGGTCCTGCCTGCAAGGACGGTCAACAGATACCGTCGAGCCAGCAGTTGGTTCTCATTTACTCGTACTGATGCGGCAGTGCCCGATTCCAAGCCTCTCCTGTCCCGTCTCGATGCCATGTGACGTTGATCTTCTCGGACCTCGTCCGGCGTCAAAGGCTTGAGAATCATCTTCTTGCCTCCGTGCTCGAAAGTATAGATATTCGTTCGACCGTGATGGGACGCCTTCCGATCGAATTGCCATGGTCTTCCCAAGACCAAGTGGGCTGCCTGCATTGGTATAACGTCGAATAGCAATTCATCGCGATAGTTGCCGATCGAGAAAGGGATCCTTACTTGCTTGTTTACTTTAATTGCAGCGTGGTCACTGAGCCAATGAAGGGAATATTGTTCTGCCTGGGGAATCGTAACTAACCCAAGTCTTTTAACGACGTCAAGACTAGCCACATTCGCACAACTTCCCCCATCAATGATCACTGTCAAATTCTTTCCTTGAACCTGGCATCTTGTGTGAAATAAATTGCTCCTTTGATCCGCCTCAGAGGAATCCTCCTCCTGACTTGCCAATGCTCGTTGCACTACAAATAATGGCCCCTTGTCTGCCTCCATCTCTTCTCCTTCTAATTCGACAGTTGTCTGCTCTTTAGTCTCTTCTTCGTCCTCTGAACAATATTGCCCATCCCGGAGTACCAACACCTTCTGGTTAGCACACTGATGCGATTTGTGCCCAAAACCATGGCATTTGAAACAACGAATGCTCCCACTAGATGTTCCTGGTCTCTCATGGGTTGGCGTAGCAACCTGCCTTGTGGTTTTGTTCGTCAGTTCAGGCTTCGATTCAAGTTCAGGAGCCTGCTTTGGTGCGCTGTTTGCGGCAGGGAACCTTCTGCCTGTGACTTGTAGCTTCAACTGCTTCTCGATTTTGGTGGCGAGGTGCACTGCTTCCTCAAGGTCAAGGAAAGACCTAAGCTCGACTTCCTGCCGAATATCACGATTCAAGCCATGTAGAAATCGTGAGATTGTTGCCTCCTTGTCCTCGCGTACGTCTGCGCGCATTAAGAGCAGTTCGAGCTCTCGGAAGTACTCCTCAACTGTCCTCGCACCTTGACGAATTCCCTGTAACGCGTCATGGATCTCGCGGTGATAAAAGCTTGGAACAAAACGTTCCCTCATCAGGCCACGGAGCTCGTCCCAAGTCGCCACTGGAGGCTGTTGATTTTGTCGGCGACGAAGCTGCAGTCTCTCCCACCATTGCGCGGCATAATCCGTAAACTCGTAAGTAATCATGGCTAATTTTTGTTGCTCGCTGAATTGCCCGCACTGGAAGAACAGAATAATCTTCCGCTCCAAATCAAGGTACGCTGACGCGTTCAATGCTCCTTGAAAGGATGGGATGATCAACTTGATTCCTTGCGGAATCAAGGACTCTGTTTCCTGATGCCTTCCCTGAATTTCACGGTGACGACGTCCAGGCTCAGGATTGTGCACTACCATCTGCTGTTCCAGCTCTTCTACTCTGGCCAGAAGCTCGCGGTTCCTTTGCTCTTGCTCGACCTCAGCTTCCCTGCCGCGAGGAGCTGCCGTTCCTCGCCCCAGTTCTGGTAGTGCCTGAGACAGGTTATCGATTCTCTGTCCCTGCTGTTCCATCTGGCGCTCGATTTTGTCAAATTGCGTCTGGAAAATAGCTCCAATTTGCGCGGTGATGGTCTGTAAAAACTCTGTTGTATTAAATTGTCCCGACATCGCAATTTCTTCCTCCTGGTCTGGCTCGTCGAAATCGACCCCTTCCTTCTGTCGAACAGCAGGGTCTCGCTCAACCGGGCCTTTGGACCTCGTCCAAATCGTCGTTCCCTCAATGTCGTCCTTCGTCCTGTCCACTGAGGTGAACCAGGGCTCTGATTACCACTTGATACGAGACAAGTCGGAACTTGAACTCTCAAACACGCAGCAAGGCAAGAGTGGTAGTGTGAGGGTGGGTTTCGGAGTAATCGAGTAGAGGTTTTGGCGGATAAAACGAACCAAGCTAGCAACTTCAACACTAAGGGGAAGAGGCTGGTTTGGGTAGAAGAACACCACGAGATCAAAGATGATGGATTTGATCTCGAAGTCTGCAAGTCCAGGATCTCGATCCAAGACCAAACTCAAGCACTCGTGCTCAAGGAAAACTCCTCGGAGTAACGTTGATTCAACTCGATGATAATCTCCCTTTTACAACGAACGAGCAAAGCTATTTATAGCCAAAATAACTTAACCTAATCCTACTAAAACAATGACAATGAATTCAAGAGCAACAAGGTAAGTAATTAACTCAAAACACCAAAACTTGCACGCTAAGTAAGCTGTCCAGAAAACAGCTCTTCCTCCCATCTTCAAGCCCCTCGATGGAAGCCTTCCAGGTAAGCAATCCTCTAGCCAATCCCATGTCTTTGTAGAACAACAAACATACATTCATGTGGTCTGAAGCCTCGAGGAAGATTCTCCCCCATGCTCATGAAACTGAGCCTCAAAGTCACTATCTCAAACACCCTTTCTGCCTTAGTCAAAAACTGGCAGATTTCCAGTTTCGTGACAGCATTTTGATGACCTTGGTTCACCCTCTTCCTGGCTTCCCTTTGTCGATCCAAGCACTCCAACATGTATAAAAACATCCCAGGTTCACAACAAGTGCTCATTCGCCCATTTCTATTGAATAAATTGCGAGATACGACTCTCCAAAGAGGGCTTCCCAAAACTGTTTCCATACTTAGAAAAATCCCAGCTTTGTTCTTGTTGACTTGACACCATCTTTGCTCGATTAATCGACAGCCAAAGGACGATGGAATTGATATCATATCACACCACCACCATACTCGCCCACCTCTTCCGTCACGATGAACACTTTGACAACTCCAAATCTGTTCTCTGCTACGAAATCAAACATCATATTAATTCCAGCATCATCAAACAGAATTGATTCGTCGTAAACTGACATCCAATATGTCATCTTGCATACTCTTCGATGATCACCTATGCAACACCTTCCCTCACAAATAAGGAAGAGATCCTGCCAACCAATTTTTCTTTCAATCCAGACAGTGCTTGACTCACCACCTTCATAGTCAACACTCTGAGATATTGTCACTCCATCTTTCCATCAAATCAATTGGTTGAACTTTTTGAAATTCCTTTCCATTTATGCATTTTACAATACCAAAAGTTAGATAGAATCCAAAGTCTAAATATAAATAAACAACCAAATATTAATCCAAAATCCTAATCCATATTTAACCTACATTCAAAGACTAATGTAACCCATGCTTCAACCAACAAAACAAAACATATGTTAAAATGATAGAAGCTCAACGAACCAATTTAACAAATCTTAAAAATAACAACATGTACAACTAAACCTCAATATATCAAGCAGGCATTAAACCAAAACCATAATCTACATTCAAACCACATTCAAAGGATAATGTAACTCATGTCACAACCAACATAAACAAGCATATCTTTCAATGGCAAAAACTCAATGAACCTCTTTCTTCATTGCTGAAAATTTCTTGCCTTTTTTGCTCTTTTGTTGTTTTTTTTAGATTGAAGAGATGAATGAGTTGAAAGGGTGTTGGGTATATATTTTCGTTCACTGAGCAGTAGTTCACTGCACACCCTAGCAATCCACTCCAACTAGGAAACCTATCACTGCACCCAGTCATAAGATATGCTGGGAGAAAGCGACTTCACAAAATTATTGGAAGTGGTTCACTGCAATTGGCATTTAACCATGTTCTTCACTTACATTGGAAGCGAACTACATACAAATATGTCAGCAGAAAGGTTTATTCAAAGTGGTTTACTTTCTTAAGCAGCGATCCACAGGAGTTCGCTTATTATTCCAGCGAACCAACGTCGTTCACTCTGCATACCAGGGAACCACTCTAGTTCGCTTCTTAGACCCGTAAACCACTTCGAGTCCACTTACTTTTCTAGCGAATAATGTTGTTTGCTCCCATAGCAGGCGAATTGCTTGGTGGTTCGCTTTACTATTGATAACTTTAAAATTTGTACGAAGAATTGTGGCTGTAATTTCCCACTTCATAATAGTTGTGATTAATATATTGTATTTTTTTTTATAATTCTGAATTTTTTTTCTTCCAAATCTCTACTCTACCTTGCAAGGTTGTCAACCCGCGGGTTGACCCGGACCCGGTCGAGCTAGTGGGTCAAGGGTTAATGGGTCAATCGTTTTAGCCCGGTTTGGCCCGGAAATATAGAAAAAGTCATTATATTATACTTATCCTCATAAATTATATCAAATCTTATCTAGCATATGACTTATAATGTATAATATTACACCAAAATAACATATCGTACTTAGATCCAACATATAGTGAAAATTCACACACACTTATATAACAATAATACTTCAAATGTTCAACTTAGTATTCCAAAGATTGAGTTAGGCGAAAAGAAAAATAGGAAAATAGGCGCATTTCGCAAACCAAAGAAAAAAATGACACAATTTGACCTCCGACCCGGTACTTTGTAGCGATCGGCCCAACGAGTGCGTATGGCCCGTTTTTCTCACCGGGTCAGAGTCAAAGTGGGTCGACCCGCGGGTCAACCGCGGGTTGACAACCTTGCTACCTTGACAATTGGTATGTCGACATCTCAATCGCGGTTAAGACAAACGTCACTTTCATATGACACGTGGTAATGGTGTTGCTTCCATTCAGATCGTGATACGCCAACACGTACCCCCAGCTTTCCTGCCTGCCATATTCTCTGCACCACCGCCTCAGTCAAGAAGAAGCTGGCTGTGTTTGTTTTATCCTCCACCTCTCCAGAGTACGTAATCTCCAAATCTAGCAGTTACTTTTGTGTGTTTGTTTTAAGTTAATGAATTTATTAAGTAGGTTTCTGAAAGCACAAACCCAAAGTTAAAGCGCGTTTTCTGGACGGCCAGATAGATAATTGCGTATCCGGGGTTTTTCGTGAGACTCAAACAAAGGCTAAAGTTGGGGGGGAGAACCCACGAGAAGCAGTGAAGCAAGCAAGAATCTTTTCCGTCCATAAAAGGAAGGGAAGCGTGAAATCGGAGGGGAATCAAGTGAATGCTGGATCCTGAAGCAAATCGAAGAGAACCCAATTGTTAGCAACACTGCGAGCGAGGAAGGGGGGGAAAGGCGTTGGCCGGCGATTCGTTTTCCCGTCTCTTTCTTCTGGTTTTGGGCTCTTCAGTTTGCTGTTTGATGGTGGGAATCGGTGCTGCGAACTTGAGGGGCTAACAAACGGCGCCATCTCTCCTGCGACAGTGAGTGAACACCGAAAGGGGAAAAGAAATGAGTAATCTTTTCAAGGGTTCGCCGTACAGACGGCGCCGAGACCTGGAGTCTGGTAGCCGCTCTGCTGACTTGGACCGCGACCTCGATGACTACGAGTCTTCCAGTCCTTTCAACATTACCAGTACCAAAAATGCTTCTGTTGAGCGTCTCCGCCGTTGGAGGGTAAGTATATAATCTGTCACTCTCGCTTCTTCCCTCTCTGAACCCATGGTTGTTTCTATTCTACTCCCTGCCACTTAGTTGGGCTTACGCAGCATCTTGTTCCCGTTCTTCTTATCACCGCATACCTTCGACATTTGACATTATTGCAAATTGCCGACTGGAATTATGCATTTGAACTCTTTTTTCCCCTTGTACTCCAGCAAGCTGCACTCGTGCTCAATGCTTCTCGCCGATTCCGGTATACCCTAGACTTGAAGAAGGAAGAAGAGAAGAAGCAGATATTAAGAAAGATCAGGGCACATGCACAGGCTATTCGGGTATATGTCTCATTTGCGAACTCGTAGCTCTGCCTTTTGTGCTATCATCCACTTGCTCATGATGTTAAATATCTGTATGCTGGACAGGCTGCATACCTTTTCAAGGAAGCTGGACTCCGAGTAAATGGTACTTTCTCCTCTCTAATCTTCAGTGTTTAGTGGTCATCGTCGTTGACAAGTTGTTCGGGTGATATTGGTTGTCTGGGATAGTATTTCTGCCTCCTATCTGTTATTTGTTCCCTTGCAATATTCTTTATTATTATCCCTTTGTATGACCGTTCTAATTCACTAGGCGATGTGAATTGCTTCGAAGTATCATAGGATTTGGTTTGCTTCCTTTTGTGAATTGCCTGTTCTTTCTTTATCGTCTTCAATCATGTTTAGGTTCCTACTCTCAGTGAAATTGTTGTTAAGATGTTTGTGCTAGCGCATAATTTTTCCTCATGCCATCGTTAGCCTTCCCTTGTTGATCACATTCTGTTTTAAGTTGTCTATTTTCTTTGGTTAGATATCCATGTGTATGGTCGGGTTGCTTTCTTCATTTTCCCTCCTCACTTCTGATAGAAGGTTTTCGTTTGGCACCTGTTTGTGAATCTAGAACAGCCAACTACCCCATTCGGCTCTTAACTTTAGTGATCGCCATCTTTAGTGCACTGCTCTACCTTGTTTAGCTGCTATTGTTGGTGAAGTTGGTATTATATTTATAGATAGTGCACTTCTTTTCTTCGAGTAGAGTTCAATTTAAGAATAATTATTTCTTCATACTTCGTAGGCTACCTGATTACTTGCACCATTTTCTTTTTCAGGAACAACGGACCCACAGAAAACCTCAGGCGGGGATTTTGCAGTTTCCCAAGAACAACTTACCACGGTGACAAGGGATCATAATATTACTGCTCTGCAGGAACTTGGTGGTGTAAGTCTTCATTCCACGTTGATATTTGGTATCAGCCATTTGTGTTTCTCAACATTATGAATTTGTGTTTTGAGTTTTAGTATCTACATTTGTGTTTTTCATCAGGTTAAAGGGCTTGCAGAGGCCCTGAAAACGAGTCCGGAGAAAGGAATTCTTGGAGATGATTCCGATTTAGTGAAACGAAAGAATGTGTTTGGCTCTAATACGTATCCTCAAAAGAAGGGAAGAAGCTTTTGGGTAATGCTTTTTACAGTCCCTATATCTTTCCTTTGCATTTTGCTAGCCGCTTGAACATGGAAGAACTCTATCTTATCTGGATCTCGTTGGTTTGCTTTATTGTAGATGTTTCTTTGGGAAGCTTGGCAAGATTTGACCTTAATCATATTGATGGTAGCTGCAGCTGCTTCTTTGGCCCTTGGCATAAAAACAGAGGTGGGACTCAGTGTCAACTGCTGATCACCACATCATGCAATCCATTTGCATATATAGTATGGTGTGAGGTTCACAATTTTGGGGAGTTGATCCTCACTTTGAGGATGGTAATGAGTTTTGCTTGCTTATTATGGTGCATATATAGTCTACTGTGTTAAGTTTATGGGATTATCGAGTTCCTATTCAATTCAAATTGCAATCTAACATGATGAGGCATGTTTGTTCTCTAGATTTAGTGGTTTTATCAGCATTCTGTTGCTCTGTTTTCCCCCTTGAAATTGGTCTTGGGAGGTATTTCCTTATAGTTTTGCACTTGTCCTCCTTCTGACTCTATATTTTGGTTTTGATGCGTGGTCCCTTTACTTGGTATCCAATTTCTTGCAGGGTATCAAGGAAGGCTGGTACGATGGTGTCAGCATTGCCTTTGCTGTTCTTCTCGTAATTGTTGTAACTGGTATGATATTTTGTCTGGAATCACGTTTTAGCTTGGGAAGTGGTGTGTCTCCCCTTGGATGTGTACGCTCTTTAACGTCAACATGCACACCTACGTTATATTCGCTTTTAATACTTGGCTGATAACTATTTTTGCTGTTAAGGCTTCACTAGTCGCTTCATAGTCATTTGTCGAAGGGGATCTCACGGAAAGCAGGATTATGTGCATTTTTATGATCTGGTTATTAGGTCTCTGTCTGTTTGTATGTTTTGCATATTGGTCATCAGTTTCTTGACTTAAGATGCTGCTAGATTCATTATGGCTAGTAATATATATTTATGTTCATGTTCCTTTACTTTGAGTATGTGCAGCCTGCTTCTTGTGATGTGCTTTATTAGTTAGTTTCCCTTCTTATCTTTTTATAAAAGCTCTCAATCTCTCATTCAGAGTCTGTCCTAGATGAAAAAGTTCACAGGCTGGAAAATATCAACCGTAAAATAAAAATAAGAAGTAAAAGCAAAATACTAGCTAGCTTCGTTTATTAATGGAGAAGGTTTGTGGTCGAATTTTCATCTAGCTAAATTATTTTGAAAAGAAGCCCAAGAGATTGGTCTACGGTGTTTGTGGATGAAAAAATAAAATTGTACTGCTCTCTATTTTCAATGCTTCAGGTCTCGGGGTTCACCATATTTAAAGACAAACCTTTAGAATAGAGCTATTTTTTGTTAAAAATCGAAGCCCTTAATGTACCGAAGAGGCTAGTATGTAACCCATGTGCATGTTACATGACTACTCAAGTCTGATTCTGTGTTCACAAGCCTTCCATAGTGTGTTGTGGAAAACCTTTCTGCTGGCGCTGTTGTTGTTTGTGGGCTTGTCCTGCATGTATTGACAGCACTTTGGTCTTCCATCAGCGACCGCTTGTTAATAATAACTCAGCAGTTCATGACATGTCAGGGCCTTGCTAGCTATTATTAGCTAACGCCTAATTGTTTATTATGTGATTCTTGCTGTATCACTAGAGGAAACATTTTATTCAGATTTGGGCTTGTTATATGTTGGTAAACTACTTCTCGAAATGTTTATGACTACCATCCACTCTGGAGTTTCCTGATTTAAACTCTTACGTTTTTCAGCTATAAGTGATTATAGACAGTCCCTGCAATTCCAAAATTTGAATGAGGAGAAGAGAAACATACATTTGGAGGTATTATTATTCTAAAAGCCCAAGTTCCCTTCTATTCTCATTTCTCTTCCGCTGCCAGTCTGTTACATATGTGCTCTCCTGTATTGTGTTTTATGGTCATTGACATTCCGCCTCCTCTTTTCATATAACCCTTGCAATGCTGGTATTAGTTTCCCAGGCTCCTCTCTCCCATTTTTCATGTACTCTACAGTATCATCTCAGTTTTAATGCGATTGCTGATCTTACCTTCTCATTAATGGTGCTCATCACTTATTAGAGTTCCTTTCACCTTATGTAATTTCTATTAAAAGGGGGGTTTTCCATGTAGGTTATCAGAGGTGGAAGAAGAGTTGAGGTTTCCATATATGACATTGTTGTTGGTGATGTCATACCGCTCAACATTGGTGACCAGGTAAGCCCCTCACCAACGTATTTATATGTTCTTGATTTATGCATTCTATTTAATCTGTACTTTCTGACTGAATTCAGGTTCCTGCTGATGGAATTTTAATTACTGGCCATTCGCTTTCTATTGATGAATCCAGCATGACTGGAGAGAGCAAGATTGTGAGCATCTCAACTTGTACTGGAGGTGAATTTATAGTGGTCAATTGATTTATGTGGGCTTCCTGATTTTGTAGGTGCACAAGAGTACTTCAGAACCATTTCTCATGTCTGGCTGTAAGGTAGCAGATGGCAGCGGCACTATGCTGGTAAATTGCATTTTTCTATTTGTTAAGGACTGTTCTTAGGTGCTTCATTCTGGTTGATCACTTGTTGTTTATATTAGTATGTACATCAAGATTGTGACTGCGGATGTTGCTTGGAGTACACCTGTTTAGGAATTACTCCCACTACTGTTCTCATCAAAGAGGGATGTCATGAATTAGTATCTGCTTGCATGGATGTTTCTCTTATGTGGTGGGAGAAGTGCCTACTTTTTCATATTTATGTATTCTTTTGCTGTCTGAACTTCTACGATTCATTTATTATTGTGGCTAGATGGCGTTTAGAGTATGCTCAATTTGCAGTTATGGTTAGTCTTGGTTCCAAGTTACTTGATGAAACATGAGAATGTGTAAACTTTAATTTTGGTACAAGTGCCTAAGCATGGCACTATACATTTTACCATTGGTGCAAATTATGTGGTTTTAGGATGTAGCACTGGGAAAACTTGAGCTCTCAAAACCTTCGTTTGTGGTATCGATGATGTCCTTTGTCACAAATTATTGTCCTTCGGTGCATATTATAACTTATAAGTATTCCTGATTCATATTATACTCGATGAGTATTAGCTTCTTTTTTCTCCAAGTTGGTGAAGGGTGAGTTCGAACCTCGCTATGTACTTACCACTATTATTTGGTTAGGTGACGGGTGTTGGAATCAATACTGAGTGGGGGTTGCTTATGGCAAGCATTTCTGAAGATACGGGTGAAGAAACGCCATTGCAGGTTGGTTTTCTTAAGTGCTGTACCTACATCTCAATTTGTTTGTGCAATGCTCCACTCATCTTTGCTTATTTGGGCACAGGTGCGTCTGAATGGCGTGGCTACTTTTATTGGCATTGTTGGACTTTCAGTAGCTGTTCTTGTCCTGGTTGTCCTGATTATCAGGTAAATGTTCTTTGTTTTATTGTTTTATATTCCTTGCACAATATTCTGAAACTAGAGTACATTCGTATGAGCTTGCCAATTGGTTGATTAGTTTTTACTTTTTTTAACAGGTACTTTACTGGTCACACTAAAAATCCTGATGGAAGTATCCAGTTTAAAGCAGGCCGGACAAGTGCTAGCGCTGCTGTAGATGGAGCTATCAAAATCTTCACTGTTGCGGTATGTGCCATTATCTTGGATATTCAGTCCAAATTATTGATTTTTGGTCAACTGAAGTTATGAACTCTACAGGTTACAATTGTCGTAGTTGCTGTACCTGAAGGGTTGCCCCTAGCTGTTACTTTAACGTAAGTTTTCTATGGAAAGAGGTCCTTACTTGGGTTATTGATGCATTTTTGGTTACCATTGACTTTCTTATTCTTTACCTGGATTCTTGTGCCTCATCCTGGAGGTGCCTTATAGACACTTCGCATCTAGATTCTTGTTTTTTTTTTTTTGTTGCCTCCTAAAATGTTTTTTTGGTCAATTGTTGCTAATTTGACGACTCGTTTATTTTCTTGGATGATTTTTCATCTTACATGCATCTCTGGTTTGTTATTTGCAGTCTCGCCTACTCAATGAGGAAAATGATGAGAGACAAAGCCTTAGTATGCTACTTTCTTTTTACAGCTCTGCATTCTCTTATGTCTGTCAAGCTTTAATTGTCTACAGCTTAGCTTGAAAGTTATATTGCAGGTTCGTAGGCTTTCTGCTTGTGAAACCATGGGCTCTGCCACAACTATTTGTAGTGACAAAACTGGTACCTTAACTTTGAATGAGGTAAAATCATCTTGAACTTCTCTCAATTGTACTTTTATGCAGAACAAAATATTACTGAGCAGAGGCAAGTGAGAAAGAAGTGTGGGTAAAAGGGTAATAAATTTTTCTTAATGGGTCACGATCATGTGCAGTATCATAACTGTAGTCAAAATTATAGCTGAAACTTTTGGATTCGCTTCGATCTTTCTTGTTAAATATAATACAATTATTACTGTCAAGTCGATATTAACTCCTTCACCTTGATGTAAGTACTAAGATGAGTGTGTTTTTATGTTTGGGAGCATATGGCAGACTGATTATTACTGCATCAGTATATCATTTTATCTCCTGATAGGTATATCAGTGTTTCTTTATCTTGGGTTGGGGCCCTGGAGTCGTTTTGATCTTCCAACTTGTTAGCTGTTAATTAATCCCAAAGGGTTAGCCTAGTGGTAATGTGGGGATGATAACTAGGTTCAAACCTTGGACCCAACAATCGCCCTTGTTCAATTTGTTGCTGTTTATGATAACAGATGACTGTGGTTGATGCTTATGTTGGAGGTCAAAAGCTTGATCCTCCAGACAACAAGGCTCGGTTGTCTGGTGTCCTTTCTTCTCTACTCATTCAAGGTGTTGCACAAAATACGAACGGAAGTGTTTTTGTACCTGAGGTACAGATTCTTTTTGCTCTCATGTGTGTCTGTATTTTTGGATTGGACGTGTCAAATGCAGAAATACATCTGTTAATACTCGTATATCACTTCACAGGGTGGAGGAGATGTCGAGGTTTCAGGATCACCTACGGAGAAAGCTATTCTTGTTTGGGGACTCAAGGTTAGTGATGAAAATTAATTATTTTTATTCAGACTGCTTATCGTATTTGGAAATAATTTCTTTTGTTTGTTACCTGCTTCAGCTTGGAATGGATTTTGGTGCTGTAAGGTCACAATCAACCTTGGTCCATGTTTTCCCTTTCAACTCGGAGAAGAAAAGAGGTGGTGTTGCTTTGCAATCGGTAATAGTACTTTCGAAAAAGCAAAATTGCATGCTTTATATTGAGCAAGCAGTTTAAGTTGACTATCTTACTTACTGACCAAACCTTCGAGAATTGGTTCTACTAGAATTATGACCCCTTCACATCATCATTTCTTTGTTCTGGCAACTGTAATCACGAATTAGATTCTGAGGGAGAGGATTGTCTTGGGGAAATGGGAGGATTGTTGGATCCTTTTGCATGATTCATGGGTCCTATCATGTCCATTTATTTGTTCGTGGGGACAATATTACTGCTATACTTAAAATCTTCTGTTAATCAAGGCAATCAATGCTTAAAAAATAAATGGTCAGGGCATTCAACAGCTTCTAATAGGGAGCAAAATTTGTGGTGATGAATGCAAAGAACTTTGTGATGTCATAAATAATTTATTGCAGTATTTTGTTAAGAACGGAATATACATAACTGGATCATTTGTACACATGACTGTCGTTCGATCGTCAAATTCATCTGACTGGCAGCCTTCACTATTATTCATAGTTTTACCATCTTTTCCAATCGTGACTTGTGCTGAATAATATTACATGGTGTATTGTGCTCACTCAATAGGATATAGATTCATGTCAGTTCATCATTGTTGTCTGTTTCTGAAATGCAAAGATCCCAGGAGTGTTGGAGATATTATTGAACTAAGCATGTTCTTGTGCTTAAAATATTATATGATGACCTTTCATTTATGATTGAGTATATTTGATGTGTTGCTCTTTTGCATTACTTTTTTATTTGTTGTGCAGCTGGTGCATTGTTTTAAAGACGCTAACTTGAATTTGGGGCTCTGCGCTTGTTGGTTGATATTGAATTCCCATTTCACAGGCTGAGTCACAAGTGTATATTCACTGGAAGGGGGCTGCTGAAATAGTTCTAGCGTGCTGCTCAAGGTACAGTGATGCAAGTGGTGAAGTAGTACCCATGGATGAAGATAAGGTAAGGAAAACCTGCTTGTAGATCTTGACTGGGACATATCTGTATCCTGTTATCAGTACAAATCCTTTAATGAAATGTCTTTTTCTCTGTCATTACATTTATGGGATGAAGTTTCCCTGGATGTGTTGATTATTGTTATTTTTAGCCTGTGGTATTATTTCCTTATTGTGTTACAATTATTCTCCTTTGCAGTCACTCTTTTTCAAGAACGCCATTGAAGATATGGCTGCTCGCAGTTTGCGTTGTGTTGCCATTGCATACAGACCATATGAGGAGAAAGTTCCTGCTGATGAGCAGCAGCTGATGCAATGGAAGTTACCTGAAGATGATCTCATATTGCTGGCTATTGTTGGTATAAAGGTATGATCTGTCAGTAAAAATACTGCGAGGCATAATGCTTCAGTCATCATAAACCTTCTATTTTTTTTCTCACCCAATTGGCATTTTGAGACCCTTGCGATTCCATTTATGATTATGCGACCTAAGTTCTCTCTAGGCTGGACTTCTGTGACACTGTCAAACAATTGATGCAGGATCCTTGTCGACCCGGTGTTAGAGATGCTATCCAACTATGCCAAAATGCTGGAGTTAAGGTACTTCTGCTGATGCCTAGGTCTTGGGATTGATATTGCTATTGAAAGGATTAATTTGTTCCTGTAACTGGAACATTTATGTAGCCTTGCATCTGTTCTGGATGTGAATCACCAGCATACTTGGTGTTCTTGACTCCGGTCATGCCATTGTGGGATGGCACCTAAACTGCAGAAGCAGTTCTAGCCTTTGACTTCTCCTTCCTCTCACCTATTGTGGCCTGTCGTTTCTGCTTTGGTTGGAAAACTGCATTTCATAATGAAATGATGTATTAAATTTATTAATACTTGGCTGTTTGATCCGAGTTTGTTGGATAAAATGGAAGGACACACAGGTTTTAAGCAATCCTGCTGTTGTCTGGTTTATTTGTGATATTTTCACTGCCCATGTAGATTGGAAGGACTGGAGAGATGACTCCTTTTCCTCTCAATTTGTTCATTGGGAGGTTCAGTTCACCATATTTTAATGTTATCATTTGTCAAACAAGGTGAACTTAGGGAGCAAGACATATTTGTCGAGGAAGGTTGTGCAAGCTCCAGCATCAAGGAGACTGTTGTCTTGGATATTTATTTGAATCCGTTAAGTGCTGGTAGCTGCCTTCGACTAACGAGGGCATGGGTTCACATCCCTGCCTCTTGGATAATTTTTTTGTGCTGGTTCTGCTGTATGTCATCGTTTCTCTTTAGGCATAATGCCACCGCTCGCGTTCTTATATCCCGAAAGGAGGATCAAGGCAAGGGGCGGCCTGATTCGACATTGTTGTTTACTCTGATCTGGTCGAGGTGGTTTTCGTTTACCAGTGATGCCTGAAGCATTGTATATGTGGATGAACCATCAAGTTTGGCCTGTTAAATTTCCTTGAGCAATTATGTGTTCGACCTCTGGATGATATGTGGCTTATATACTCCTTTGGGCTCAGAAGTTATATGTTGCGCTTCCATATCTTTTCTTTATAATTTTGCTTCAGAGATGCTGCAACATTTTCTTCTTTGATAATGTTGGTAGAAATACTTGTTGGGAATAATCAAATTGTGGTTGATTTCACTTGACAAAATTTGATTTTGACTATTAAAGTAGGTAACTACTCAAAGGACTTTTAATGTTGCACTATGCATTTCCTTTGTTAGCGCCTTTGTGTTCACCTTTCATATGCTCAACGCTTTCCTGTGACATCTTATGATATATTTCATAGGTGCGGATGGTTACTGGTGACAATCTTCAAACTGCTAAAGCAATTGCGTTGGAATGTGGGATACTAGGCTCTGATGCTGATGCTGTGGAGCCTAATCTTATAGAAGGAAGAATATTTCGTGCCTACTCTGATGAACAAAGAGAAGAAATTGCAGAGAAGATCTCGGTATGCTTCGTATCCACTTGACCTACTATTCTGTTGGTGTTTATCTTTTTCCCCCCTGAGAGTATGTAGCAAACACATTTCGTGGGAAATTATGCATCTGCACCTCAACATGTAGGTCATGGGCCGATCTTCACCAAATGATAAGCTTCTTCTTGTGCAAGCGCTAAGGAAAAGAGGGCATGTTGTTGCCGTTACAGGGGATGGCACAAATGATGCTCCTGCTTTGCATGAGGTTTGTCTATCCTTATCTCTACTCTCATTTTAACTATTGGTTGATACATGTGTCCAGGTCTTACTATCACTAATTCAATATGCTTGGCTGTTGTGAAATATTAGCTCTCCCACCATACTGCTCAAAGTGCTTGATTATCTCACAGTTCACTTTCTTTCTTGTTTCACGAAAGTTTCTTATTCCGTTGTGGTTTGTGCATAACTCTTTTTTTCTTTGCTGATTTCAGGCAGATATTGGCCTTTCTATGGGTATTCAAGGAACGGAAGTTGCCAAGGAGAGTTCAGATATTATCATTCTCGATGACAATTTTGCTTCAGTCGTTAAGGTTTTTACATGTATCCCTTCAATTACATGTTTCTGTAACATTCTTAAATTTGAAACCATAACTGCAGATGTTCTTTTTTTCACATACATGTTTCAGATTATCATTGTTTGTGTTTAGCTGAAATATTTTTATAACAGCATGTCGGTGTTTTGGAAAAAATGCATATTTATATTATATAACTAATGCATTTTACTACTGTAGGTTGTCCGGTGGGGAAGATCAGTCTATGCCAATATTCAAAAGTTTATCCAGTTTCAGCTCACTGTCAATGTTGCTGCACTTATCATAAATGTTGTAGCTGCTATTTCTTCTGGTGATGTGCCATTAAACGCCGTACAGGTTTGTGCGAACCTCATAGCTAGTTCTAAGCACTCCTTTCCTAAATAATGAACATGTAACAGGTTTAAAGTATGGTGCTAATGGATCTTTTTATCTTCCACCGCAGCTTCTATGGGTTAATCTCATCATGGATACTCTTGGAGCGTTGGCATTGGCCACTGAGCCACCTACAGATCACCTAATGCATAGGCCCCCAGTTGGTCGTAGGTAAGCAATGGTTTGTAATGGTTAGGGCTGAAATGATCTTCAACAAGTCATGTGTCTTAATGACCCGACTTTTGTTTGACATATTTTCCTGCTGTGGATATTACGAGTTTGGACTTCTTTGAAGGATATGACTGGTGCTTGCTGATGGCTAACAGATCACTTGCAGCTTTTTGTTGCTTCACTTTTATATTCATTGGCTTTTCATTTGAGTTCGTCTTTGATTCTTCTGTTTGGCTAGAACGTCTGGCCATAACAGTTGTTGTTCTCTCCAAGAATTATGATTTTACATATGGACAATTCCTCAATATCTTGTTCATTCGCAACAAAATCTTGGGCCTAATTTTCCTTGACTAATCCGTTTTCCGGAGTTCTATTCTTTGCCATGAGCCCATTGGAATTGATATGTCATCTTACATCAACATGTAATTACTTAATCACTCTATTTCATGTTGTATATGCCTCAGGGAACCTCTGATAACTAATATAATGTGGAGGAACCTGTTGATACAGGTACATGGCGTTTCATTATGACTACACATTTGATATAATGACTTCAGAGTGCAACAACTTATGGTTTAAAATCTTTTCAGGCATCATATCAAGTAAGTGTCTTGCTGGTTCTGAACTTCCAAGGAAAAAGGTTACTGAGCTTGCAGCACGACAATGCCGACCATGCGAACAAAGTGAAGAACACCATCATATTCAATGCATTTGTGCTCTGCCAAGTAAGTCTCCTATTTACTGAACGTGCAACAGATGAGCCTCCTGTGCTGGCGGACCTCTGTGGGTCTTGTGTAAAAAAAGCTCTGGGAAGATCCTTGTTTTTCATTAAAAATTATACTTGTCCAAATTAATTTTCAATGAGTCTAGGTAGCGGTGGTTTCCAGAGATATCTTGCTTGTTTTTAGAATTGTGGGCATGGCTGGTCTGTTATCTGTGGTAAATTGTATTTTTTTTTTTTTTTTTTTATCTTTCGAGCTGTAGATCTTCAACGAATTCAATGCAAGGAAGCCTGATGAGAAAAACGTTTTCAGAGGGGTTACAAAAAACCGTCTTTTCATCGGGATAGTTGCAATGACCCTCATACTCCAGGTAGGAACTACGTGCTCTTCCAATTTGATGCTTCCATCACCTTGAGACTTCTTAAGATGCAAATTGTGCACGGCTGAATAGTTACCAAATTCTGTCAGCAATTTGGTCTGTTCTCAAAATCTTTTCAGGTTTCTGATATCTTTTGGGTGTGTGTGTAGGTTGTCATCATTGAGTTCATTGGGAAGTTCACTAAAACAGTAAAGCTGAACTGGAAGCACTGGTTACTTTCAGTTGGTATTGCATTCGTCAGGTATGCAACGATATACTTTCTTGTGAGTTCATATGCATCAGTACACAGCATGTAAATGAAGAGAATTATTCGACATTTGTCTCGCTTAACCTTATAGACTGTAGTGCGCAGTACACCCTTACCCCCTCCTCATTTCCTTTACTATCTATGTGGTTGTTTGGATGGTATGTGACTTGTGATTTTTCCAACAGCTGGCCGCTTGCGTTTGTTGGTAAGCTGATTCCTGTCCCTAAAACTCCTCTGCACGAGTTCTTCACGAGGAAATTCTATCGACATGGACGACATTAACAAGGGTAAAACACCATTCTGACCTAAGCCTTTCTGGTGGTACTGACTATCGAGAGAGACTGACGGTTTATTTGATCCCGATTGTTTTTCAGGCCCGAAGCGCTACAGGAAGGAGGAATACGATTATGCGGCTACTGACAAGTATAGATTACTAGCTCTTTTTCGTTAGCGCGATTTTTCTCTTAGTGGTTGTTTATATCAGAGAAAAGTAAGGAAAAAGGACCGAGGACATTGGCTAGCAATCCAGGTGGCCCTGTTTTCTCCAACTCTTCAATTAGTTGTGAAGGATTCTATTCCACTGTGCTGATACTCTTTTAACTCTCATCCTCGTTGCAAATGCATAGTGGCAGATCGTTATCCTGTACTGCTACTGTGTGCGAATTTTACATTTTGTTTAAGGATGGCGGTGGTGGTGCAATCGAAAGTTGAGTGTGGTAATTTTGTGAATCCGAGGATTGTGCACTTCTTCGCACACTTGGTTGTTTGTTTTGTAAAACTTCTGTCACGGCATTGGATGGAGTTTTTGTTTGTTGAAATTTGCTAAGATTTGTACCAATGACCAGCCTATTTGTAAAGGGGTGATGCTAGTGTGTCAATCCTTTTTTTTATCATCATGTTGTTAACGCTAGCTCCAATCAACAGGAACATTTCGTTTGGATGAATTTTATATTTAAATGAGTCTACTATAATTATAATGAAGGGGAAGACGTAGAGGAGTATGCTGGTTACTAATAAAATTAGGTAAAGTGGAGTCACGTGTGCATCTACAAAATCCTCCCCTTAAGCCACAAACCATAAAATCCACGTCACAAAGTACAAAATTCATGCCACGAGATTAACTCCAAATCTTTAATAGCAGATCTTTTCGTATAATTTTAATTGTTCAGGTATCAAAATGTAAGAGAAAATTGTAGGCACTAAATATAAATTTTCATCAATATTTTTCTGAATCGCTATTCATCGCCCTAAAATTCAAATTTTATCGCCCTAAAATGCACCAATTTTACACTCTTATCCCTAATCCCAATTTCAACGTAAACCTTAAACAAAAAATCTCTTACAGGGCCCAGACGTCGCCGAGCTCCTTCATCGTCTGACCGTTGCTGCCGATGCCGGATTCTTTTCTCCGGCCGCTTTGAGCTCTCATGTAAAAATTATCCATTCCACCGCTCTGGTTGAGAGCGACAACTCCATGCCAGCTACCAATTGACAAGCTAAGGCAAAAGCAAACACGACGTGAACTGGTCGCCGTAAGAAGAAATACAGAGACTCAGAGGCTGGAGGAGGCACGACAGCTCCGGGAAGGCCTCACCGGACATGGCAAACCATAGAGAATAGACAGGGTATTCAAGCTACTTAACCTGCACCCATCAATTCATCATCACTCTAACGTTGCCAAGAGAGCCCAGCCAATCAAAACAAAGCCATCAATAATCAAGAAGCAAGAGGTAATGTCCTCAAAAAGCTTCGGCAAAATTATTTGAACCAATCAATCAACCAGATAACCAAATAAATAATAGGGAACTCCACCAAATGGAGAGAGACGCCGGCTGAGCAGGATGATGGTCGGTGACGGTGGGAGATCTAAAGCCGGCGAGGGGAAGTGCCCGGCAGTGTTAATAGGAAGCAGCAGTAGAGAATACGTTTATGTAATTAAGGGTATTAGAGTAAACTTAACTTAATTAGGGCGACTAATAACGAAATTTAGGGCGACGAATAACAATGCCCATATTTTTAGGATTTATATGTAAATAAAATTGATTTTAGGCACTAAATATTGAGTTGTATTGAGTTTTTCATCAATAGATATAGCTTCCCATATCGGTAAACCTATGGCCGCAAAAGTAGGGGGAAGAATCTGTGCGAGCAGTGGTGGACAAAGCGAGAGCAAGAATGTCGGCTTGAGTCCACAGGAAAATAATTGCTATTTGTCATAAATGAGAAGCAAAAATATTCCAACGACAAAAGCACTCTGGCACTCTGCTAGGCTGACTTTGACACAGAGGCGAAAGTTAAGGGAGCGAAGGTACCAAAACTGTAATTTGTCAAAGGTGTACGCTCATGAGCCCATGCTAACGTGACAATCAATGCTTGCCAATAACCCCGCCACGATATTAAGAACATAAATCCAATGGCCCAAATAAGATGTCCAAATAAGAAAATCCAAGCCTAGACTAATAAACTATTCATACCAAATGGATTATACCCATTAATAAGTTGTGAAGAGTTTAACCATAGGTAATCTCTTAACTATCCCATCAAATAAGTGGAGGATTCATTAAACTGTGAAACATTATCCTGCCATAAAGTGATTTGTTTCCAATGCCAATAAAAAGTAACACATCCAACCGTATTTAACATCCAGAATATCGCCAAATAAAATGCGTCCCAAGTCGAAATATCACAAGTACCTCCCCGTCCCGGACCGTCGCAAGTAAAACTATTACTATGGTACCTTTAATGAAATTGTTAGCACCCTGTCTCCTCCCTTTGTGTAGGATCCTCTGAACAGGATAGTAAACGTATGGTCTTCCAAAAACTATGCAACTAGACGGTTTGAAAAATTAGGATCAAATTAGACTGCATAGTTTTGTTTGAACCGTTGATCAATGATAAATATTGTCTTCTCCGGTTCATGTATCTGTTATTGTGATGAGGCCTATTCTATCCTATTTTTAAGTACCCAAGCTTGTATATGTCTCATGTAGAAAGGTATTGCAACCCATCCACCTCGGGTACCCGTGGTTAATATCCGTCCTATACATTCAATATTATTATACCTAAAATTTATATTTAAATTTTCATTTATAACAGAGAAGAAGGTATCAACAACATGTTTTATTACGGTGTTGAGGCACCTTTTCTTACTCAAGGGTGGATAAACTTCGTTGAAACGGAGGAATAAACCGTAGAAATTGCTTATTTTGCTTTCTCGCGGATCGTTCGAACTTTCTCGTATAATTAAGTCATGACCATTCATTCCAATAAAAAATAAGAGCATTACCAAAGATTTTCAAAGAAGAAGGGTTATCCTGACGTAGATTTGCTTTTGCCTTAGATCAACCTAACAGGTCGTTTGCTTGAAGGTTTTGATGATGGATTTGGTCATGGAAATCCATCGACCATGGACTTGAACGATAATCCATCATATGTCTTAGGGAATTAGGAAGATGAAATCTGTGCGCCTCACGGATTTGAAAGTTCCACCTCATGAGGTGGGATTTGGGTGATGGATTAAAATCCATGATGATAGTTTACCCTTCTACCCTTGCTTATTTTTTAATTACAAATTCGTCCCCCTATTTTATTTTAATGGTTATGCAACTATAAACGTTTATAATGTCGTATTTTTATGTAAATATGAGAATTAATCATTTCGTTTGTAAAGTCTTATTTATTTAAATATGAAATGTGTATGTGATTTGTTGGATTCAACTATAAACACCTTATTCTCATCTTGTGCGTTATTATTTGAGTGGGCAAGAAAATTATGAGTGGTAACAATAAGGCGAGCAACTAGTTGTAACTGATACATAATATTAAGTACAGTATTTGATGAATTGTTAATTACTGCAAAATTGTGATACATTTATGTATTTGTAATTGAATTATTAGTCCACATAGAGGTAAAGAGTTTAAATTTTTTTGTATGTATTGGATTCGTTTTTAATGTACCCTAAATTTCCTTGTATTGTGTTCGTTTGTGGTACCTTTATTTAGTATTTACTAACTCTTCCCCGCTAACAGAAACCAACTTATACGTGATAAATTTTTTGCAAAGGCGAATATCATGTGCTAACAAATGGGGTTGTCAACATTCGAACACATGATTTCTCAGTCAACCATTCTCAATTAGAAGCACCCTAAATTTAATTCTCAATTAACTATTATACTAATTTATTCATTTTTGTATTTAGGAGCCACCTGTTACACTCACCTACCCCTGATTGAAATAAAATTATTTTTACAAATTAGCTATGATTTGGTGGAAATTTGTTTTAGATATTGAATAAATACATCTTTAATTTTGGGTGGATCATATGGACCATTGTCATTTGTACATAATTCGTTATAAGAACATTGAATATGTCAATACACAACTTATAAATCATACACCAAATATTTGAAAGGTCAAACATTCTCATTTAAATACGTGTTATTTTCGTACCCGATTAAATATTATATCTAACTTGCCATTTTTCCTCCCGAGACCCACCCTCTAAGCCTCTCCCTTTGCCCCTGCCCGTTAGAATATCTATGAAAAAAAATAGTAAAACACCGACATCGACGAGAAGCAAAGCTCTTAATCCGCGGGTCGAACTGTCGGTTGGCTCGCTTTAACGCTGACCCGATGAGAGAAACCGGGATGTACACACACGTATTGGAGGCCAAATGGCATCGTTTTTCATTTGGTTTGTGAATTGTGCCTATTTTCCGGTTTTCTTTTCACCTAACACAATCTTTGGAATTCTAAGTTGAACATTGATGTAATGTAAATGTGTGTTGATTTTCACTATATGTTGGATCCAAATATGACTTGTTATTTTGATGTAATGTTATATGGTATTATTTATATGTTTGATGAGATTTTATATAATTAATAAATGTATGAATAATATAATAACTTTTACTAAATTGAATTAAAGCGGTCGGCCGAACCAACGAACCGGGTTGACAACCAGAAGTCATTTTCGCGAACCAAATTCCCCCTCCGCCCAGCCAGCCATCCGATTTTGATTCTTCAATTTGATTCACTGAACTGACCGACGTGGCAGCGCCCGATTCGCAATGGTGGCGTAAACATTAATCTAGTTAATTATTCCATATTCGGGGTCATTTCCGATAATTCGCTTCAATTCCCATTGTCAGCCTTTGTTGGTATATAGCTAGCTTCTCCTCCTCTTTCCAAATATCTCTCACGCGTTGCGCCCAAGCTTCCATTTTATTTTTCTCGTCTTTCCCTTTTTTGCTGCTGCTCTCTCCTCTCGCGTTTCCCTCCTCATCTCGCCGATCCCCTCTGTGAAGAACATCTCCAGAAAGGTACGATTTAAGCTTCGATTGCGTTAGCGAGAATTATATAGATTGGCGGAAAAGAAAAAAATTCGCTCTGATTGAGCGATTTTGAATTTTGAGATTGATTTGTTTCCGCTGCTTCGACTGATCTGGGAGAACTACGTTGGTAGAGTCGGTTAGATCTGTTGCGTTCCGTTTCTGCGCGTGGAATTTCCGGAATAGCAGACGTGATTTGGCTGATTCGAGCTGGAATTATGGATTTAGCTAGAGCGCTCTGTGATTTCATGTTTTCTCCCTTCCGATATCAGCTCGCATTTCTGGTTTCGCGCGCTCTCGTCTTTTGGTGGTAGATCTGTTGGATCTATGCGGTTGGTTCGTTTTCTGGCGTTCTTATGGGGGTGATTATCTGTTTGTTTGCAGGGATCAACAGCAAGGAAGAGCGAAAATGGGGCTGACGTTCACGAAGCTTTTCAGCCGGCTGTTTGCCAAGAAGGAGATGAGAATTCTCATGGTTGGTCTCGATGCAGCTGGTAAGACCACCATCTTGTACAAGCTCAAGCTTGGCGAGATCGTCACCACCATTCCCACTATCGGTAAGCTCCTCTCTCTCTCTCTCTCTGGATTTCCTCACGAGTTTGTTCGTAGGGTTAATGTTCCATAGCACAATCCAGACGCTAGATGTCAACTCTTGCTTCTTGAGATGTAGTTTGCTCGTTATCTGAATCGATGTGATTTCTTTCTCGATATTTTTCGAGATTTATCTCTTAGTCATTGAAAATGGTTGATGCCTGTTGCATGACCATGTTGGTGCTCTCACATTAGTTCTAGACTGGTATTATGTGTATATTTAATTACGTATGCTGGTCTAAGTGATTGCCTGTTGACATGTCAAGTACATACGTGGTGTGGATTAGAAGTTCTGCTTGTAGATTCAACATTTGCTTGTTGTCTGTATCCATGAACTATTCATATGTTCAGGATTCAATGTTGAAACCGTGGAATACAAGAACATCAGCTTCACCGTGTGGGATGTCGGGGGTCAAGACAAGGTATATGATTTTGAAGCTTTCAATTGAATCCACGTTTTGTTTTGGCAGAGGAATTATTTGTTTAAATTCGTTCAGTATGTGGGAGTTTGGGCTTGTCCATTCTACTAATGGATTTAATAACCATGTGCCCTTCTTGTTACAGATCCGCCCATTGTGGAGGCACTACTTCCAGAACACTCAAGGCCTCATCTTTGTTGTGGACAGCAATGACAGAGATCGTGTTGTCGAGGCCAGAGATGAGTTGCATAGGATGTTGAATGAGGTACTACCTTTTCTCAACTCGTTTTGTTTGTCAATTCTCATCTTAGTATCTGATTTTACTGCCAATGAAAGGCTAAACGGTCAAGCTACCATCAACAAAGGCACATGCTAATGCTCTGCATAAATACATTTGAGGGGCTTATGTTTTATCATGCTCCACTCATTCTCGTTGTCGGTTTAGCTAATAATCCCATGATTTTTTTTTGGGGGGAAAGAAGTCTAATCTTTGTCATCTCTACCAAAAATCGATTGCCTATGTACTAGAATTGTGGCTCTTGTGGTGTGTGTTACATATATTGATAAAGGCAGGAAAATGCTGAGATATGGTAAATATACTGGATTCCATCATGATGAGGTGAACTGAGCTCTTATGTTTTCTTTCTTCTGCGCGTTGTGTGCTTCCATGTTGCATGATTATTTTATTTATTACCAGTTTGCGACTCTGATTCATGAATGATGGACGAGGGGTATTGATCTTATCTCAACAGCATATACAGGCAAATCCTGATGATCTTATTGTGCCATTGCTTACAGGATGAACTGCGAGATGCAGTGTTGCTTGTTTTCGCTAACAAGCAGGATCTGCCAAATGCAATGAATGCTGCAGAGATAACCGACAAGCTTGGTCTCCACTCCCTCCGCCAGCGTCACTGGTAATGTTATGATTCCTCCCAAGTTACCAACCGTCCACGTCCATGGGTGGATTTTACGTTGGTGTAGATCTCAAGGCTGATAGTTGTAACCACTTACCACCGCGGTCATTGACCTTACAGGTACATCCAGAGCACCTGCGCAACTTCTGGTGAGGGCCTTTACGAAGGTCTGGATTGGCTCTCCAACAACATTGCTAACAAGGTATGTATACATGGGGAGGATAAAAAGCTTGTTAAAAGAGTGTACCGATTTCTGATTTCGTCAATGGTTTTTGTTCAGGCTTAACTCTGGTGAGGCAGCCGTTTTGTGGATGGCGGATCTGGATGCAGGGGTGAATGTTATCTAGTTTATCTTCTCTTCTCACTTTTTTTTTTTTAATCTTTTACCGTTCTTTCGTTTCTCCTCCCCCTTCCTCCCTCCCGAGACATTTGGTTTTTTTGTTTCTGCATATTTTTACTCTTTTTTTTAAATCTTTCGTTTTCCCAGCTCCCTCTTGGTTTGGGAGGGATGGGATGCCTTCTTTTATGTTAGGACCTCTTTTTGGATGGGTTACAGTGTAATAGAATACATATATATTACTGTTATGTTGGTTGGATCTTGTTACTCTCACCGAGAAATGTTTCATTAGGCTTTGGAATGGATCTTCATGTGGCCGTGGTTTGGGCCGTAGGAGCAGGGAATGCAGGCTGTCCTCCGATGATTCTCTTGCTAATGGTTAGTAATTAACTACAAAACAGATCTACTCAGGATTTCTCGCTCACTATTTGAACACAGACTCAGAGACGAGAACCACTCAAGAATGGAGATCACAGGAAGATGAGGAAGAGAGGAAGAAGCCGAATAATACAATCTACAAACTCTAACGAAATTTCTACCTCTTATGAATTCTACAAGTCAATTATTTTAGTACCGAATACTGCAATATTGAATACCAAAATTATGTTCCAGAATCAATGGCAAATTAAATTCTATACCTCAATATGAGTCCTAAAATATTTCGGTACAGTATCGATATAATCGCTATACCAAATCAATTGCCTTGGCAAATAATAATTAGAAACAATAATCGATGGTTATGATTGGTCCAAATATAGGCAAAAAATGAATGCAGCATCTCAGGGTTTTTAGTTTAGAATTTAGATAATTAGAACTTAGGTTCACTCATTAAGGGCTAGGGTATAGTATCTGTTTGTGCCTAGTAGATACTAGGCGGTTTGTGGAGCTGGGGCGAGGCGCCTGTTCTTGGATGTTGGGGAGTACTCCTGATACTCTGCAAAACAACGGTCCAGGGCGGTTCGCCCGGGACACTCTCCGAAGCTTAAGTTAGAGAGAGAAGGGGAGAGATAAGAACTTATGTAGAGAGATGAATAGTAGTTGGCCTTACCAAGTTACCATTAATGCACTCACCCTCTATTTATACCTGGTTAAAGGGTGGTTGGGGCATTAAATGCTATGTCGGGCGCCCCAGACCTGGTCGGGCGCCCCGTGTAGGCTTTTTGGGTAATGTTAGGCGTCCTGGGCAGGCTTTCAGCCTTTTTGCAGGCCGCCTGTGACTGGCAATAAATGCTCAGTCTTGCCTGACACCAGATACGCATCTTCAACGGCTCCCTGCCCTTCTGTGCTGCTCAGTTGCTTTGTGTCAGGCGCCCTTATCTATTCCTCGGGTTCGCAGTCGATCATGGACCGCCCGCTGACCCAGTCTTCCGATCGGGCCCGGCCTCCTTATTGGGCCTTAAAGTCCGACTCGCCTCTTTTGGGCCCGAGGCCCAAGTACGCTCAACTATGCGGCCCAATAATTGCCCCTTAGGCGGGAAAAGCCTAGGGTTTTGGCGGCTACCAATAATGCTCTCAGCTAGTTGAGCGGTTTGCTCCTCCTCCTTGTCCTATTCTGCCCCTGGTCGCCGGAGACCTAGGGTTGTCCTGCCTAAGCGGCGCTCCGACCGCCTTACGGGTTTTCCTGGCAGAAACACTTTATACACGTGGCTGTGCGTTGGTTTCCGTACTCTGACACCGGGCAGGCAAAACGTCCTTTCACCTACCCGTTTTTGAATTTTGCGGCCTAAAGCTTCCCCTCGGGCACTCAACCGTCACATCAGTCTCTTTTGCCGCTATATATACTCCAAGTGTTTCTGTTGAGAAGAACCTTCGCATTCCCTCTTTCCTTGCCACTTATTTCAAAATTGCGCGGTGCTCTAAGTTCTCTCTCTCTCGTTATCTGGAGACTCATCCTTCGATTCCGGAGGACTGACATCGGTTTCTTTCTTCTCTGAGAAAATCCCAGAAACGAGACAAGAAGAAGAAGAAGAAGAGAAAGCAGTTGTCCGCGATGGTTTCTCAATCAACCACCCCTTCCAATAGCCAGAACCGCGGCCTTTTCGGCGAATCGGTGCCGCCGTCTGCTTCCGACGTCGCCACCAACACTCCTTCCGCTGCTGCGACGACCACCGCATCCGGCACGGAGGCGGCCACTGCCAACGGCAATGTCGCCACTCCTCGCGTCAGCGTTGGCGCTACGCGTACCTCCGCTAAAACCGTCAGTGCAGGCGGTCCTGCCCCTGGAGCAGGTATGCCCGCTTTTTCCCACCCTTTAAGTTTATCCGACATAGAATGGGACTCAGAGGGTATTGAATTGCTGTGTGGGGGTGGTAATGCGGTTGTCACAAGCGAGCGTGTAGATAGACCTGACGGTTGCATTTTAGGGCTAGGAGTGGGCGCGCTAACCGACACGGCTACCTCCTTGATTGAGCACAGAGCGATCTCCCGGGTTGGGGACAACCTGGTCGAGCTGTCCTCTGAAAACGTGCCGGAAGACACGCCTTGTGACTCAGCCAGGGAGGACTCGGTCGCGGATTCTCCTTCGTTAGCTCTGTCAGAAACACCGATGATTCATCCGTTCCAGGCGGTTGCGGATCGCGAGTACCGCGTGCACCTGCATGCGGATATGTGGGAGGGAAGCGAGGTTCCTGATGCGGTTTATTCATACGGGCTTAAGTACAAGCCCGCTTACTCACCTGCCCAAGTACTCCGCCAGCTTCATAGGCACCAGCTTCCCACTGACTGGGAGTATGCGGCTCCATCCCCCGAAGGGCGTTGCGGCTCTTGTCCCGTTGGGTGGATCACCATTTTTATGGAGCACATGCAGTTAGGGTTGGAGTTCCCGCTGGATCCGCTTCTCACTGGGATACTTTTACATCTTAACTGTTCATTGAGTCGCCTTTCTCCCTCCATAGTATTCCATTCCATGTGCTATCGTGCGGCTTGCGCCCGCCTAAAAGAGAAACCGTCTCTCGACGCCTTTCGGCTGCTGTATGCCATGACCGGCTCGAAGAAGTGCTGGTCACCCCGAAGGCGGTCGAAGAATGTCGGGTTCGTTTATGGGTCCCCAAATCTGGATTCCCCATGGTACAGTGAGTATTTCTTTGCTCGCCCGGCCGGGAAATGGTACTCGGGGGACGTGGAGCCATTGACCGCGTTCTCCTTTGGGCAGACAGATGATTGGGACGAAGGGGTCAAGCAGCTGCAGCATCTGAGACCGCACCTCAACCGCATCACTTCGACTGTCCAGTTTTTGTTGCCCCCGCATGGGCATGATAACGCTCTTGAGATTGTGCAGCGTTTTCACGGTTAGTTAGTTCTCCTAGACTTTGATGGGACGTAGCTTGCTCATGCCTTTACTTATGTATTCATTTTTCAGGTATCCGGCGTTACGCGTCCTCGGCAAGGCCGCCTAAGGTAGCAACGAGCGGGTCTCCCGCGGCCGTTGTCTCCGGTCCGACCGCTTCGGAGGGCCCGCGGACCGGGGGCGGGTCCACTCAGTCGCAGCTGGCGCTGGGGCGCACGAGGACCCTTAAGCTGACCGTCCCCAGCGGTCAGGGTACGGCTCGACCCGCGAACAAGCGGCCGCTGGATGTGGTGGAGGTACGGGATGAGCCGTCCGCGGGGAATCAGCCCAAGCTGAAGGGGATCCTGGTTGACCAGCGTTCCAAGCCGCCAGTCACCCAGAAAAAGCAGAAGACCACCACCCTTACCTCCAGTGCGGCGTACTCACCGCATGTGACTTCTTCGGCTGAGCCAGCTCGCCGCGCCCTTCATGCGATTGCCGAGGGGTTCGCAGTTCCCAGCGAGTACGTGCGCGTTGCGGGTGTCATCCCCACAACTTCTGATACTCGTCATCTGGCTGGGACGACCGCTCGACGCTTCTTTGCGGTGAGTGACTTGACTTATTTTCAGCTCCGCTATTCAATATGTGTATGGTACTGACTGGCTTTGTGGCTGTAGGCTCAATTCGGGATAAGCCAACTTATCCTGGCTAACGAGCGCCTGCTCGATGACTTGGGCGACCGCGAGACCAAAATCCTCACGCTCGAGGAGCAGGTGAAAGAGGGGCGCGAGGGTTTCCGCCGGGAGCTGCGAGATGAGATCCTCAAGGAGCACGAGGCGGCCTTAAAAGCGAAGGATGACGAGCTGCAGAACGCCAGGGGGGATCTGTCGAAGTCAGCGCGGGAGCTGGAGGAGGCTCAACAGAAGGTGCGGGAGGCGTCCGAGCGGGAGAAAGGGCTGCAGAGCAAGGTGGAAGAGTTGGAGGCCCGGATGGCTGATTTGGAAGCGCGGCGGGAACGGGAACTCCACAAGGCTAGGGAGGACGCTCACGCAACCTTCTTTGACTCGGACGAGTTCAAGGCGGTGGATGAAGCTAAGTACCAGAAGTTACTGCGGGATACGGTAGCTTACATCCGCCACCTGTTCCGCCGCGAGCACCCGTACGTGTTGTGGGATCGGAATGCGGTCTGGGACGCGGTGGAGTTTTGGGGTGACAATGATGTCAACTCCGAAATGGAAAACCAGCCCGCGGCCGCCGCACCCACCACTGGGGAAGAAGTGAACCAGCCCGCTTCCACTGAAGGCGGCTCCTCCTAGTTCAATTGGCAATTTAACCAAGTGTTGTTTTCTTATTGCTTTCTCTTGATTTCTCCCTTCGGGGAGCTTGATACATTCCGCCTTTGGGCGAGGTTTTGTAATATTTGCTTTGGACGGCGCTTGCGCTTCTTCTTCTTACCCTCCGGATGTTTGGAAATCTTTACTTGCAATTTTTATTGTCTGTGTTTCCTCCTCCTCTTCTTTCGTTGGGGAATCGCGTTTGAAGGGAAGAGAAGCCCCTTGGACTTCTGCCGTCGAGGCGGCTTTGGTCCTTTTACTACAAGCGCCTCGTACCGTTCGGGGGCGGTTTATTAGCCTGTTAGGTGGGACCGCATTTGCGAGACCTTTGCGAAGTATTATGTTATACATTCCACTCTGTGACATAGTTTCTGTCTGGGTTGGGGGCATGGGCCCTTATTGTTCAAGTTAGGAACTTGAGGGAGTTTCCCGGATGTTGTGTGTGATACAAGGGCGGTTTAGGTAGTGACTTAACCTCTATCGCTCTGGGGCGGTTCAGCCCCTAATATGGCGTTGCAGGCGGGTGTATGCGCGCAGTTAGCGGCTGTGCTAAGCGGCCAAGAGTTATGAGAATAACTTAGATTAGTAACATTAAAACATATCGCTCAGTGGCGACTTGAATTACTGAAGTCACGGACATGAGTGTTGATTACCACTCTCACAAAAGCGCCTTTAATCGCGGCGTTGACTTCTTACAAAATTCCTACGGCCTACCCCTCCTTACTCGCTGTGGTACTTCCTTAGGTGAATGGCATTCCAAGTCTTGGCTACTGGCTGCCCCTCCTTTGTAGCTAGCACGTATGTGGTTGTCCCTATCTTTTCTGCTACCAGGAACGGTCCTTCCCATATGGCGGTCAGCTTGCCATGCCCTTCCTTTTGTTCGAAATTCTTCTTGAGCACCATGTCTCCTTCCTCAAGCGGGCGAGGCTTCACCTTCTCGTTGTAGACTTTGGCAACCTTGAGCTTTTCCTGTATGGTCCTCACTAGGGCCGCGTCTCTCCTTGCCTCTATCATGTCCAGCTGGTGGAGGAGCTTTTTGTGGTTCTCCTCTGGATCGTATGTCTGGACCCTTAGCGAGGGCAGAACGATCTCGGTGGGAGCAACCGCCTCGGAGCCATACGTCAGGGCGAATGGAGTTTCTCCGGTTGCTCTTTTGTAGTTTGTACGATGCGCTTAGAGCACGTGTGGTAACTCGGGGGTCCACCCCCCTTTGGTTTCCCTTGAGCCTCCTTTTCAGACCTCTGAGGATGAGTTTGTTGGACGATTCCACCTGCCCATTGGCTTGCGGAAAGGCGACTGAGGCCATTCGGCATGTGATGCGGTTCCTAGCGCAGAAATTTTCGAATGGCCTGCAATCGAACTGTGTTCCATGGTCAGTGATGATTATATTGGGAGTACCAAACCTGATCATTATGTTGTTGAAGAGGAATTTCTGGATCTTGGCACTAGTGATTGTGTCCAGAGGCTCGGCCTCTATCCATTTCGTGAAGTAATCGACCGCCACCACCAGATACTTCTTGCCCAAGGGAGCGGTTGGAAAGGGACCTAGCAGGTCCAGTCCCCACTGTGCAAACGGACATGGGCTTGTTATGCTCTCCAGCTCCGCACTGGGCAGGTGTTGCTTGCTGGCGTGAATTTGGCACTCATGACACGCACGGACCGCCTTCTCAGCGTCCTTCTTCACCGTTGGCCAGTAGTAGTCTTGTAACAGGATTGTCTTTTCGAGGCCTCTGAGGCCTGCATGAGAAGCGCACGTGCCCTGATGTATCTCATTGATAATCCATTCCGCCTCTGCAAGGCTCAAGCACTTCAGGTAGACGCCTGAGAAGGACCTCTTGTGTAACTGCCCTCCCACCATGCTGTAATGGGCGGCCTT